CTTCATCTCATTAAAAATGGAAACAAAGAGCGCAAGAGCTGTGTGGCTGGAAAAGACGAGCACCCATCAAATCCAGCCTTGTCCCCAGCTGTGGCTGGCCAGATGACCCTTGGAAAGACTCAAATCATAGCAGCCTCCAGTTCTCTTTGATGCATGCTGGTTTTGGAGCTGCACTGCTCTTATCACATCCCGAGTTCCCATTCAGTGTCTAGGATCCTACCCTGAGCTAGGCCTCTCTTTCATGATACTCCCTCGCGCTGGCATTTTAGCAAGCGAAGTGAATGGTCAGCAGTATTTTAAGTGTTTAGGTTTTTCTTATTGATTAGATGAAGACATTTCTTTTAAAAATATCGCCAGTGAATGAATATATCCCTCCAACCCTGATGGATGTTATTTTGTAGTATCAACATAAAAGAAAAGCTTCAGTCATTTATAATCGTCTAAGAAGGATATGTCCCGTCCGTTGAGGCTGCCTCTCCCAGATCCATCATTATGGAGCCTATTGTTTTGGGGCTTCTTTTGGATTTCTTCCCCTTCCACGGGATTTTTCACAGCATTTAGCAAGAAATGAAAACATGCTCCTAATGTACCTGTACCATAAATTTATATAAAGGTTGTAAGTTTTTTTTGGGGGGGGGGATGAAAATAAACATTCATTTTATAAATCCCAGTAGGCTACAAAGTATGTCATTTTCCACGATATGCAAGCTATTGAAAAAAGAAATCCATTATATCATCAAAGATTAAAGACTAGGCATTTGTACATGAGAAAGATCCATTTTCTCATGTTAATTAACTTCCACAATGAGTTTTTTTTTATTTGAATTATAGGGCAGCTTTTCCCAGCCTGCTTGATTCCCACCATTTTGGTTTATTTCTTCCATCCTCCCCGGCTAACTGAGACTTTCAAGTAGCAATAGTAATAGCACTTAGACTTACGTATCGCTTTACAGTGCTTTACAGCTCTCTAAGCAGTTTACAGAGTCAATATATTGTCCCCAACCATCTGGGTCCTCGTTTTACCCACTTCGGAAGGATGGAAGGCTGAATGAGATGGGTTGGGAGCCTGGTGAGATTTGAACTGCCAAATTGAAGACATCCAGCAGTCAGCAGAAGTAGCCTGCAGTACTGCACTCTAACCACTGCGTCACCATGGCTGAAATACTTATCGAGTTGTCATGTTTCATCATCATTTAACGACCCCATAATCCTTGCGAAGTGGAGTCTGGGCAACTGAATTGAGGTGGCAGAACATTTAATGGCCGGATGCCCTTCCTGTTGCCAATGCGGAGCTTTATTCAGTAGATATATCGAGTTGTCACGTTTGTTATCCAAAAATATTTGACTTTGGTTAATAGCTGGTATAACATGCCTGAATTCAACTGGGTTTTTTTAAAGCTCTGAACATCCTTAATTGGCAAAGCACCAGCTTTTCTTTTTCTTTTTAATTTATAAAGTATCTCAATCTCTAGGAGCTACGCAAAAACTAAGAACTGACACCAGAGGCCAAGTTTAACGACTCATTTATGATGGAATCCACTTTCCGAGGTTCTACTGCCGAGTATAGTTCTAGTAACAGGCCTAAAGGAACCCTTTCTTTTCTCTTTCAGTCTTGCCTTGAGATGCTGCTACGGGTGGATCTCCTGCTTTAAGAATGGGTGTGGCCTTCAGAGAGCCCGTCTTCCAGTCTTGGAGAGCCCATCCTGTCGGGACCCGGGTCCCTCTGAAATCACACAACCATGCTGCCTTCCATCTCAGCTGGCCGCCGGAGAGAGCCAAATGAGAGTTTAATTCTATTTTCTGTACTAATGATGGGTTGGTTTGCAATAAACGTCACGTGATCTTTTGAAGGTGCTCGGAGCAAATGTCATGTCTCTGCTGTTTTCTTTGCATTCCCAATTAATTGCTTCAGTCCTCCTGCAGTAAATGATCTGCCCTAGGCATTCAGAAGAGTTTCTTTTGTGTGTGTGTGTTTTGTTTTTTTGTTTTTTTAATGGCCCATGGTTTGTAGATGTAGTGTCTGAAAGTTCACCTTTTTTTTTTTGCAAAGCATAGTTAGCAGCTAACTTGCCTTCATTAAACGGGAGCAGGATTTCAGGACTAGCGCTGAGTTCTTGTTGGCTTTTAGGAAAAACAAAACAAAAGCAAAAGAAAGGCACAACCACCGTTCTTTTCTCTATACTCCGTGAGGAGCCTTATATTGGGAGATATTCCGTTTATAGCCCCTCTGTCTTTTTGTTGCCAACGACTCTGGCGTCTGAAAAAGGTAGTTAAACATTGTGCAGGTTTCTGCTCTATTCAAATCAGTCTCTAAGGTGTACAGCGCAGCGCAGCCTTTAAATAATAATAACCTGAAACTGACACAGCTGTCGATATCTAGAAGCCCGTTTCACGTCAGTTGCCCTTCGGTTGCCCTTCTATTTGTGTAGGCTAGCTCTTAAGTGAAGGCTGAGAAAGAGAAGACACACTTTGATTATCTAACAACCCTTTATAGATTTTTTTCTTTTCCTGGTTCCCTAAAATTAGCATAGCGGGGTTTACGGCTCCGTCTTTCCAAGATGGATGTGAAATGTCCCTTTTCAGGGCTCATTGGATCAAAGGGCCCTTCAGAAGCTTTCTTTGAGGTCGGGCTGGGTCCAAAGCCTTCTTTGCATCTCATATTCATAAGGGAGGGAACAGCAGGAGGTTTATTGACAATGCGCATCTGATATACGTCAGTTCGTTTCTGACTAGGACAGAGAGGAATGCATATGTACGGTTCATCCCTTAAAACAATCCAGCGCGTTTTCTCTTCACAAAAGAGCATTCTGTCTCCTCTGAGAAATTTCCACTTGCACAACCATCACAAAACAGGAAAAGGACTAGAATTATTTTTTATTCATCGCCTTAATGCAGGGGTTTAATGCAGGGGTCGGCAACCTTAAACACTCAAAGAGCCATTTGGACCCATTTCCCACAGAAAAAACACCGGGAGCCACAAAACCCTTCCTGTGCCTGATTATTTCCTGAGCGGCCACAGAATTAGCATATGTAGTTTAATTAAACGTTCTGTTTTCTTCTGAAACTTTTGTTTTCTTGGATTTATCCATGGTTGGCCTACTGGGGGTCAAAAAGCTCAAAAAATCGTGTGCCGGAGGGTATCACACATCGGTGGTTGTGACGCATATTTTGAGCGACGGAGCCGCAACAGAGGGATGAAAGAGCCACATGCAGCTCCAGAGCCACAGGTTGCTGACCCCTGCCTTAAAGGAAAACAAACTTTCTTAAGTCTCTAGGTTGGGATGGACTAAGCTCTGCACGATTAACAAGTTGCCTTTTTTAAAACCAGAATTTACCATTCTGCAGTCAGTACTGAAAATAAAGCAAGATTGGGTAGTTTTATAGAAGCTAGTCTGTACAGACCTGGTTGGCTGGCTGAGGAATTTGAGGAGTTGAAGGCCACACACCTTAAATGTGGCCAAGGTTGAGAAACAAACACTCTTCTAGATGAAGAAAAGGCTTTTGCAAAAGGTGTTGGGGTGTTGATGCCAGAGATTGAGTGAGGGGAAGGTCTGTATTGTATGTTTTATTATATATGATGATGTGATTATATTTTGCCACCTTTTGTGAGCCACCAGGAGTTTATAACTGCAGCAGGATCGAAATACGATTAATTAATCGATCCAGGGGTTATTTCACAATGGGATATAAATTGTGTACATAAATAAAAATAAAATCAGTAGTTATGAGATCTGACACGGTAGTGCTGTTGCTGGTTTATCGGCACACGATGCGTTTTGTGAGCAGCCCTTGGAATTCAGCAACCTGAGATTAACATCTAAGCACCTTCAATGGACTCAAAATCTTTGTGCTGAATTCTGCAGCAGTAAATCAGCATTCCCAAAAATCCCCCTTTGCACACACTTCCGTTCAGCAGGGTTTTTCATGGCCCGAGTCTGTTTTATAGACTTTTTGCCAGCTGGTAGTATATAACCCTGTTTAATCAGCCTGTTTATCTATAGCTGTGTAGAGTTTCCCCCAAACCAGAAGCGGAGATTCAACAAAGAACCCTGGTTTTGTCCGTAGAGAATAGCGAAGAGCCAAATTTGCAGAGACAATGGTTTGTAGCAAAAAGTGCACTGGGGTCTTTGCTAACTTGGTCAAGGGGAAAGGATTTTAAAAGTGATTGCAAGCGGTGCAAAAGGAAGAGTGCAGAAAAATGCCAAACGACACAAAACTCCTAGTCTTGGATTGACATCCGTTGGAGCAGAAGCCTCAGCCGTCTTTGAAAGAGTGATAATAATTAAAAAAAACCTAAGCTTCCTTCGCCATTGGGAATTTTTCTTCCTGCTGTTTGCCTAGTGCAAATTGTTGGCAGACGCACTAGGAAAGGGATAAACGTGCCAATGAGCGATTTAATATCTTTAAAGGCTTTGGTGATCCCCAAAATACTTGCACATCATCCACATAAGTTTGGCCAAAATTTAGCTGCCCCGGCTCTGTTTAAATCCCTCCTTGAGCCTGTCAATCAGCATCTGCCACAAGCAGATAACTCTATTGTCATTCTGCATCAGATACGCTTGGACTGTTCGGCGGTTATGGAGGCCAGAAGGTAATCCTGATTTATAGACGGCACAAAGGGTGCCTTGAAACGAAGTCAGGGTTCGGCCCCCGCCCCCACCAATCATGCAGATTTATTTGAGGGAGGGGTGCTGGATTAGTGTGCCTCCAATTTCCACTGGCCAAGAGCTGTGATTTTGGATAGCCAAGTGTCCTTTGTGAAATCCTGTTCCAAAGCCATGAGGTCCACCTTGGCCAGGACTCCCCCCCACCCTTGTCTTGCCGCCAGTGCCCTGCTCCAAACCCTTGCAAAATAATTGACAGCTCCCCAGCTGACTTTTGAATACGCTCCTCCCCTCCTTTGTTGTGACTTTTCAACAGGTTTCGCTGGTGCATAACTTGAATAGCTGAACTGCTTTTCGCCTGGCCCGCTGCCCCAAGGGGAAGGATTAGGTCTCCTCCTGGGCCTTTGGTTCACTGCTGCTCTTTCTTTTTTTCTTCCTTCCGCTACCTGGTGACACACACACACACATACACACACCTGCCTTCCGGCATCTCCAACAGAGGCCCTGCCTTTCCCTTGGCACTCGGGGTTGGGAGCCCTTCTTCGATCTCCGTGTCCTTCTGTGCCTCGACCTCCTCCCACTCCACCCTACCTTTGAGCCAAGCTGGCATGGCTTGCTGGCATCCGGGCGTCCGTTTTTCTTCCAGCCTGACCATCTGTCTGCTTTCCCTGCTGGGTGAGTTTAGGAAACTGGGCTCTTGGGTTTCTTTTTTCCCCTCCCCCACCAGCTGGTCTGATCCTTCTGGCTTCTGGCAGAATCTGAGTCGCTTTTGAGGAAGGAAGCAAAGCTCTTGTCCTATTCCTAAGGGGTACGAGGGTTGTCTCTCCCCATCAGCCGGGTTGGAACAAGAATTGAAATGCAGGGAAGGGAGCCGGGGCTGGCCCTGCTCCAAGAGCAGCGTATTTGGGGCAACGAGGAGGAATTTGATCCGAGGAGGCTCAGCTGAAGGTGAACTTTAGTCCGCTGCACCTCGGTGGTGCAGCGGACTAAAGTGCTGTTAAGTGCTAGCACTTAGCTGCCAGCTGCCTGCGATTAGTGAAAGTTCGAATCTCACCAGGCTCAAGGTTGACTCAGCCTTCCTTCCTTTTGAGGTAGGTAAATTGAGGACCCGGATTGTGGGGGCAATAAGCCAACTTTGTATAGAACAACACCGCTTGGGGGGGGCGAAAGCCCTAATAAGCAGGTATATACAAAAAAATATGCAGGCTATTGCTATAATGCATTGTAAGCCGCCCTGAGTCTACGGAGAAGGGCGGCATATAAATTGGACTAATAAATAAATAAATAAATGAACTGCCTTAAGACTCACCTGTGCAAAGCATCAAATTCCCCACCCCACCCCAGTTTAAAAGAGCCCTGAGAAAGATGGAGCTGTTAAAGGTAAAGGAAAAGGTTCCCCTCGCACATATGTGCTAGTCGTTCCCGACTCTAGGGGACGGTGCTCATCTCCATTTCAAAGCCAAAGAGCCAGCGCCATCCAGAGACGTCTCCATGGTCATGTGGCCAGCATGACTAAACCCCAAAGATGCACGGAGCGCTGTGACCTTCCCACCAAAGGTGGTCCCTCTTTTTCTACTTGCATTTTTTTTTTACATGCTTTCGAGCTGCTAGGTTGGCAGAAGCTGGGACAAGTAATGGGAGTTCACCCCATTACGCGGCACTAGGGATTCGAACCGCTGAACCGCCGACCTTTCGATCGACAAGCTCAGCGTCTTAGCCACTGAGCCACCACTTAGTTACCAAATCCTTTTGATTTGCCACACCCGGCCTGGAAATACAGAAGTGGGCGTGTGACACACCTCCACTCCAGCAACACAAGATCCCCCCAGGTTGCCATCTTATTCTTACAAGGGTATTTATGCAGCACAGTTGGCTTTGGCAATCGGAACTGTGCCGTGGAAGCCGCCTCATCTAAAAATGGTCCACTTTGAGGAGAGGGGGAAAAAAAATGAAACAAATATTTTGCTGACTTTTCAGCTTCCCCCGTATGAGCTGTCATGGCATTTCCCCCTCTAAATTTGGACGGTCTGTCTCAGAAAAAGAACCCGAATGGTACTTGTTTAAAGTGGTGATTTGAAAGGTTTAGTTGCTGCCTGAAAATTGCTGTGTTTTAACTCTGTTCCCTTTGATCCAGTTTTTTTTAAGAAAACTGAGGCAAGGAGCGTTGTGTATCTCTGTATGTGTACAATTTCAGACCATAAGCCAGGGGTGAAATCTACTTACCTTCCTTACCGGTTCAGAAGTGCACACGCCATGTGCGCCCGCTCGCTTCGCTCGTGCATGCATGCGCATCACATGCACGCATGGACCCTCTGAGCATGCGCAGAGGGTAAAAAATACATTACTTCCTGGTTAAAACCAGGAAGTAACGACACCCAGGTGGGTGGGCGGAGTCTCGCGCCGCCATCGCTGCCGGTTCTCCGAACCACCTGCCACAATTGCTACCAGATTGCCCGATCCGGTCCAAACTGGGAGCATTTCACCCCTGCCATAAGCGCTCTGGGTTTCTGTGGGCCATTCTGAGCTTCTGGGCGTTGGCCAGAGATTGCTGGCATTCTGCCTTTCTCTGTTCAATAATCAGGAGGTCAGGGTGCAAAGCAGAGTTTCGCCCAACTTGCTTAACTTGGCCACTGACTTCACCTAATTGCAAGCTTGAGATTGGGCTCACCCAACGAGCGAAAGCCACAAAATGAATTCACCAAGGTTAACACTAACCAAGCTTAGAATGTGCAGCCTGACTTGCTCCATATTTATTTATTTATTTATTTATTTATTTATTTATTTATTTATTTATTTATTTATTTATTTATCTATCTATCTATCTATCTATCTATCTATCTATCTATCTATCTATTCTATTTATCTATCTATCTATCTATCTATCTATCTATCTATCTATCTATCTATCTGGATTGGGAAAATGAAAGAAATACTCCAGAAGAACACAATGGCAAAACCTTCTGTATTTTCTACAACAAAACCACAACAGTGTGTGTACTTCTAATCACAGGTGGTTGAGCTCAACTCAAAGCAGATGTTATTTTCACCTTGACTTTTCAGATCCAGCCTGAATCTCATTAGGAAAAAGTAACGAATGTACTTTGGAAAAAGAAAGGTGTTCATGCAACCGGTTTATTCATCATCCAAGCCCCAACCCAGGGGTCAGCAACTTTAAACACTCAAAGAGCCACAAAGGTCCTAACCAGAAGTCCCCCGTTCAATTCTGAAGTCCGGTTCCCCCACCATAGAGTCTCCTCCTACCGTGGTGTCCTTTTTCCTCTGCCCACCGGAAGTCCGGTTCCCCCATCATAGTCTCATCCTAGCATGACGTCCTTTTTCCTCTACCTGTCCTAATCGAAAGCCCTATCAATTGTGGAGCCGACCAGCGACAGGGAGCTGCAGCAGAGGGATGAAAGAGCCACATGTGGCTCCAGAGCCATGGGTTGCCTACCCCTGCCCAAACCTTTGGCTTAGTGATGTTGTGTGAATGTAACACATTCAGTAAATGAACCATGACTTATCTCCTTATCTCTGGGAACAAGGCAACCAACACTGATTTTAAAGGAGTTGCCTGATCGAACTACAAGCTTGAAAGCAATGTGAGGATAGTAATGGTGGCACATGGGTGATTGTCTAAGGCAAGGGTGGGGAACTATGGACCCTTTATTATTATTATTTTTAAAAAAAACATTTTTATGAAGTTATAAAATATTATAAAATACAAAAGTAGAGCAGCGAGGGGGAGGGGAAAGGGGAAAGAAAAGTGAGGAAAGGTAGGGGAAAGAAAAGAAAAGAAAAAGCATTGACTTCCAACTCTCTCTGTTGCAGTAGAATCAGGCATTAGCATCAAATCACGGCTTTTTGCTTTTCCATAATAGTATGGATGAGTCATTTCTATAAAAATCTATCGATCTAATCTGTAAAACCCAAAGTCAGAGTTTCATTCTTTGCCACATCAAGCATGAAGTTCAGAAGCGGTTTCCACGCGGAAGCAAAAATACTCGTGTTCTTTTCTTTAATCAAAGTGGTCAGTTTTGCCATTTCAGCCAACTCCATCAGCTTCTGCAACCATTCATCCATGGCAGGTATCAAAGAGTCCTTCCAATTTTTTTTTTCCACAAACAATAGTCTTGCTGTTGTCAACATCTATAGTAACAAAGTTCATTTTTTTTTATCCATTATTAGACCCAAAAGGAACTATGGCCCCTTTATGACTTGTGGACTTCAAACTGGCTGGCTCAGGAATTCTGGGAGTTGAAGTCCACAAGTCATAAAGGGAGCCATTTGTTCCCCACCCCTGGTCTAAGAATAGCATTTCTACCTGCCAATCTCTGCTCTTTCCTGTCTCAACTTTCCCATCTTCAGTTGCCACCTTATTTTGGTGATGGACAGAAGTGAGCGGGTGGCTCCCTTAACAGCAACAGGACAGACAGCAGGCCTTCTTCCATTCCTTCATCCTAGCCAAAGTGTTCCCATGCTGATTTCCTCCTGTTAACCTCAAATGAAGACTCGGGGGGGAAGAAACCTTCGCAATTAAAAGATAGCCACCTTTCGATCAATGCCTTCTTCAACTGGAGCCCAGCACAGGGCTTCCTGTGTTCACCCCCTCCGACCTCTTCCTGCTAGATTTATGGCCTTCTCCCATCCCTACCCCTCCCTCTCTCTTTCCCCTTAGGGGGCTGGCCCATCCATTACGGCTTGTGGTGGCTGCTGAGCTCCCACTGAGCCAATTTTCATCCATCTTCTCCTGTCGTCTTCCCCCGCTGACTCCCGGCTTTTCTCACTCAGCTCCTGCTAATGCAGCCCCTGGCGTGTGGCCGATGCTGTTGTACAGCTTTTAATTTACAAGGGCTCAGACCTGGAGGCCCTGCTGGCTTCAGGGTTTGTTATATGGATGGCTCGAAGGAGCTGGAGATGGAAAAAAAGGAAGGGTTGGGATTTAGCCTGGCTCCACTCAATCGGAGGACATTGCTTCTCCTTGGTGGTGCTGACAGGCAATAAATGGACTTGCAAGAGAAAATGGAAGGAGGACGGGAGGAAGCTTTGGAGATGGGCTTCGTGGCATGGCATGCCACATTTTCAGCCAAACAGGGAGGAGGGAGGTGTCAATTTTCTCATTTTATGGCTCCCTATAATATGCTTGGGACAATAGCATCACGCAATGTGGAAGCATTAAAAGGCTGCTTCTAAGTTTGACTGCTATTTTGTATTCTCAGTAGGCTAAAGACCAGGAAAAGAGAAGAGAGACCAAACCACCCTATGAGCCTTCGAAGTTAGGCCTGTTCAGAAAGCAGGTTGTGTCTCTTCAAAGGACGTAGGGAAAGGAGTCGAGTTGTGCTCATTCATGGATATCATTGTCTTAGTTGTTTATCCGTTTTGTCCTGTATTGGGTGGAAGATCTGATGCAGGAGAGTAGACGACTAGCAGCAATCTTCTCATGAACTTGCCTAAGTCCTTCAAGTTCAGAGTCCTACTTCTTTGAGGTGCTCAGTTGACAGACCATAAATGATTGAACTCATCTTGGGTCTCCATCAGACATTCTGCCCCATATATATTAATGTGGGGATGGGGCCAGTCTACGCATTTCATCGCATGTCCTTTGTATGTGTGCCGATGAATTTCAGACAGGAGCTACACCAGTGGTGGGGTTCTCCTGGTTCTGTCCGGTTCTATAGAACCGGTAGTAAAACCAGTGGGAGGCTCTGCCCACCTGCCACGACATCATCATGGGTCATCTGTGCATGCACAGAAGGTTCTGGGCATGTGCAGAAGTGCACACATGCGCACACTCCCGCTACAAACTGGTAGTAAATGTAAGTAGTACCCACTCCTGAGCTACACAGAGGGTGGAAACAGATTAAGACTACTAAAGCCGCTGAAGATAACTCACCAGATTGTAGTGAGGTAGATGAGGTGCTGGGTGGGGGGAAAAGATTAAAGTGATTTGATTTCAGGGGTTAAGTTATGTTTTAGTAGAACAGGTGCGAATTTGGCCAGGCTTATGGCAAAGGTTGGAGCGTTGAAATGAGAAGATGTTATAGCTTATTCCAATATCTATAATGTTACAGGCTATTCCAATAATAGAACGATCCATTTGAATTGCCTGTTGACGGAGCAATCCCTCCGCACAGTGGTTTAGCAGGGAAATAATTCAATAAATAAAGCGATTCAGTTCACGCTGAGGCAACTTCAGGCGTCCGATTTAATCCTTTTTCTTCCTAGCATTCTCATTGTGCTAAGCCATGGTTTGTTGAATAAGCTACAAACTCGTTGAGTTCACACAGCATATTAAGTCAAAACCCAACCCAAGCATTTGAGTTGGGCAAAACATTTCAAGAGCTCTTGAGCGTGGTAGTAACTTGAGCTCGAAATGAAGGTTTGTTTGTTTTTTTAAATCATTTTGGAAGGATTTTTAAGGTCAAAATGTCAATCTTAAACTGAAAACACTTCTAGAATGCCCGCCAAGCCTGTTTCATTCTTAACATTCTTGTTTCCCAACCTGGCAACGAGTGTTTTCAGCTCCCACCCTTACAAAACACGGGATTTGGGAATAATTGAAGGAGGACAATGAAGTTAAAAATTTGCTTCGGGAGTATCTCAGGTGTGTAAAAAGGTCTCCGGTGTGCCTTGAGGCAATCCTTTGATCCAGATGGTTCCATCCATTAACTCTAAGTGGTCCTTCCAGGCTGTAAACTGAGTCACTCCACCTTGATGCCTTGAGACTTGATTTGGCAGGCTGCTTTGTTTAATTATTTTTATTTCATTAATTACTAATTAAATTTGTTTGCCACCCATCTCACTGTAACATGATTCTGGGCAACTTGCAATGTTTTTTTTTTAAAAAAGAATTTTAAAAGTACAAAAAAAATGCATACGATACAAATAAAAGAGCTGTGGTGGCGCTGTGGTTAGAATGCAGTATTGCAGGCTAACTCTGCCCACTGCCAGCAGTTCGATCCTGACTGGTTCAAGGTTGGACTTCCATCTTTCCAAGGTGGGTAAAATGAGAACCCAGATTGTTGGGGGCAACAGGCTGACTCTGTAAACCACCTAGAGAGGATTGTAAAGCAGTACGAAGCGGTATATAAATCTAAGCGCTATTGCTCTAACTAAAAGTTGGGATGGCTTTACTACTGCACCTGTCTGCCAACTTCATGGAGGGCTCTTTCTAACCCAGTGATGGTGAACCTATGACAGGCATGCCAAAGGTGACACGCCATGACATTTTGGGTGGCACGCCAACGCTTTGGAGGCCCTCTGGAGGAGGCCCATTTTTCACCCTCCCTAAGCCTCCGCAGGCGCCCTGCACTTACCTGCATTCAAAGCAGGCCATGTGGGGACTCCTGGGAGGGGCAGGGCAGTGTAGGCAGGGTAGATGGGGCGGAGCCAGCCAGGAGTGGGATTTGGGGGTTCTCCGAACTGCACAGAATCTTAGCTAGAGGTTCTCCCGAACCCTTATGAACCCCCACCCCTGCTCTTGCCTTATAATTAATTACCAGGCAGAAGTCCTTCATGTCATTAAATGTGAGGTTCAGAAGATACCTAAAGCATCATCTAATGCAGTGTTTTTCCAAACTTAGTAACTTTAAACATGTAAGCTTCAACTTCCGGAATTCCCCTGTCAATTCCTGGGGAATTCTGGGAATTGAAGTGCATATATCTTAAAGTTGCCAAGTTTGAAAAACATAGATCTAGTGCCCAGGGTAGGAATTCATTATTATAACACCCACTTACATTTGCTATGTACTGTAAGTATATACTTTTCTGTTCTTCTGCATAAAAGAAACCAATCAAACGTTCTATTGATGCATGAAGAGATTGGGGTGGGGGGGTTTGTCTTTGGGAGCTTATCTCTTAGGGGAAAAAATCATAGAGGAATAGAATCGAAATGGCAATTCTTGATATTACTTATTAAGAAATTCTAGCTTTCTTTTTCTAGTAAAATGCCATGGTGATGGGCCTGCCTTGTAGAAGTAAATTATTTAACGGAAATTTAATTTATTTAAATGTATACAAATTTAAAACAGCTGTTGGCAAGCTTGGGGATTGCGTTTTAATATCAGTGCTCATGACTATATAATGTTCATTACAACTAATTAGGAGAGAAAGCTGAGGTTACAGAAATGAGGGTGGAAGGTGGCGGGGGAAAAAACCTTTTTTGTGTGTTTTTTTAAAATTAAATTTTATTTTTGTCTGACCACTTCAATCGGGTTCCCATGTTATGCTTAGCCTCAAACCAGCTTCATTCAGCCTAGGATCTTACAAAAAGGCAGCTTTTATCTTCCTTCTCTAGTTAAACTGAAGGTGGTAGTAAGGATTCTTAATATAATTCTTATTTCAGTATAGGGAAGGGAGGAAAGGGAGGAAAGGAAAGGAAAAAGGAAAGGAGGACAGGAAAGGAAAGGAAAGGAAAGGAAAAAGGAAAGGAGGAAGGGAAAGGAAAGGAAAGGAAAGGAAAGGAAAGGAAAGGAGGAAGGGAAAGGAAAGGAAAGAAGGAAAGAAGGAAAGGAAAGGAAAGGAAAGGAAAGGAAAGGAGGAAGGGAAAGGAAAGGAAAGAAGGAAAGGAAAGGAAAGGAAAGGAAAGGAAAGGAAAGGAAAGGAAAGGAAAGGAAAGGAAAGGAAAGGAAAGATCCATTTTCCCTTTCTCTTTAACTATGATAATTGGGCCCAGGAATTAGTAAATAGATAGGAAAATATTGGATGCCCTGGGTACTTGCAGGATCACCTCCTACCGGCCTCCCACCGCCCAGTGCGTTTACATAGGACTGCCCTCCTCCGGGTGCCATCGGCCAGACAATGTCAGCTGATGGCGCCTAGGATGAGGGCATTCTCTGTGGGCATACCGATCCTCTGGAATGGGTTACGCACTGAGCTCCGGATGGCCCCCGACCTCCGCTCTTTCCGCAGTGACCTGAAGACGTGGCTTTTCCAACAAATTGCCTGATCTGCTGGGAGTCTTAGTTTTAACTTCTTGGGGATTTTAATCGCATTATTTTAATATTAATTTTATTGTTCCGTTGTTTTATCTTTGTGAGCCACCCCGAGTCCTTCAGGAGAAGGGCGGCATATAAGTATGAATAAACTAAACTAAACTAAACTAAAATCCTATTCGTTTTCAAATGTAGTACGTTATACACCCTGCTTTTCGCACAACTCTGTGAAACTGGCCATTTCTGGGGAAACAAAAGGCCAGTTGATTATACTTAAACAAGGTTTAAGGCCAATATTTTTAGGCCTGAGGCCCACTGCTCCCTTCCAGGGAGTGCAACATCATGGTACCAACTTCAGCGAGTTTTAAATGTGACCACGGGCAGCAATATTTGAAGCTGTCTTGACAAGCTTAAGTTCTTTTTGAGATAATGATGCCTGAACGTTGATGTTTGTACATGTTTTTTTTTAAAAAAAACCTAGGCATTTGGCAAGAGCCAAGTCGCGTGGTTTATTATCCATTTTAAAAAATGTGTTCTTTGCGTGAACCTGGAACAGGGAAGTTATCTCTCTTCCACAGTCTTTAAGCAATCTTTATGGTTCTTTGATGGCCCATGGAAGGACAGAGATAATTGGGTGAGTGTCAGTGTAGGGAGTTGATGGAGAAAGTGGAAGGAATCTAAGAAAATTTATGTGTTGATTTGCTTATTTACTTATATTCACACGGACAGAAGCGATTGCTCGAGGATAGCCACTTATTTAAATTGGCATTGCTTGGATTTACGGCTCGGATGCAGATGGGGGAAGATGTTTTGATGTCTGCTGCAAAAACTCCATGATTGTTAGGAAGTTATTTGAAAAGTAAATAACTGACCATTTCCTTGAATGAGGGGTGAAGGCAGGAGTGGCTTTATATCATAATGGGAAGATGATTAATACAAGGAAGAACTGATCCATTTAGCTGTGTGGCTGGGCCAAAGTGCTTTGTCTAGCTTCCTATCCACCCAAAATTCTCCACTTCATTTGCATTTAATTTTGTGTTGCCTTTTATAGCAGTCATTTCCCCCTCTGCAAGGGCTACCATATCTGGGCAGCAAAAATCTGAATGGCAATAGCACTGAGACTTATATATTATCTGTGCTTTTACAGCCCTCTCTAAGCGGTTTACAAATGTCGGCATCTTTGCCCCCAAACAATCTGCGTCCTCAATTTACCGACCTTGGAAGGATGGAAGGCTGAGTCAATTTTGAACCAGGATCGAACTCCAGACAGTGGGCAGAGTTAGCCTGCAATATTGCATTCTAACCACTGTGCCACCACAGCTTTAAACACTAGAGTCATTCAAGGGCTGCAAGAAAACTCTTTGCTGCCTTCAAGTGGTCATGAAAATTTGTGCAATTTTCCCGTTGCAATGATTGTTGTGTTTCCATTGATAGCAGAGAAAATTACATTGACTGCTTACTTGTTCTCTCTGTTTTCAGCCCTATTATTCCCTGTTCTATCTTCATTCCCTCTGGCTGTGCTTGTTGGGAATTCTGTTTCTCTCCCCATTCCATTCTCTTTACCCTCTGCTCAGGTCCAAATTGCTATCATCTGGAGAAGGAATGCGACCATCCTGGCAATGGGAAACCTGCGTCCAAATTTTACAGTGGAGGTAGATACCAGCTTCCAGTCTCAGTTCAGCGTGGATCCCGTGCATGGCAACCTCAATATTTCTGACCTGAGGACCACGGATTCCGGCATGTATTCAGTGGAGATCTTCCCCCTGGGGAGTGTTGCCCAGAAGGGAAACATCACTATTAGAGTTTATGGTGAGTTGGACTAAGTTTGAATGCCATTGCTATGAAGCTGCTTTCTTTGGTGCCACTAATATCTCAACAGCCCAGTGGTGAAATCTAAAATTTGTTACTATCAGTTCTGTGGGCATGGCTTGGTGGGAGGGGTAATGTGACTGGGTGGGCGTGGCCATTTTTTTTTTTACTTTTAAAAGCATTTTTTCTACAACCTCTTCAAAGAGCTTGTAAAAAAATGCTTTCAAAAGTCTCTGACGATCCCAGCTGAGTTGCCTGATCATCAGAGGCTTTTTTTTCTTTTAAAAGCCTTTGACGATCCCAGCTGAGCCACGTGATCATCAGAGGCTTTTTTTTTCACTTTTAAAAGCATTTTTTTGGCCGAAGAGGTTGTAGAAAAAATGCTTTTAAAAGTGAAAAAAAAAAGCTTCTGATGATTGTGCGGCTCAGCTGGGCATGGGGGGGGGGGGCAGTGATATTTTCTACCGGTTCTCCGAACCACCCGCCTCCATTGCTATCGGATCGGGTGATCCGGTTCAAACCGGGAGCATTTCACCCCTGCAACAGCCCTATTAAAAAGGAAGTTCCTGATCTTGCTAGCCAACTCTTCTGATGCATTTATCCTCTCTTTTTTAATTTTTGCTCTGTCAGAAATTTGGAGCCAATGATTGTTAGTGTTGAACTTCAGTCCCCAACAGCTGTGGGTTGGCACACCAATGGTCAGAGATTCAGGGAGCTGTAAGTCAGCTGTATTTTGAAGTCCATATTTTTCTCCCCAGCCCTGTGCCACAACCTAGTTAACAAAACACATTTCTCTGTCCATTTGGCATCACATGCTACATCCAAACAAATGTACTGATTAACAGATTAACAGAGTTGGAAGGGACCTTGTAGGTCATCTAGTCCAACTGTCAGGTTTCGATGTCATCTCAAATAAAATAAATTGCATTTCCAAACAAATAATCTTTGATGAAATCTTTCATTTATTAAGCATGACAATCTGTCCCCGATTGTGGCGTAGCCAACACTGACTTCCTGACCCCAAACCTTCCCTTTCTGTTCCCCAATTCTCTGCGTCTCATTGGCCATCTTCCAAATCACTTTCCCCATATCTACTATTTCAGCTCCCAGGAATGTCCCCCCTCCCATCTCATCTCCTAGGGCAGTGGGTCTCAACCTTCCTAATGCTGCGACCCTTTAATACAGTTCCTCATGTTGTGGTGACCCCCAACCATAAAATTATTCCTAAAACCATTGAAAAAATGTGTTTTCCGATGGTCTTAGGCGACCCCTGTGAAAGGGTCATTCGACCCCCAAAGGGGTCCCGACCCACAGGTTGAGAACCACTGTCCTAGGGGATATTATCTTCAGGGAAAATAAGTAGGTGAGAAATCAACCGTCCTCTTGCCAGCTGCCCCCCTCTTCTCCTTCTTATGTCAGCACTAGAATAAATGCAGGTTGAAGTGCTGACACCAACCTCCCACCCAAGCAGGAGACCCTACACCATTTCTGACAGATGACAGTCCAGTCTCTTCCTGAAAGCCTCCAGTGATGAAGCTCCCACAACTTCCGAAGCAACTTCGGTTCAATTCGTTGATTGTTCTCACTGTCAGAAAATTTCTCATTTCCAGGTGGAATCTCTCCTTGCTCATACCATATTCCAGGCTCACAAATATGCAAGATACTTCTGAAATCTCACAGCAGTCACAAATTACCTTATCCCATTTTAACTTTCATCTCCTTTCCTGTGGGAACGCGCCTCCTAGGTCCTGGCCATCATGGTTTGCTGCTTGCCATAGTGCTGACTTTTGTTGCACAAAGAACTGCAAGAAAAATCTTACTTCCATATAAGCAAGTCACTTCATTAACTTGAGGGACTTTTTTGAGAGTCCTTGCCTTGGTTTTTTTGTTTGAAAAATACAATAGATAGCTCATATATGTGTGTTTCTTTAGAGAAGGTGGGCAACATCTCTGTGATCCCACCATCTGCAGAAGTGATAGAAGGAAGCAGTTCAGTGGCCTTCAACTGCACTCCAGTCCATGGTTCTGTTTCCTGGAGCAAGGATGGTCACCGCCTGGATGATAATCCCCATTATTTGCGTTCATCTGGCTACCTGAAAATCAAAGACCCTCTACGGACTGATGCTGGTGTCTACTCTTGTACCATCTCCAACCCCTTTGGCAATGCCACTGCTACTGCCAACCTTACTGTCTACTGTGAGTATCCTAACCCGAACCCTAACCCTAACCCTAACCCTAACCCTAACCCTAACCCAAACCCTAACCCTAACCCTGACCCTGAGGAGCCTGAATGGCGTAGGAGGCTAATGCCTCCTACTAAGGCAGCATTTAACATCCAGCTGCCTGCAATTACTGCAAGTTCAATTCTCACCAGGCTCAAGGTCGATTCAGCCTTCCATCCTTTCTAAGGTGGGTAAAATGAGGACCCGGTTTGTGGGGGCAATAAGCTGACTTTGTATAAAATATACAAAAGTATGAAGGCTATTGCTTAACGCATTGTAAGCCACCCTGAGTCTCCGGAGAAGGGCGGCATATAAAAATAAATAAATAAATAAATAAATAATAAATAAATAAATAAATAAATAAATAAATAAATAACCCTAATCCTAACCCTAACCCTAGTCCTAGCCTTAACCCTAACCCTAACTCTAACCCGTAACCATAACCCTAACCCTTGCCATAGCCATAGCCAGATTTACATTTTCCGTTTGATAGAGCTGTAGAATTGTAAAATTAAATGGACCATTTTAGCCAGTGAATGTAATTCCTTGGCTGATGGCTCTGGTTGGACAAATCTCATGAATGGGAGCCAAACTTCAGTTGAAAAAAAAAATCTCACTGTTGCACAAATTTACCGTTAAAAAACTTTTCCTAATGTTCCATTGGTACCCACCATGCGCAAAGGATTGGATGGAATGACTTTATCCGTCCCTGAAGTTGGCATCTCCTTTCTCTGAATGTTTTGGGAAGAAGGAAGTTCAACCCAGATGCAAACCAAAGCAGATATTCCCAGCCTTGCAAACTCTTTGTGTATCACAGGGACTGGCTGAAAGTACAGAAGATACGGCTCCTTTTCTCTAGATAAATAGTTCTCCATCAAATTAAGTAGCTCCATCCATCAATAAGATCCATGGCCTGGGTGTAATAATGGTATGTGGGAATGACCTTGGGAATGGGAGAGAAGAGATTGCTGCCTAGGGAATGGTCAGATAAGAGGCAGCACAGTCCAAGGCTACATAGTAGGTGGGGCCACGGGTGGGATTCAAAAATGTTAGCAACCGGTTCTCTGCCTGGTTGCTTGGTGGGCGTGGCCTACACATCCTCCTGCACCACAGTGGGGGGAGGGTGTTTTCACCCTTGCCAAGCTCTGGAGGCTTTTTTCAAGCCTCCGGGAGGTTGAAAATGGCCTCCTCTGGGCTCTGGAGGCCCTCCGGAGGCCGGAAACCGTCCCATTTCTGGACTTCCGGAACTTCCAGGAGGCCCATTTTTTGCCCTCCCAGAGCCTCTATGTGGATCCTCCACTTGCCTGGCATTCCAAACAGACCACGTGGAGACTCCTGGGAGGGAAGAGGTGGGGTGGGCGGAGCCAGACAGTCCTTGCAACTACGGTTCGGCGAAGCAGATATAAAATTAGTAACCGATTCGCCTGAGCTGGTCCGAACCGGCTGAATCCCACCCCTGGGTAGGGCATTGGCTCAAAAGGGATCCTCCGATTGCCTCAGTACAACAACATCAAAAAGGAGGTGGTTCAGCCTATTATCCCCTCGACACAATTGGCAGTACCAGTAACTACCAGAGCACAGGCAAAAGCCGAGCCAGAACTCACGGGAGACTTGCTTAAAAAATTGCAGGAAGCTCTGGAAACTGACGAGTGGTTTAGGAATCACTCAAATGAATGTACACTCCGTGATGGACTACCTTGGATTGGGGCGAAATTGTATGTTCCGGCCAAGTTAAGAGTAACAGTATTGCAATATGCCCATGATGCCAAGGCAGCGGGACACTTTGCATTTGTTAAAACTCTACATTTGGTTAAGAGACAATTTTGGTGGCCTGCACTCAAGAAGGATATACAGGCGTATGTCGCTAGTTGTCCAGTGTGCGCCTCGGCTAAAAGACCTCCAGGGAAGCCACCTGGATTACTTCAAAGTGTGGCTAGACCGAATACCCTGTGGAAGGAAATATCCATGGATTTTATTGTAGACCTGCCAGAGAGTGAAGGGTGTACTGTCATTTGGGTGGTGACAAATCCTTGCTCAAAGAGGAGCTCCAAAAAGAATAATCTCAGACGGGGTGTACAGTTTACTTCCAACTTCTGGAAGGAGTTTTTGAGCTTGATAGGCTCCGCCCAAGGGCTAATTTCCAGTCACCACCCCCAAACAAATAGGGCTTGTGAAAGGACCAATGGGGTTTTAGAACAATACCTGAGATGTTACGTAAATTACCAACAAGACAATTGGGTAGACTTATTACCATTTGCAGAAGTGGCATATAATAATTCCGTACACAGTAGCACCGGTTTCACTCCGTTTAAGGTTGCATCGGGCCAAGATTTTGTACCAATCCCCGAACTACCACAAGATGATCCCCAAAACCCTTCTTTGATGGACTGGATTGAACAATTAAAGAGCACTTGGGCAGGAACTTGAAAAGCATTAAATGAGGCACACCGAGCCCATAAAGCACAAGCCGATAAGAAAAGGTCCCCAACACACGTCTATAAAGTGGGTGATAAAGTCTACCTCTCCACTAAGTACTTACAAACTTCCCAAAAGTCAAAAAAGCTTGGTCCCAAGTATGTGGGTCCATGTCGTGTGATTAGATTGGTTAATCCAGTAACAGTGGAATTAGAGTTGCCAAAAACGCTGAAACGTATACACCCTGTATTCCATGTTAGCTTGCTAAAACCTGAACACTCGTCTCCGCTAAGAGCTAACCAAAGCTCCCCTCCAGTTCCCATACTCGTAGAGGGGGAGCAACATTTTGAAGTTAAAGGAATCTTAGACTCTAGGAAACACCATGGTAAAGTGCAATATCTGGTGGCCTGGAAACATTTCCCTTTGTCTCAAGCTGAATGGGTAAATAAACGAGATGGCCTGGGCTCCAAAGAAAGTACAGAATTCTATACAAAATACCCAGATAAACTTTAATTCCTGTATATATTTTGTTTCCTCTTTCTCTTCTTTCCTTCTATCTAGGACTAACGTCCCTTCTGCAGAGGGGCCGAATGTCAGCCTCCGCTGCTTCACTGCTTCAGCTGCCATAAGAAACGGGGGGGGGGAACCAGTCAGGGGGGGGGAAGAGCGCAGGAGGTGTCTTTCCAAGAAATGAAACCTATTCTCCAAAGGAGCCGTTAGACCAACTGTCACACATTCCTGATGGATGACATTGCCAGACGTGATTCCACCTGACCTTTGGGAGACCTTTGGATTGGATGATGGATGATGAACACGGGGGGGGGGATGCTATCTAGATGCTATTTCACGCGTTTTGCTCACTTCCAGCTTTACCTAGGTTGCGATCATTTCAATTTCAGTAAAAGTACTAATCTCTATAAAATATGGAGTTTGGGTCTTTCTTTCCTGGAATTTGAAGGAAGCATACCTGACACCAGGGCCCTACAGATGAGCCCGATAGGTTGTATATAAACAAACAGATATTGCATGAGTACAGTTAATGTTCTTTTGATTTCACCCAGATGGTCCCGAGACCCCAACAATTACTGTCTCGTCCTCTGAGCAAGATTCAAATGCAGGGAATTTTGTGCTAGTGAACAGCACTGTCAATCTCACTTGTTTGGCACCTTCCAACCCCCCGGCAAAGATCTACTGGAATGTGGCCGACAATATGGACCTTGACGTCCCTTCCTCGCCTGTCCTGCCGCTCCACAGAGTGCAGCTGAATCAGGGAGGGCTGTATTCCTGCCTGGCTATCAATCAGAAGACGAAGCTACAAATTCGTAATACTCGTCTTATCAACGTTGTCCGTTAGTTGATTTTGCCTTTATCTTTCTTCCCTGCTGTGGGTGGGATGTGTGTGTGTCCAGAAGACATTAGCACATAAAGGTCTGAAACATATTTCTGGAAAGGTTTGCAGATAGTCCTCAACGTACAACCACAATTGAGCCCCAAATTTCCATCACTAAGCGAGACACTTTTTCAGTGAGTTTTGCCTCATTTTATGACCTTTCTTGCTACAGCTGTTAAGTGAATCACTGCAGTTGTTAAGTTAGTAACACAGCTGTTTCCTGACAGTTAGAACAATGAATCAGTGGAACAACTTGCCTCCAGAAGTTGTGAATTCTCCAACACTGCAAGTTTTTAAGAAGAGATTGGATAACCATTTGTCTGAAGTAGTGTAGGGTTTCCTGCCTAAGCAGGGGGTTGAACTAGAAGACCTCCAAGGTCCCTTCCAACTCTCTTATTCTATTCTATTCTAAATACGTACATTCTCTCTCTGTCTCTCCCTCCCTTTTTCTGTCTCTCACACACAGAAACACCCACCGCCACAGCCAACTCATCATGGGACAACTCACTGCGGGACAGTTGAACAATTCTATTTAATTATTTAAAATAAATAAAACATTATTTTATTTTTTTTGCCACATTCCCATTTCATTCTGTCCCTCCTTTTGCATCCTTTCTTTAATGATTGTACTCCACCATTTCTTTGATATTAGTATAAACTATTGTCCTGCAGCGAGTTGGCCATGGTGAGTTGGCCGTAATGAGTTGGCCATGGTGAGTTCGCCGTAATGAGTTGGCCATGGTGAGTTGGCCGTAATGAGTTGGCCATGGTGAGTTGGTCATCGTGAGTTGGCCTTGGTGAGTTGGTCGGAATGAGTTGGCCATGGTGAGTTGGTCGTGGTGAGTTGGTCATCGTGAGTTGGCCATGGTGAGTTGGCCATAATAAGTTGGCCATGGTGAGTTGGTCATCGTGAGTTGGCCATGGTGAGTTGGCTGGAATGAGTTGACCATGGTGAGTTGGCCATAATGAGTTGGCCATGGTAGTTGGTCATCGTGAGTTGGCCATGGTGAGTTGGCTGGAATGAGTTGGCCATGGTGAGTTGGTTGTGGTGAGTTGGCTGTAATGAGTTGGCCATGGTGAGTTGGCCGTAATGAGTTGGCCATGGTGAGTTGGCCATAATGAGTTGGCCATGGTGAGTTGGTCATTGTGAGTTGGTCATGGTGAGTTGGAGAGGAACACTATCCTCTATAGATGAAAAGATCTCCAAAGTTGTGTTCTTTGACAGAATTCCGGGAGCGAAGTTTCTTTCGTCAAATTGAATAGAACTGGAAGAAGGAAGAAGGGAGGGAAGGTGAGGAGAAGGAGAAGATATATTGTATTTTCAATACAAAAGGGCCAGTTGAGAAATTATAGTACCCAGAATGCCTTGAAGAGCTTTCAGGATTGTATGTATAAATCTATCATCCTTTAAGCTCTTCAAGCAGAGGGTTACAGATGTTACCTTATGTCACACCCCAAGTTACAAGATTTCACATGACTGCTATATGCAAACACACCCTTGAAATCCAAAATGGAGCTCGGTCTGCCTGTATAACAGGAGTAAAGACAACCTGTTTCAGATTGGAAGCTGTATATCGAATAATCTATTGAAGGAGTCATACTAGTTATGACTAAGGAGGAAGTCAAAGAAATAAGAGATAAAATTGTTTACTTTTTCTATCTCTGCCATCATTTCCTCTTTTCTCCACCCTACGGTCAACCAGATGAGAGAGATTCAAGGACTGAGCTGAGTGATAGCATTTAGACTTATGTACCTTTTCACAGTGCTTTTCAGCCCTCTCTAAGTGGTTTACAGAGTCAACTTATTGCCCCCGACAAATCCTCATTTTATTGACCTCGGAAGGATGGAAGGCTGAGTCAACCTTGAGCCTGGTGAGATTTGAACTGCCAAATTGCAGGCAGCCGGCAGTCAGCAGAAGTAGCCTGCAGTACTGCACTCTAACCCCTGGGCCACCGTGGCAAAGACCTATGGAAATTAAGCCCAGCATTGCAAACTGGGTTGATCTCTATTCAAAGCAACTGTTTTCATGGATTTTTCTCCCTCGTCTGAGCCAGCTGAGCTGCACTATACTGCTGCCATTGGAACAGAAAAGTGGCCCAGAACTCAGAATGACACTCATATAAATGACCATCCTGAAATGGGTTTTGAGTTGGGGTGATTGCGGATGTGCTTTGAGAACATAAACGCGGTACGTTGTTAAGAATAATGTCCCTGCACTTTTCCGGGAGACGTTGAGTTGGTTGGACTGGTAGGAAAGATTGAAAAATGCTGACTGTGAGTAACACTGAATTTCAGGAAGAGAAAAGTTAAGTGGTGATTGAGTTACGGGAAAGAAACTGCGAGCTTCAAGAAATGAACCAGCTCAGCTGTTCATCTCAATCTGCTCTTGAGATTGTGAAGAATTCCAACAAAAACGCCCTCTGTGGTCCTTTCTGGTGAACTCAGCCTTTGCGTCTTGCTCTGTCTTTCGTCTAGGAGCACCACAACCATGGAACCCAGCATGGGTGGTCTAACTTGTAGTTTTCTAATAAAGCCCACCCCTCTAATCAATTATTGGAACTGGGTTTTAAAAGCAAAGCATGTGGTGGTCCATGGAAAGAGAGAGAGAGAGGGAGGGAGGGAGGGAGAGGGAGAGGGAGAGGGAGAGAGAGAGGGGGGGAGAGAGAGATGGAGAACACCAAGAGAAAAATAGTTTATAGTACAGGTTGTTTGCTGTTTGACATGACAAGAATGGTCCATACAAGTATATCAAGCTTGTTTGCCTCTTTTTTTGCAATGTTAAAATATTCTGAGTCCAGAAAAGTGCATGAATAAATACTCATCCTCTTCTCTCTCTCTCTCTCTCTCTTTTTGTTACTGCTCTCTAGAAGCTCCTTGGGGATCTCCGCGTTGTTCTGTGACTTCAGTGCAAAATGATTCTGCCTTACTTTTCGTCTGCTCCTGGACTGGAGGGTCACCTGCTCCCAGTCTCACTTTCCAGGGACTCCCTGTGAGCAAGACGGAAATCGGTGCCTCTAAATTGCAGAGCTTGCTGGTCCCCCCCTTCCCTGCTGGGATCAGTGGCACCAAAGTTACTTGTTTGGGTCATCATATAACTGGGCAAGCCAATTGCACCTTGATTCCAGGTAAGCTGAAGAAAACAGCTGAGCTGAGACCTATCCTGTCTAAAATGGCGGCTGGCTGTATCTGGGTGATGGGATTGGAATGGTGTGTTCTCAGCAGATGTAAAATGCTCCCGGTTCGGACCAGATCACCTGATCTGGTAGCAATGGAGGCGGGTGGTTCGGAGAACCGGTAGCAAAAATCCCTGCCCCCCCATGCCCAGCTGAGCCGCACAATCATCAGAGGCTTTTTCTTTTAATTTTTAAAAGCATTTTTTCTACAATCTCTTTAAAATGCTTTTAAAAGTAAAAAAAAAAAAAAGGCCTCTGATGATCGCGTGGCTCAGCTAGGATCGTCAAATGCTTTTAAAAGCTTCTGATGATCCCAGCTGAGTTGCCTGATCGGCAGAGGCTTTTTTTCTTTTAAAAGCCTCTGACAATCAGGCAACTCAGCTTGGATCGTCAGAGGCTTTTAAAAGAAACCTCTACAACCTCGCCGAAGAGGTTGTAGAAAAAAATGCTTTTAAAAGTAAAAAAAAATTGGCCACGCCCACCCAGTCACATTACCCCTCCCACCAAGCCACGCCCACAGAACCGGTAGTAACAAATTTTAGATTTCACCCCTGGTTCTCAGGGTCTTAAAAGGTGAATGAAGTGAATGATTAATTTCATCCAGTTGAACCTCATCAATGTGAGTTTGGCCCCAACCCTCCTGTCCTTTCATACGGGCCTGACTCTGTCAGTTGGTCTGGCCCCAATGGGGGAACAGCACAGCGGAGGTGGTTGATCAAGTCACAACAGATGCCACCTTCCCCATTCTACCCCTGCCCTCCTCATATAATATTTTTTATATGACTGTAAAGCCGCCCAGAGTTACCTTACGTGGTAAGATGGGCAGCCAATATATTTTATAGCAATAGCAACGGCACTTAGACTTACAGACCACTTCACAGTGCTTTACAGCCCTCTCTAAGTGGTTTACAGAGCCATCCTATTGCCCCCCCCCCCCAACAATCTGGGTTCTCATTTTACCGACCTCGGAAGGATGGAAGGCTGAGTCAACCTTGAGCCTGTCAGAATCGAACTGCTGGCAGCCGGCAGAATTAGCCTGCAATACTGCATTCTAACCACTGTGCCACCATGGATGGATGGATGGATGGATGGATGGATGGATGGATGGATGGGTAGGTAGGTAGGTAGGTAGGTAAATGATTAGAGAGAGACAGACAGACAGACAAGCATGCAAGCAAGCCCCTGATCTGAGGAAATTAGAGGTTTAATCCCCCATGGATTTGAAGTATCATCATTTGTCCTTCATCCTGATCTAATTCAAAAAGTTGTGGTTCTGAAGATCAGAGGGACAAATCCCCACATTTTTTTTTTTTTAATTTGATTTATATGCCGCCCTTCTCCGGAGACTCAGGGCGGCTTACAATGCGTTAAGCAATAGCCTTCATTCTTTTGTATATTTTATACAAAGTCAGCTTATTGCCCCCACAAACTGGGTCCTCATTTCACCTACCTTAGAAAGGATGGAAGGCTGAGACAACCTTGAGCCTTGGAGAGATTCGAACCAGCAGAAATTGCAGGCAGCTGTGTTAATAACAGGGTGCACTAAACCACTGTACTATCAAGGCTCTTCCATTTGTTGGCCTGAAAAACCTGGGAAGAAAATAAAGGCAAAAGAGGCAAGGGAAATCGTAAAACTGAAAATTCCTTGAAATGACCCAAACTTCCCATTCCTGCTTTTCAGATCTGAGCTAGCCTGCTATGTGCTGATGCAACATTTAAATCACAAGGGTCACCGTTCAGACTTTGAGACCATGTCTTTTTTTTCATCCGTGTCTTTCTCTTCCCTGTCTCCAGAAGCCCCCTCAGGGGTTATATTGTCATTCCAGACATCCAGTGACCCCAAAGGGCTGGTGACTATGCAGCTGCGTTGCCAGGGTACCTTCAATCCTGTGGAAATTGAATGGGTTAGAGATAAGCAGTCGCTGATTCCTGCCGGAAGCCGTTATCAGCTCAGTCCTGATAAAATGCATCTCACCATCTGGAATTTCACTGCTCCCCAGGATCTGGGAGATTACAGCACCATCTGCTCCAATCCACTGGGATCACAGCGATCTAACCTCACTATTATTGGTGAGCTATCCCCACCCGAGGACAGACAGCACTAGACAAGTTATATTAGTACCAGTTGTTTTTTGACTCATGAGCACAATTGGGTCCTGAATTTCCGTTTCTAAGCGAGGCAGTTGTTAAGCAAGTCACACCAGATTTTGCAAATGTTTGGGTGGAGGTTTTTTTTTTGGCCACGGTTGTTAAGGAAACCACTTTCGTTGTTAAGGGAATCATACAGTCATTTCCCCCAGTGACTTTGATGTTAGAAGATGGCTGGGAATGTTACAAATAGCGATCCCACGACCCCGGAATGCTGCAACTGCCATAAATACACACCAGTTGCCAAGGGTCTGAATTTTGATCACGCAACCATGGCGATGCTACGATAGTCATAAGTGCGAGGACCAGTCATCACATTTTTTTCCAGTGGTGTTGTAACTTTGAATGGTTGCTGGACAAAGTTGAGGACTTATCTGTACGTATACGGAACATCAGTTTAGTTGATGTCAAACTTTTAAGTCCTATCTTTCTCATCAAATCTATGGTTTTGTTCTGACCGAGCCTTATCAGAAGCAAAACCCCTCTTTATTTACCTCTTGTGAATTCATTGCATTCATCCACCAAAACATCCAGGCAAGAGTCCTTCAAGGAGTTATTGTAACTGCAGTAACAGAGCTTATCAGTTCTTTGCGATAATTGCAAGGCCATGAGCTCCCAGGCGAAAGGCTGCAAATTAAGTTCTGGCAAGCAAGTCTTTGTGGCACGAAACACAATGAGCAAAATCTTCAGAAATACGAACGGTTGTCTCCTACGACAACCACTCCCCTTTCCTTCTATTTATTCCCCAGCCAGGGAGGGGCCATTCACCGTCCACATGTGCTTTGCTTCCCGAGTTGACTCTTCGTCCTCCATTGTTCACCTCTTCTAACTGCTCTGCGCATACGTGCATCTGGAACAGGCCCCAGCTGTTCTTCCTCCTCACTCATCTCAGCTTCCAAAGGCAGCTGCCTCTCCGGTGGCTAGGAAATGTGGGACGGCCCTGGCTCTATCTCTGCATCTGACACAGAGCATCCATCAGAGCCTTCCCCAGACTCCAGAACTGGCCCAAGTTCCTCCCGAACCTCCTCATCATCCGAGTCTGTCACCAGCTCTGCTGGCATCTGGCAGGCCACAACAGGTTTTGAATAAGGCCCCAGTATTAAACTCTCTGCTCTCTACTATAAACCAGGATTACGGAGTAGGAAGGGGTACTTAAAAGAAAGAACAACCATAGCCATGATGCTTAATTCTTGAAACGAGGTGTCTAAAATTAGAAGATAGTTGCAATGATAACAAGTATGAATTAAGAAGTAAGGTTGCCAGTTAGGAGTCTTCTTCAGTCTTCTCCTTGTTGTTGGGAAGCTCAATATGGAGCACAAGGGGATGTCCTCACAAGTCACTTACAAAGTGAGCAGAGCTGAGAACTAGAGATGGGTGTAAACTTATCTAATGAGAACTTGTACTCGGATCTCTCTGATTCGAACACATTCACTAGTATGTTATTAATTAATAAATTTGCAAACTGTTGCACTGGATGCCAGCCCTTCCCAGGTAATCCAGAGAGGAAACGTAAGTTAATTCTACTTTACTATAAAGCTGCATTAACAAAATCTTGCAAGTCTGAAAGTACAGTTCTCCCACCATCACCCTTCCAGTCCAGTAACTTAGGGAGGGTCCTTTCCAGTGGTGGGATTCAGCCAGTTCGCACCACTTCGGGAGAACCGGTTGTTAACTTTCTGAGCAGTTTGGCAAACTGGTTGTTGGAAGAAATAATTAGGGCAGAGAACCGGTTGTTAAATTACTTGAATCTCACCACTGGTCCTTCCTACACTCTTGCTCCTTCCAGTGTGCAGCTGTGGGCTGTGCTATCTCTTATCCAACTGTTTCCTTGACAACATTTCTTCATCTGTCTCCCAAGGTCATTCCCACATGCCATTATATGACGCATTTGTAAGCCAATACACAATAGGTTTTAACTTGGGGAAGGTCTAATTGCTTGCATTTCATATCTATGGGAAAAAAACAGGGAGTTTGCTTCTCTTGGCAGGCCCCTCGATCTCTGACTGGACTTTGTCAAGTGGAAGCCATCCAGGCACTGCCTCTCTGACTTGGACAGTCCCAAATGGGTCAGCGGTGACCAGTTTTGCGATTCAGATGCGAGGTCCAAAACAACACCGTTCTGCTGAGGAATGGAGTACGGTGGAAGTACTAGGAGCTGCCAACAGATCCACAACTGTTATAGGATTGCAGCCCCAAACGACTTATGCTTTCCAGATAGTGCCTTATCTGGGATCCCAAGCTGGGAACGGCACTCAAATTCACACCCTCCACCCAGGTAGGTACTCAGATTTAGTAGCCGCAGGGTTTGCGGGTGGTTTCGGGAATATATTACCAAACCACAGTAGGATGTACTATCCTATCTTCACACATGCAAACAAACACTAATGAGTATCAGAAACAACAAAATCTGCTCGGAGCTCTTATGCATTAAACTTCAAAAGCTGATAATATTTAAGAGCAACTTCTTGGCTTTTTGGGAGAAACTGTCAGGGTTCCAAGTAATACACCCATAACAAACAAAACTCCGAGGCAGGTAGATTCCTCAAAAAATAGTTTATTGGGATGTATCATATTGGCACAAGCTGGTGAAAACCGACTCTGAATGTTCCCGCAAATGTTTTCACCTAATTAAAAGTAAAAGTTTTCTCCTTTACCCAAAGAATCAGTCACATGGTCCAATCAGGGTTCTGTCCCCGCAGCCTGTGTTTGGTCCCAGGAGTCTGCAGGGAGGCCTACTAGGCCCAAAACGGAGTGGGGAGAGTCCGTGTCCATGCGCAGAGTGGCGGGGGAGCATGGGGGGTCACGCACACCTGCATGGGGCATGGGGGGGTGCAAGGGGGGTGTCGCACATGCATGAGCGGGGCGGGCAGGGGGCGTGGGGGGGTCATACACTCATTGCATTATGGGTGCCGGCACGCGAGCGCACACAATTTCTGCCCATGGGCATTTCCTACCATTCATTCCAGCATCCAAAGAAAGCGCAATGAAATATTTATTTAGCAACATGTAGGAAGAAGACTAAAATACCTAAGGGAAAGGCTAGCTCAATGAAACCAGAACTGTGGAAAATCAAAAACACCTCCGATCGTTTGTGTACCCACTGCTCAGATGGTACAGGTGTTAACGTGAGAGAGCCATAACATACTCTTTCCGTTCATGTTTGCTCACTTGAAAAATGATGCTTTTTTTAAAAAAAAATGGTCACTTTTTTTTAAAAAAAAGGCACAAAAGAGTGAGATTTTTATAGCACTGAACAGACAGCAGAAGCGTTTGAAACGTGAAAAGTTTTTAATGCCAATTCAAAATATTCCCAGTTACCGTTTTTAAAGAAGCACATCTCAGCCATTTAAAGTGCTTTATTGTGGTTGTTAAAATTGAGGCTTATTAATTGGAGGTAGTAGAAGGATGGGGTTTAATGAAATGTGTTCTCCTTGTGGTGCAACGTATGGCTTTCATGGAATAAGAAATATCTTTTCTTTAGCCCCCTAAATGACTGTTCCTCAGCTTTTGGCCGAGGAATTCTAACTCCCAGAATTCCCCAGCCATCATGGAGAATTCTGGGAATTGAAATCCAGACACTTTAAAATGGCCGAGGTTGAAAAACATTGTCCTAAAGGATGTAATTGTTCATCTTTTTCACTGTTTACTGCCACTGCAGACCATTACGGCACAGAATACAGATGGTATTCAGCCGGTTTGGATCGGTTCGACTGAACCGGTAGTGCTGACCTGTGGGTGGGCCGCCCACCTGCCCTGGCACTATGCCAACCTATTTAGGCATTTTTTTCTAAGCCGTGTGCACAGTGGTGAAATCCAAATTTTTTTACTATCGTTTCTGTGGGGTGGCTTGGTCGATGTGGTGTGGCTTGATGGGCATGGCTTGGTGGGCGTGGCAAGGGAAGGATACTGCAAAATCTCCATTCCCACCCCACTCCAGGGGAAGGATACTGCAAAATCCCCATTCCCACCCTACTCCAGGGGAAGGATACTGCAAAATCCCCATTCCCACTCCACTCCAGGGGAAGGGTACTGCAAAATCCCCATTCCCTTCCCCACTCCTGGGGAAGGATATTGCAAAATCTCCATTCCCTCCCCACTCTGGGGCCAGGCAGAGGTGGTATTTGCCAGTTCTCCAAACTACTCAAAATTTCCGCTACCGGTTTTCTAGAACCCGTCAGAACCTGCTGGATTTCACCCCTGCGCGTGCATGCATGCAAGCCGCTCGCACGAACAAAGCTCAGTGCACAACGAACCAATGATAAAATTATCTGAAACCCACCTGTGCACATAATCAAAATCCAGATGGCTGGCACTGACCCATATTTATGATGGTTGCAGTGTTCTGAGGTCATGTGATCAGCTTTGGCGACCTGCTGATGAGCGAAGTTGATGGGGAAGCCAGATTCACTTAACAACGGTGTCTGTTGCTATGTGAGACATTTGGTTTGCCCTATTTTATGGCCTTTCTTGCCACAACTGTTAAGTGAATCACAGCAGTTGTTAAGTTAATGACACCGTTGTTAAGTGGGCTCAGTTGTGGTCGTAAGTTTAGGACTACCTCAGTGGTGGATGATCCCAGGCATTTATAAAAGAAAGGATATATTTCTTAATGTGATGACATCACTGAGAGCAACGACAATCGCAGTACTGTGGTTACATTAGTAAACTCAGCAAACACTGATAAGTATTGAACAAATCCGCAGCTTTGATTCATTATGATGTTGCTAAAATCCAATAAAGCCAATTCAGTATAAGAACAATGCTTGCTGTGTACTTTAAACCCTTTTACAGTAATCATCAAAGTATGATTGAAGGAGTTCTGTATTTTTCTGCGCTGCCAAAAAATCTTTAGGAAAAAATAACTTACCGGGATTCTGGCTTCTTATAAAACTAGCCATGGATTTAAAAACTCAGAATCTAACTTCACTTTTAGCATGAAATTTGGGAATAGAGCATGTCCCAAGTCATCTGAGAATAGAATAGAATAGAATAGAATAGAATAGAATAGAATAGAATAGAATAGAATAGAATAGAATAGAATAGAATAGAATAGAATAGAATAACAGAGTTGGAAGGGACCTTGGAAGTCTTCTAGTCCAACCCCCTGCTTAGGCAGGAAACCCTACACCACTTCAGACAAATGGTTATCCAACATCTTCTTAAAAACTTCCAGTGTTGGAGCATTCACAACTTCTGGAGGCAAGTTGTTTCACTGATTAATTGTTCTAACTGTCAGGAAATTTCTCCTTAGTTCTAAGTTGCTTCTCTCCTTGACAAGTTTCCATCTCTTCTTGTCCTGCCTTCAGGTGCTTTGGAGAATAGCTTGACTCCCTCTTCTTTGTGGCAGCCCCTGAGATATTGGAACATTGCTATCATGTCTCCCCCGGTCCTTCTTTTCATTAAACTAGAGATACCTAGTTCCTGCAACCGTTCTTCATATGTTTTAGCCTCCAGTCCCCTAATTATCTTTGTTGCTCTTCTCTGCACTCTTTCTAGAATCTCCACATCTTTTTTACATCGTGGCGACCAAAACTAAATGCAGTATTCCAAGTGTGGCCTTACCAAGGCATTATAAAGTGGTATTAACACTTCTTGTGGTCTTGATTCTATCCCTCTGTTTATGCAGCCCAGAACTGTGTTGGCTTTTTTGGCAGCTGCTGCACACGGTTGGCTCATATTTAAATGGTTGTTCACTAGGACTCCAAGATCCCTCTCACAGTTACTGCTATTGAGTGAGGTACCACATATACTGTACCTGTGTGTTTTGTTTTTCTTGCCTAAATGTAGAATTTTAAGAAGCTCTTAGTGGAACAAACCCCTGGCTTAATCCACTGACACAAATCTGTCTATTTCTACTTTTAACAGATTGTAGAGTGTTTTGAAAATCTAGCACAGTGTTTCTTAATCTGAATAACTTTGAGATATGTGGACTTCAACTCCTAGAATTCCCCCAACATGCTGAAGGGGGGGGGGGAATTCTGGGTGTGGAAGACCAGACATCTGAAAATTGCTGAAATTGAGAAACACTTGATTTAGGATTTCGAGGAAGCATTACATGGACGGATTACTGGATCTGAAATATTTCTGAGCGAACGGATTCTTGGAACAGTGGCTCTAACTAGCTCGACAGCAGGGTCCAAAATTAAGAAAGGAAGCAGGAATTGGGGTGGATTCAATCTTGCATGATGAATATGACATTTAGAAGCTCTCACCGAATAACAAAGCTTAAAAACTCCACATGGTTTTAAATCTGGGTTCTCTCTCTTCCTCTGCCTTTCAGATTCATATCTGTCCGGCGGGGCCATTGCTGGGATTGTGATTGGCTGCATTTTTGGGATGCTCCTGATCATTGCGCTCATATTCTTAGTGGTCTGGCTGGTCTGCCTTCGGAGAGGTGAGTTGGGCATTAGGCCAGTCACAAACAAAGTTGAATTCACTGATAATCTGAGCTCAATCAGTCAGGAAACCATTGGCCATTATCATCCTTCTATATCAGGGGTGTCAAACTCGATTTCATTGAGGGCTGCATCAAGGTTCTTCTCCCCTTTTTAAATGTAAATTTTAATTTGTTTTAAATTATGGGGTATTTTAAATTTAGCCAAATTATTTAATTCGTTTTTAATTCATTTTAAATTTTTTGTATTTATGTGTTTTATCTCGCGGCTGTTCACCGCCCTGAGTCCTTTGGGAGAAGGGCGGTATAGAAATTTAATAAAATAAATAAATAAATAAGTAAGGTTGTGTTTGACCTCGGGAGTGGGGGGGGCATGGCCAGGGAGGACATGGCCAAGATGGGTATAGTCAGCTCGACATCACTTGTGTCGGGGGGGGGGGGACACATAATCTTCCTTCCTTCCTTCCTTCCTTCCTTCCTTCCTTCCTTCCTTCCTTCCTTCCTTCCTTCCTTCCTTCCTTCCTGGAACCCTGGTGAGGCTGCAAACAGTTGTAAGTGTGAAAAACGTAAGTCATGAGTCACTTCTTTCAGTGCCGTTGTCATTTTGGAGCATCACTAAACAAACTGTTGTAAGTCGAGAGTTTTCATTCCCAGTGCCCCAAATTGAACGAGGAAACAACTTGTTCTCACTGCAAAGTCAAAGTGATGTTTTGTCTGCTTTTACTCCTTGTAGCAAAGGAGAAATCTCCACCAACGCCACCAGAGATTCAGCACCACTATCTGTCACGCCAGGTGAGACCAAAAGCGATGGGAGCATAATGAGAGACTGGGGGCAATCTGAAAAAAAATGGCAGATTGTTGTTCTGTGAAACTCGCTGGGAAATGCCCATTTATAACTGTTCGGTCTTCTCGGCAGAAAGAGATTGTTGATCAAAGCAGTCAAGTGGAATTGACTCTCTGATCACAGAGCTTGTAGTGAATATTTGCCCAGGAAAAGAAAGGGAAAAGGACTTCTGGCACAGGTAGTCCTCGAATTACGTCTGTAGTTGAGGCGCAGTATCAGTTGTTGTGATAGTCAAAAACTGGCTCATCCTGTGACCAACTCAAACTTATTACCTTTTTTTTTTTGCCGTGGTTATTAAGGAATAGGATAGAATAACAGAGTTGGAAAGGGCCCTTGGAGGTCTTCTAGTCCAACCCCCTGCTTAGGCAGGAAACCCTACACCCTACAGACAAATCAACAAGTCAATCCAACCTTCTAGGTCAGTGATGGCGAACGTTTTTGGCACTGAGTGCCGAAAAGAGAGCGTGAATGTGTGCATGCTTCCTGTGCACGAGCGTGCTTGTCTAATCCGCAACCTGGAAGAGGAGCTGCCCAGGGCGCATGTGCGTGCCCGAAAATAAACTTCCAGTTTCAGCTACTGAACTTCCGGTTTCAGACAGCTACTCTTCCAGGTTTCTGGCAGGCATGCACACGCGATGATCAGCTGGCCGGCACGCATGCTCATGCAGGAAAACGGAAGACCAGCTCTTCTAGTTTCCTGTACTGCCGCAGGCAAAAAGGCCAGCTGATTGTCACACGCACATGCGCACTAGAAACCCGGAAGAGGAACGGGCAACACCACGCGTGCCAGGCAATATGGCTCCATGTGCCACTTTGGGCACGCGTGCTATAGGTTCGCCATCATGATTCTAGGTGCAGAGTGACTTGGATACGTTGATATTAAAAGCTTCTCATTCCTGTCCCCATGCTTTCTTTCAACATGGTTTTAGTTTCCAAATGGGAGGAAAGTCGAGCCAAGTGACTCTTGGGATAATCCTCGATGGTCATCAGGAGACTCCGACATCTATGCCATCACCTATGAGGAACATCTGCACAGATATCTCGGCCCAACCACCTTGGTAGGTTATGTAGTAAGAAATATCTTGCTATGGAATAACATAGCAATTAACTGAATCATGCAATCGTTAAGAGAATCTAGCTTCTACCCAGTGCCATTAACTTAGTTTGTTGGAAGCTGGATGGGAAGGTCCCATGAAGGTCCTATCACACAACCCTGGGACACTGCAACTATCTTATTATACAGTAGTGGCCAAAATTGTGGAAACCTTTTGGGAAAAGTGTATTTTCTAAAACTAGCTAATGACACCACTTTTTTGGGGGGGAGTAATACCATAAAATTATATATCCATGGAAAGATCATTTAATCAAGAATGTAATCCAATAACTTTCATGAAGGATTTGCTATTAGAATAGCAGTTACTGTATAAAGAAGAAAAGTGAAACACATAGAAAAAAACGAGATATATAAAATTATCACCATAGAAAAAACAAGATATACAAAAATTATCACCATGTCAGTTAATACTTCATTGGGTAACCTTTAGCATGAATTACGGCCTTACAATGTCTTCCCATGGAGTGAACCAAGTCTTTCAGTTCTGCAGCTGTTCTAATGTGAAACCAAGATTGAAGGATTGCTTCTATTCACTGGGTTTTATTGCTGGGTCCCTTCTGACTAGCAAGTTTCTTTAGTCGGCTCCATAGATTTTCAATTGGGTGAAGGTCTGGGCTATTCCCAGGCCATTCCAGCAGTGGAATAGGATTATCTTGAAACTCCAAAAAAAAGTGGTGTTATTAGCCATCAAACCTCAAAAATACACTTTTCCCAAAGGGTTTCCACAATTTTGGCCACGACTGTAGATGTGGTTGCAAGAAGAGCATTTCCTGTTCAGATTCCCTGGTGGTCTCTGATGTTCTGCCAGAGTCTCTGACCAGCACAGACTATAATGGGGAATTTCCTTTCCGTTTTATTCTCCAAATACTTTCCCCCTATTTCTCATTTATTCTGTATACAAATTAATCTCAAACGCTCTTCTAATCCTACATGGAGAAACTGAGCACTGCGTACCAAAGGTTGGTATAACAATATCTTCTGATTCCCCCCCCTTTTTTTTAATGTCATGCCTAGGAAAGAGGATGGGGTTGTGCAGCACCCCAATATTGCCTTAAATAGATTGCTGTTGGAACTGATGTTGTTTCCAGTATTATGGGTCCTTCGTGCTGCTTTCCCCTTCCATCGTTCCTCACACTCCCTCTTTTCCTTTCTTTCTTTTCCGTTCTTCCTTCCCCCATGCCCACATCGGAATGACAAAGCCTGCCTTTTAACTTAAACTGGTTTTGCCTTGGTTCAATGAGCCTATTACAAAATCTGAGGGCTGGCATGACTCCACTAGGGATTTTAAAAAACCTTGCTGAGAAATATTGCGACGTTTACAAAAACAATTTAGGTCCCCATAAAATTACTGAATTTTTCAGACTATAAGACACACCGGACTATAAGACACACCTAGATTTAGAGAAGGAAAACAAGAAAGAAAATAGTTTTTGGCCTCCATGCGTCCTGTTTTTGCTCTCCCCGCCCCCCTCAGAAGCACTTTGCAGGCAAAAACAGGCCCATTTTGGGCAAAAACGGGATTCGCGGAGCAGTGGTGAAATCTACTTACCTTCCTTACCAGTTCGGAAGTTCATGAAGCGAGCATGCGCGCAGACCTTCTGTGCATGCACAGAAGGTAAAAAAACACATTACTTCCTGGTTAAAACCAGGATGTAATGACACCTGGGCAGGTGGGCAGAGCTTCACTCCACCATTGCTCCCGGATCACCAAACCACCAGCCAAGATTGCTACTGGACTGGGCAATCCAGCTCAAGAGCCTGGGTAGTACAGTGGTCTAAGGCACCCTGTTATTAAACTGGTTATTAAGACCAGCTGTCTGCAATTACTGCAGGTTCGACTCTCGCCAGGCTCAAGGTTGACTCAGCCTTCCATCCTTTCTAAGGTAGGTGAAATGAGGACCCAGTTTGTGGGGGCAATAAGCTGACTTTGTATAAATATACAAAAGGATGAAGGCTATTGCTGAGCCCTGAGTCTCCGGAGAAGGGCGGCATATAAATAAATAATAAAAAAAAAAATACGGGAGCATTTCACCCCTGATGCAGAGCACTGCAGAGTGCTTCTGGGGGCCGGGGAGGGCGAAAACACAATGCGTGGACTGTTTGGGAGGCCAAAAACAGGCTGGTATTCAGTCTATAAGATGCACCAAAATTTTCACCCACTTTTAGGAGGGGGGGGGAAGTGCGTCTTATACTCCAAAAAATATTGTACTCATTTTTTTCTGAGTAAAACGGACCTCGTCTCCAAGCTTGGGTGCTCTCAGTGTTTGGATGGTAAATAATCACACAGTGGTCACCTCTCCACAGAAGTATCCTTCCTCCCACACTTCTCCTGAAAAGAAGGGGAAGTCAAAATTGTTGAAAGAAACATCGTGGGCTCTCTCCTGATACCACTGGATGAGATCGCTAGGGCTCACTGCCTTAGAAGAGTGAGGAAAATCCTCAGGGATGACTCCCACCCTGGTCACCCCTTCTTTACCCTCCTACCATTGGGAAGGAGATATAGAAGTATAGCCAGCCACGCAAACAGGCTGAAGAACAGTTTTTATCCATGGGCTGTCAGACTCCTGAATGAGAAATAACATCATAACTACGTAGTACGATGGACTTGCAGGGCCGGCACAATGTGTAACATGTTCACACTGGTGCAATATGCAAAACACACTGGTGTTTTGTTAATATGATTTATTGGGTTAGGGATTTTCTGTCTTCACTGTGAGTTGTTTTGTGTTTGGGGGGGGGGGGTGCACTGAGGGAGCTCCACCCATCTCATTGTACATATGTTGCGCACTGACATAAAGCTTTGAATTGAAGAACAAAATCTGGTTTCTATCTCCATTCCAAACAGTTTGCTAATGACACTGTTGTTTCTCTTTTCCCCGATTCTACCCAGCCTATCGGTATCAGGGAAGGCACTTCCTCTTCCCCAACTGGGCAACCTGGCAGGAGGATTGTGCGAAATGCTACCCAGGTCTGAAATGGTCACGATCACACACCCCGCCAGACGTGATCGCTAAAATGGGACTTGTGAAGATGACACCCAGTTAGTTACGGTCACTGAAATGGGACTTGTGAAGATCTCACCCAGCCAGTTACGGTCACTAAAATAGGATTTGTGAAGATGACACCCAGCTGGGTTATAGTCGCTAAAATGGAACTTGTGAAGATGATACCCCGGCGGTTAGGGTCACTAAAATGAAACTTGTGAAGATGACACCCAGCGATTATAGCCGTTGAAATGGGATGCTGAGATCCTGAAATGGATTTGTGCCTTCGTCTCCTACCTTCCTTAGAAACCGACAGATGGATCTCATCAGCATGAGATGTGAACTTAAACATTCTCGGCGAGTGGAAATCTCACTCGTCTAGGTAAGAACCAGCAAACTTAGACCTTCTAAGAAGTTCTATTTTGCATCCTCAAAATGTAGACAATTATGTTTTGGATACTGAGTTTTCCGATGCAGTTTTTGGGACAGAGCACACCGCAGTGCGACCCAATTTGCAGGCCTCCGATAAGTCTTCTAGAGAGCTGCTGAATGGATGGTATGTTAGAATCCCTAAAGCGCGCTTTGCTGCCAAGGACAACGGACAATGTAAACGAGGTCGTAGATCTTACAGGGGAAATGCTTGGATACAGTGGCAGGTAGGGAAGGATACGGCTGTCGTTGGATTGAGATGTGGCTTACTTTTCCAAAAAACCATTTTATCACATGAAGCTGCTTATATTCTGAGGCTGCACACACCTGCCAAGGTTCTCCATTCTGTTATCAAAAGCACGGCCCTGGAGTCTGGCCCAGTTTCTGTCTTGGAACCCAGTCAAGATCCCCTTCTTGGATACCAGGGGAAAACGACGGTGCTTTTAGAGCAGGGAAAGATATATCTTCCTGGCTTTTCTTTTCATTTGAAGATGGAGTCCATTCTTCAATTCTGAGATCAGTGTTTCTCAACCTTGGTCATTTTAAGCGGTGTGGATTTCAAGTCCCAGAATTCTGGGAGTTAACGTCCATGCTGTTTAAAATGACCAAGGTTGAAAAATACCGCTAAGATTACCAAATGGTCTGGGTGGAGGGGGTTTCCATGAATTCTTACAGCCCCACTCGACCCCCCACTGGCACTAAAGCGAGGCCTCCAATCTTCGAAATAAGGAGAAAAAGAATTCTGGGAGAGAGGGGTGGTGGTTGGAGTACGAAAGGAACAGAAGATGCAGTTCAGTGGTGGGATTCAGCTGGCTTGGGCCGGTTTGGGAAAACCGGTAGTTAAATTGCTGGCTGGCTCCGCTCTACCCCGCCCCTTCCAGGAGTCCCCACGCGCCCCATTTTGGCTCCCGATAAGTGCAAGGAGGCCTCTTAGGCCCAAAACAGGGCACAGGGGGGGGCGGCCCCCCCCCACGGCCCGTTTTCACTCCCAGGAGGTTACAGGAAGGCCTACTAGGCCGAAAACAGGGCGCAGGGAAGGGAGGGCGGCGTGTCCCCTCCATGCCCCATTTTTGCTCCCAGGAGGCTGCAGGGAAGCCTACCAGGACTAAAACAGGGCATGGGGAGGAATGCGTGTCCCCCTCCCCCACGGCTCATTTTTGCTCCCAGGGGGGTGCAGGAGGCCGAGTACTGCCTGTCATACCTCCTGGCTATGCCCACCATGTCCACGCCCACTCAGCTGGTCATTAGGGCAGAGAACTGGTTGTTAAATTATTTGAATCCCACCACTGGTGCAGTTGATTAACTCTTTCCAACTTGACATATTCTTTGCCCGACCAGCCAGTAACTGGGATAAAATGCGAAGTAGGGTTGCCCAGACTTTCTGGACAGGTAAAGAGAGGGTGGTGCTTCCTGGTTTCGGCTGAGTTGGAGAAGGCAACACCACCTCCAAGAGAGAGTAAGAAAAGATTGCAACTTCCTTGTTTGGGATAGGCTTCAACAACCTGGAATGGTTGAAAAAAGACAAGCTGGTTTTTGATGGAGGGTGAGCTATTTGAAACCTCTTAGAAAGGATTCTGGAATTCTTGGTCTTTGTGATTCACTATATCTCTGAGGGCTTTAGGCCCACAAAAGATATTTTGCGCAGTACGCAATAGTGTGTGTGGAAATGAGAGCGCTCCATTGAATCAACTTGCAAGACTCTTCTTTTTTTGTCTAAAAACATTCTCTGTTGCAATGATAGCTTTCATAGAACCAGAGGAAGAAGTTCTCAGCGTTGAGAAGAAGACAGAGGGATCCCATGGTCATTCTCGTTGGTTTTGCTCAATGAGGATGCAGGCTCCTCCCGCCCCACCCCCACCTCGGTCTCCTTTTCGTCATTATCTTCAGATTTTTCTTTGCCAGCTACAGGTAATCCTCGACTTACGACCAACAACAGAGCCCCAAATCTATGTTGTCAAGGGAAACATTGGTTAAGTGACTTTTGCCCCATTTTACGACAATTTCTTCCCTCGGCTGTCACAGCCGTTGATCAGTTAGCAACCTGGTTATTCAGTGAATCTGGCTTCCCCACTGACTTTGCTTCTCAGAAGGTCTCCAAAGGGGAAATCCCATGATCTTGGGACACAGCAATGGTCATAAAGACGAACCGGTTGCCAAGCATCTGAATTTTTGAATTGAGATCATGGGGATGCCAGGAAAGTCATCACTGTGAGAAACAGTCATAAGTCACTTTTTTTCGGTGCCGTTGTAACTTTGAACGGTCACTGAACAAACTGTTGTAAGCAGGGGAGGGCTTCAAAAATTTTAGCAAGGGTTCTCTGCCTGGTTTCTGAGTGGGTGTGGCCCTGATGGGTGTGGCCTAGTCAGCCTCCTGCACCATGGCGGGGGGCTGGGCTTTTGCCCTCCCTGGGCTCTGGGGGCTTTCCTTGAGCCTCTGGGAGGGCGAAAAGAGCCTCCCCAGGCTCCAGAGGCCCTCTGGAGGCCAGGCCCGTTTTTCACCCTCTCCGAGTCTCTGCACATACCCTGCACTTCCCTGCATCCAAAATGGGCTGTGTGGGGACTCCTAGGAGTGGCGGGGTGGGCAGGCCCAGCCAGGAGTGGGATTTGGGGGTTCTCCAAACTGCACAGAATCTTAGCTAGAGGATCTCCTGAACCCCTGCAAACCCCCAGCAGTCCATTCCTGGTTATAAGTCGAGGACTACCTGTAATCAGAAATTTCCAAATATGCACCCAAAGAAGAACCTTGCTAGTTCTTTAAAGAAAAGAAAAACCATGATGACATATCAAATAAACTGTCTGAGAACGTGTTGGGTTACTGTTTTGTAAAACTGACTCAAAATCCCCTTATAGCTGGCACAAAGGAGGCTGCAGTTGCAAGAAAATTAAAACTGTGTTAATATATAACACAGTTTTAATTTTCTTAGCAATACTACAGTTCCCTCATGATAGCATTAACGAGAGTACTTATTTGCTTCTGAAGGGTAATACGGAACACCTTTATTGAATTTCCTCCACAGTGGTGTAATTAAGGTGGAAGGGAGAGGGCCCAACCTGGATAAAGTTAAAAAAAAAACAAAACCTGGGAACCGAAATTATGTAGTATGAGAGTTTTTAGGTAACACATTCAACGGAAGTTCTCAGGAAAGTACCCTGTTTCCCCCAAAATAAGACCTCCCCTGATAATAAGCCCAATCGGGGCTTTTGAGCGCATGGAAATAAGGCCAAGCGCTTATTTCAGGGTTCAAAAAAATATAAGACAGGGTCTTATTTTCAGGGAAACACGGTAGCTAAGGAAGAAAATCCACTGAGTAGTGGGAACAGAGTTAGGATTGTGCCGGATGAGAAGCAAGAAACAAATATGGATCTAATATGATCAAGATGCTTATTGGCAAGGTGGGATGTGAAAGTTTCAGCTGCTGCCGAGTTCAAAATGGAAATAGTTTGAGGATGTTTTGGGGTTCTACAGATGGACAGGGTCATTGGAAGCGCAGATACTCAACTTGCAAATTTTGACCAGAATTTTCATTGCTAAGTAAGGCAGTTTTTAAGCAGTTTTTTATGCCTTGTTTAAAAACCGTTTTTTTGGGGGGTTTTGCCACATTAAGGAAATCACTACAGTTCTTAAGCGAATCACACAATCCTGTGTGACGTTGCTCATTGGAAGGTCTGGGAAGGTCACTTTATGGCAATCCAGGAAGTTGCAACCCTGGTAAATACATGCTCGTTGCCAGATGTTTCAATTCTGGGAGTTGTAGTCCCACACAGTTTAAAATGGTTGAGGTTGGGAAACACTGATCTACCAAATAAAATTGCTCCCAGCAATGAAGATAACACGCCAAGTGATACACACCCAGGAGAAAGAAGCAAATGGAAAGTTCACATCCGTAATTCAGTTTAACCATCTTGACTTTGGAAGTAAATCTCAGACCAACGTATTTAAGTCTAGCAGCATTATTGGTGTGGAGAACGCTCTGTGGCTCCGGTTATGTTATTTGTGGCATTGAAATTTTATCATGACACAGTGGCGGTTCATTTCCCTGGAGAAATGGGGTTCTTTAAGACGACAGTGTTGCAAATAGTATTACAAACTGAGCGGAAACTCCACTATTTGAATGAAGATGCAAACTAGCATTCGGCTAATTTTGTACTTGTCCTAAATGTTCCAATGAAATTTTCATCTATTTTTTTAAAAATCAAAGTGTGTATTTTTTTTTAGAAAGATACTTGTTGAATTTTGTATTGGGGAGGAAAAATAAAATATATTTTAATATATTTATGTTTGTATGGATTTTATTTTGAAAAGTGTAGCTTAATGGGGAAGGGAGGCATGGCAGATAGAATACATTGAATGAACAATGTGGCAAAGAGAGGCGGGAAGCAGGTTATCGGTCATTGTTTTGCCTCTGATGTCAAACAGGTCTAGGACAACTCGCCGTGGCCAACTTACCACACCTATCTTGCCACGGCCATCTTGCGGTGTCCAACTCACCGTGACTGAGGAATTCTGGGAGTTGAAGTCCTCCAGGCTTAAAGTTGCCAAGGTTGGAGGCCCCTGTTCTAGTCCAACCCCCTTCTTAGGCAGGAAACCCTACACCACTTCAGACAAACGGGTGTCCAATCTCTTCTTACAAACCTCCAGTGTTGGAGTAACCACAACTTCTGGAGGCGAGTCGTTCAACTGATTCATTGTTCTCACTAACAGGAAAGTTCTCCTTAGTTCTAGGTTGCTTCTCGCCTTGATTAGCTTCCACCCATTGCTTCTATTCATGCAACCTGGGCTTTTCCTTTTTCATGCCTTTTGGCATCAGTTCTATTTATCTTTCTGCCCATATACACACAGCACAACTGATAGGCTGCAGTGGGTGTACCAGACCGACTGGAACAACGGCACAGGGCTGTGGGCCCAAATGCTGGTGCGGGATGCTCTCTCCACATGAGATAGTGACCTATTGTATGGTCCTGCCCCCCCTTCCTCCCCCTCCATCCAAAAGATGAGCTTTTTGGTATTTAGCCCTGCTAATCTGGCCTGATGGCCGACTCCCTCCTAGCTGTTCAATCATTTTTGTTGCTTTTAAATGGGAACCAAGATGAAAGCTAAATGAATGGCTGCACTGCGATGGGCAATTGCTCTGATTGCAGGCAGTCCAGGGGAGAAGAAAAGAGACCGAAAAAGAGAAAAACAGGTCCAGCTGGATGTAAGTCGAGGGAAAGGAGACGAACAGATGACTTAGTGCAGGGCATCCCAAACTTTTTTCCTTCATTAATCCCAAACTGCCGATCAGAAAGTCTCATAGATCGTTAAAGCTCTTTCCTTCAGCCCTGCCGTAACTTCAAACAGTTGCTGAACGAATGATCGTAACACGAGGAGAACTCATTTTACAAAAATAGTATCGCTGAATCAGCTTTCTGCAAAGAGGGAGTGGAGGTCAATCTATCTTCCAAACCACCTGAAGGCAGGACAAGAAGCAATGGATGGAAACTCATCAAGGAGAGAAGCAACTTAGAACTAAGGAGAAATTTCCTGACACTGAGAACTATTAATCTGTGGAACAACTTCTGTCCAGAAGTTGTGAATGCTCTAACACTGGAAGTTTTTAAGAAGAGATTGGACAACCATGTGTCTGCTGCTTGAGGAGGGACCTTGGAGAAGACCTCCAAGGTCCCTTCCAACTCTGTTGTTCTGTAAATTCCATAATTTGATCTCTTTTCATCTTAATAAGAACAGAACAGAAAACAGAATAACAGAGTTGGAAGGGACTTTGGAGGTCTTTTATCCAACCCCCTGCTTAGGCATGAAACCCTACACTTCAGACAAATGGTTATCCAATATCTTCTTAAAAACTTCCAGTGTTGGAGCATTCACAACTTGATTAGTTTCCACCCATTGCTTCTTGTCCTACCTTCAGGTGCTTTGGAGACTAGATTGACTCCTTCTTCTTTGTGGCAACCCCTGAGATATTGGAAGACTGCTATCATGTCTCCCCTAGTCCTTCTTTTCATTAAACTAGACATACCCAGTTCCTGCAACCATTCATCGTATGTTTTAGCCTCCAGTCCCCTTACTGAAGTCTAAGTAAATTATATCGACAACATTCCTCTGGTCCATCCTCCAATACCTTTGTAGATTTTCAAATCTATTTCACTACACATGGCAATCTTCAAGTCAATGTAAATGTCCCCATTGTGATGGGTAATAGGTTCGTATGTCATTAGCCAAAGGGGAAAAAAGAACACTTTAACCCAATTTGGAGTAATTCATTGTGATTTGGGAAGCAGTGACTTAGTGGAAGGGTGGGACCTCAAATTTGGACTGCAATATATCAGCAATCACAACTGGAAGTGCCCTCCTCTCTTTGAAGATACTTGGAAGGTGGAAAATTCACCTTGCTTTGTTCTAGGGCTGTGCTGAGAATCGTTGTTAAGAAGGGTCCTGATACTTTCCTTTTAAAGCCACTAAATCCTTTTAAAGATTTAGTGGCTTTCATGATCTGAACTGCCTGTTGTGGTTCTCCAGCAGCCTGCGGAGCTGGCAGCAGAGTCGGACAGTGATGAGACTGAGGAAGAACATGGGCCAGTTCTGGAGGCTGGGGAAGGCCCGGATGAGAGCTCTGCGTCGGAGGCAGAGATGGGGCCAGGGTCAATGGGGAGTGACATGTGGACTCCGGAGCCTCCAGAGGCTGACAGTAGAGAGGCAGAGGAACAGGAGGAGCCTGTTCCTAGTGCACGTATGAGAAGAGCTGCCAGAAGGCAAGAGCAGCTAAAGCAAAGAGGATGACTCAGGAGTAAGGCCAAGAGATGATTGCCCCCTCCCATAAGGTTAAAAGACCAGCAATGGCTCTTGGGCTCTTTGTCAGAAAACAATGTTGATAGTTTTGCTGCACTTATCTCTTTTCGGCATCTTCTGCTTTTGAACTTTTGCCAATTAGGCAAACCTTTGGCAGTTTGCCTAATTATACCAAGGTTGGTGGTTAGACTGAAGAATTTGTGTTATGAAGAGTTTTTTTTAATTTAGTTTGGACTATGCTGAGAATGAGCTAATTCTCAGCTGTTCTAATAAAGTTTGTTTGTTTTGGAACTGCTTGCGTCGATTACTTGGGCCTGGGTCACAACACTGCCTGATGTATTCCTCTGAAGCCGATGTCCACAGGAAGATAATAAATCTTCTGGCCTTTGTAAAATTTGATCATTGGGGTGTACAATCATGAATCTCTCTGGATCATCTAGGTAAACAGCATTGACATAAATAATAGAGAGCATCTGTTTTCCTCTGTCTATACATGCAAATACATAGGATTGCGAACAGGATCGGCAACATCCATTGATCGATATGGCACAAGAAGAAGAAGAAGAGACATGCAAAAAGTTCCACTTTGTGGGAAAAGACCTGTGTTTTGCACAGTGCCATGTTTGCTCTTTCAGAAATCATTGATGAAAGATTTCCTCCAATTGCTTATTAGGTAAGGATGGTTCTTGAAATCATTATGAATAAATAATGTCGGGGTGTCGGGTTTTTTTGCATTTTTCTTTTTTTTTCTTTTTGGCAGCTTTAAATTGGCAGTAAATGAAAAGAGTTCATCTCGGAGTATGTTTGTGTATCCTTGTGTGTGGTATAGGAATGGTAATCGTCTTCTACTGATTCAACAAGATTGGACAATAAATTACAACCCGAGATTAATTCTTTGCGCTGCAAAATCCATTTTGCTAATGCCCTGTCAAGGGGAACACTGACCTTCCGGGAAAATGGTTTCCTCTGTGATATTATCTCTACATCTCTATCACCTTTTCTTTCTATACACGCACTTTCTCCCATAATCTAGGAATATCCTGGCCCAATCAAGTTACTAATTCAATCCAACCTTGTTTGGGTTTTTAAGGTCAGCCAAGGTTACCTGCTGTAGGAATTTCATTTATAGGATGTGATTAACCGAGGATAATAGCATCTACCATACATCTATCATTCTCTTCAGTCTTCCTGTGTTGTGTGTTGAGTCATGACCTGGGGCTCACCATACATGGGGGGAGGGGATGCAGTGGGAGTGACGAGAGAGGTGGCGGCTCAGCAGCGACGGTCCCACATCTGATGACACCAAATATCCGCGGTATTCCCCATCGACCCTTCGCCACCCAGCTGCCCAATCCTGGCTGAATCTGCCCAGCCCAGTTGCTTGATCCCCATCTTGATGATGCCAATCAACTGCAGTGTTTCCTGCTGAACCTGCGCTGCCCAGCTGACGATCCCGGCCGACTATGCACCACCCAGCTGATCAGTCCTGGCAGCCTTCCACAGCAGCTCTGCACCACCCTCTGGGCCATTCTTGGAGTTGAGGGGCCCATTTGCCGCCGGATGGGTGTCGGCCCTGGTGGACACTGTGGCATCCGGACATACGCTTCCCCAACACCAACAGGCGGCGGATGGTGGTTACTGGTGGGCGTGGGCAGCCAGACAAACAGGGGGTGCGGCCCAATGACTTGAAAAGGCTCTAGGAGGCAGACACTCCCAGCGCTGATGTTACAAAGAGCCTGTTGCCTACTCGTCGCATTCCGAGGCGCCAGCCTGTTTGTGGGGATTAAAGCAGAGTTTTGCCGCATTTCCTGCGCGTGTCCTGGTTCCCTTTGTTCCTATCAAATCCAGCCTAGATTGGCTGAGATTGTGTGTCATTAGGATCTGAACAACACAGAAGAAGTCATCCTATGGGACAAGTAATATTTAGCCTAGTATGAGTACATTTTCTCTTCCTTATCCATATGAAGAAATCCAGGATAAAAGGCAATAAAAATCTTGTCTTCCCGTTGTATTTAAATGCCTGAGCATCTATCTATATGGCTAATATTCCTGTTAAAACTTGATTTTCCAATCTGAGCCTAAAGAGATCTGATTTGATGAAGCGGTATTATTCTACATTAAACGCCGTTCATTTCTGGACTTTTTGCATTATTTAGATTGTTAATAGCTTGCTTTTCCTTTTGGATTTGAAAGGCATTTTAAAGACAACAAACACGTTATCTGTTTCATGCCAGTTTTACCACCACTGGGAAGTGTAGTTAATGAAATGTTGAAAATTTCGATCAGGAATTCTCCCCACCACCCTGTGCTCCCATCCTTTAATTCTCAAATCCTTAAATTACGTTTCTCATTTGTATGGTTTTTCAATACCCTTTTGAGGCCTACAGGAGCTCCCAACCTACAAATCTGTGCAAAATGGCTATTATCAGACCAACTCTCACCACATGAATCTGTTGTAAACAGCATAGAAGTAACTGTGATTTAAAAAAAAAAAGAATTTCTGATATGCACAGTTATGTTTGCTACAGGGTCTGTCTGTATAACAAACTACCTGTATACAGGTAGACCTTGACTTACCTTTGTAATTGGACGCCACAATTATGGTCATACGTTGTGATATTTGTAAAGCAGGTCATCATGTTGCTGGACCTTTTGGGGAGCAGTTGTTAAGCAAATACAATAGTCATTAAATGATCCCATTGTTTGCTACGGAGTGTTTTTTTTTTCTGGAAACCAGAAGTAAATGCCAGTTTTCAGAAATAAACATCATAAAATTGTTCTCATGTGATCTTAGGGTACTGCAAATAACTTTAAAGGCTGGCCAGGTCCCCAAAAAGCAGTCACATGACTAGGGGGGGTGGCTGTTAGAACTTTGGAATTGGGTAGTAACTTTTGGGGAGGAGCTGTCGTAACTTCAAATGGTTGTTAAGTGAATGGACGTAAGTGAAGGATTAGCAGGAAATTACCATATTCTAGTCTAGCACATGTTGCCACCAACCCTTTGTGGTTATTTTGTAATTTAGTGGGTCTGAGATCAGATATTAACCACAGACCAGGGGTGAAATGCTACTGGTTCAGACCGGTTCACTCAAACTGGTAGTAATAAAAACTACCGGTTCGGGCAAACCGGTAGTTAAAAAAATGCTACCGGTTTGGACGAACCAGTATTTCTGACGATCAGCTGTAACGCACGATTTATATTCACTAGAAAACAGGAAATCCTGCTAAGTGAATCTAAATTGTGCGGCAGAGCTGTTCCCCTTCCCTCACTGTTCTACTTACCTTAGAAAAGGCTTCTTAAACCTCCTATTTCAGCACTGCACGTGTTTGGCGCACATTATGCATGCAGACGCATTTGGCACATACCACGCATGTGTGCGCCGTGCGCACAGCGAACCGGTAGCAGACTTCGGAGCATTTCACCACTGCCACAGATGTGTGTATCACATGAATGGAACATTGTACTACATGGAATTAGAAATTTGTGATGGTATGGAGGTAAAAATAGGCAAATATCACCCACAGGATAGTTCTGCAAAAGATCCGCTGGAGAAAAAATAATAAAAAATTCCACAAAAAGGCCGAGCTATCCCCCTCCCTAACTTCAGCATATTCTACTCTCTAACTCAACATTTTCACCTAATCTGTTTTCTCCTCTTAATAGATGTACCAGCTGCTAAAGAAATGTAAGAAACGTTTTTTTTAGAAATGTTTTATGTTTCGTTCAGTGTAAAATGTAATGATCCTTTCCAGCACATGATAAATGATAAAAATCCAACATCATTTTTTTTTTCTTACGAGTCTTGGCAGAAGTAAAAAATATATCCAGCCTTAGTTTGAACATATTCCAGGAAGTATTTAGGGGAAAATAATAGCCATCAAAGTATTTATAAATTCAAGTTTTTGAAAGGGATGGCCATAACTCAAACTTTATGGCGCTCTGTGTGTGTGTGTGTGTGTGTGTGTGTGTGTGTGTGTGTGTGTAGACATGGTTACTCAATTTTTTAAAAAATTCATTCATTCTTGTAAGGATACCATACCAGCTGCTGCGGTGAAGGCTGAATTCATAAGAAGCACACAACCAAAATATGGGTTAGGTGTACCTTAGCGTTTGGGATGAAGCCAACTAAATATGGTTTACTCAGTAGGTCATGCTTAAGTAAACCACGTAGATAACCACAATTTATACTCCGACATGAACACATGACTCGCTTTCATGGTTTTTCTATGATTTTATTGAAAAAAGGATTATTTTAGTACTTTCATTTGTAATTTTTTTTTTTCCCTCATGGATTTGGCAAAAATAATAAATAAATTAAAAAAATAACCCAGAGACTCGGGAATTCTTCCGCAAGGTTTCCCTCCCCTTTTAGGTGTTGGATTCGAGCCCCTTTGCTTGAGGTGTGTTCGAATCCCACGCCTTTGGGATGGGAGGTACGGTTCCCCTACAATGGGGGTGGCCCTTGGCGGGGCCTGCGTGAGATGGAAGACAAGGTGGTTTGTTCGTTTTGCTTGCAATAAAAGTATTTTTTTTTTACAATATTTTCTCTTTTTTATATATATAGTTTAGTGTTGAGGTACAGCATCCACTAACATGCCCCCACCCCTGTCCAGCTGCCCTTCTGCCCTACCCTCTAATGCAGGAATCTCCAACCTCGGCAACTTTACGACTTGTGGACTTCAACTCCCAGAATTCCTCAGCCAGCATATGCTGGCTGAGGAATTCTGGGAGTTGAAGTTCACAAGTCGTAAAGTTGCCGAGGTTGGAGACCCCTGCTCTAACGTTTTTGACAGTAAGAGTGTGGGACCACTGATGGAGCGGGTAGACTCGATTGGCCTGCTATCAAGCATGGTTGCCCTTCCATAGATCTGCCAGTTCCCTTCTCCAGGTTCACCTCTCCTTCTGCACCTGGCCAATGGCTTTCCTGGACAAGATCAAGATCTCTCTGCTGCTTCCTGTCTTCTAATTACGGCACCAGCCACATTGTCCTTGGAACTCCTGCAAAGACCATGAAGATGAGGTTTCTCTACTGTCTTGGTGCTCTACACCTCCATAGACTTTAGGGCTATCAGAACCAGGTTGTAAAGATACATGGAGTAGAAACTTCTACTATCTCTGGTTATCACTGCAATTTCCTAGTTTTCTTGCCTTACTAGGCACCGATCCGTCCTCTGTGAATCTGCCCAATGACTGCATTTTAAGACCGTGTTCACAAAACCATTATATATACACCTGGCTCGGTAGTTTACCAAACCTGGTTTGCTACTTCTACCTTGCTGCGTTGACTCTTCTTTACCCTGCCTTTCCTTCTATATCAGGTTTCTTCTGCTTTTCATCTACTAGGCATACCGTATCTGGGTTGTAGAACTCTGAAGAATCACAAGGTGGCACTGAGTGTCCCTTTGCTTTCTTCTGATGGTCATCTGCAAATTTTGCAGACCAGATATTGGTAGCCTTGAAATCCAGGTCCTTTATATAGGATTCCTCCTTTGCTGTGAAGATGGTCCTAGCCATTTAAACAGCTGGTAGAACATGGCGTAGGAGAGTTTATCCTGCAGGATCAAGTCTAGTGTGCCTCATGCTCAGCTATGCTATTTATGCTTTCCGATCAGAGGCTCTGCGACTAAAGGGATGGGGGGATCATATTTTTTTGGCTCTATTTCCCAGAACACTTTGCTCATTTACAGTGGTTCCTACTATATATCTCTCTCTGACATTATCACAAGGGTTTCCACAAGGTTTTTCTCCAACCCTTCTGCATGTTTTGCGACAGGTGACCAATGGTCTCACCTGTAGAGGTGTTTCCCATAGCATCTGCACACCTCTGTTTCATTCTTCCTCACTGGTAGGCAAGTCCATCCCATGACTTCAATCCAACTATCCATGTGACTAACAAGGGCAGCCAAATGATAATTGTTGGAGATCTTAGAACTCCAGAGCTGCTGCTGAATCAGAGCTCCTAACAGATTCAGACAAGAGCTGGTGAAGAAGATGGGTGGTTGAGGTTCAGCAATAAAGGCCTACAAAGTTCTCAACTTTCCTATTACGGCCTCATCAATTTTCTAAAAAAAATTTTTTTTTCAAGTAAAGCTCAACTCTCGGTCACTTCATGGACTCGCTTATTAAATTTACTTAGTGGTTTGACATCAGAAAGGGACAATTCGCCATAGCCAACTCACTGTATGGACAACATGCCACGGAAAATTCCACGTGGGATAACTCAACACGATTCCGGTAAATTTTATTTGCCGCTGTTTCTTTGACGTTATTTGCATTTTTCGTTTTTTGTTTTTTTTTTAATTTGATTTATATGCCGCCCTTCTCCGGAGACTCAGGTCGGCTTACAATGCGTTAAGCAATAGCCTTCATTCTTTTGTATATTTTATACAAAGTCAGCTTATTGCCCCCACAAACTGGGTCCTCATTTCACCTACCTTAGAAAGGATGGAAGGCTGAGTCAACCTTGAGCCTTGGAGAGATTCGAACTTACAGTAATTGCAGATAGCTGGTGTTAATAACAGGGTGCACTAAACCACTGTACTATCAGTGGCGGATAACATGTATCGTAGTGGGTTATCCCATGTGGAATTGTCTGTGGCGAGTTGCCTTATGGCTAGTTAGCTCCCGTGGCTAGTTAGCTGTGGCGAGATGGCTGTGGCGAGTTGGCCACCTGAAACGAGGACTCCCCATCCCAAACTGAAGCAGACCTGCCCTTGCTTAGATAAGGGGCTCTCTGCTAAGACTATCAACTTACTAGTGGCTATCAATAATTACATGTGCTTCTAATTGTGAGTTGCCATCTTTTCTCCCTGCTTCAAGGTGCCCTTCATAGAGTAACAGGCAAATACAGTAACTGGCCTTTCTCTGCCTCTCGATGCACTGGGAAACTGAACCCCTTGGACTTCTGCCTAATCAGGCCATTGTTAATTCCAGAATCTTTGTGGTAATGGAAGTGACAAGCTCTACCTCTAATAGAAGATACTCTCTAAAATCACTCAACAATGCAGAGTTAAACCAAACTTTCCCCAACTGGGCACTTTCCAGAAACAGCAGGCTATAATTCCCATTATTGGACTTGTAGCCTGGCCCTTCTGGAGGACGATACGTTGGAGAAGGCTGTTTTAAATGTGGCTCTTTAAATGAGAGGGAGAAAGAGAGAGGGAGTGGGAGAGGGAGGGAGAGAGAGAGAGAGAGAGAGAGAGAATATGAATGAATGAGAATACAGGTAGACCTTGACTTGCAACCAGCCAATTGCGGCTGAAATTTCTAAGCCAGACAGTTGTTAAGCGAGCTTTGCTCCATTTTGCAACCTTCCTGGCCACCGTTCTTAAGTGAATCACTGCACTTGTTCAGTTAGTAACACGGTTCTTAAGCGAATCTGGCTTCCTTCCCGTTGACTTTGCTTGTCAGAAGGGTTGCAAAAGGTGATCGCATGACCCCGGGACAGTGCAACCGTCATAAATATGAACCAGTGGCCAAGCATCTGAATTTTGATCACATGACCCTGGGGATGCTGCCATGGTTGTGAAAAACGGACATAAGTCACTTTTTCTTCAGTGCCGTTGCAACTTTGAATGGTCACTATAAACGAACTGTTGTAAGTCAAGGACTACCTGTAACTCCAAATATCAAGTCTTCCTTTCTCTGATGATTGCTGATGGCAACTAAGAGCATAGACCTCAGCTCTGGGCCACCCACTCCATCAGAAATCACTCACACTCTTTCCCGGGGGAGGGAGGTGGAAAATAATAATACATTCTCCCTCCCTCAAGTTTTACAGGTTTGATACGGTGCATACTACTGTAAATTAGTGGTTTGCACAAATAGTCACATGTGCAGACAAGGTGTAAAGTCTGTGTAAAGCCTGGAGATTCACCTTTTACCATCCCTTCCTATTTTGCAAGATAGGTTTGCATCCTTGTTTGCATACTCTTATTCCAAAAAGATTACATTTGGTTTACATAAACATAAGGGGGAGAGTTTGCAACTCTATTGAAACCATCTTGTCCAAACAGCATTTTAACAACTTTCTCGGGGTTATAATACCCAGTGTTTATGCCCAGCTAACAATGACTTTCCACATGCTTTCCATAGAGTTTACACTCTGTTTCGACATGCTTAATGAATTGTTTACATCTGGTTTGCAAAACGCCAGACTCTCTGCAGCACACACACACACTTTACAACTATTTTACATTTGGCTTACATGTGCTTCACAAATCATTTACATCCATATTTTTTTTTGTTTTTTTCTTTTGCACATACTTGACATGGTGTGATAGTTGGCAAATAGTTGCACTCTGCTTACACATGCTTTTACAGAGCTTTTTCACGTGATCTACGCCAAGTTCACACTTTGGTCTGCCTGTGCTTTATAATGAATTTGCATATGCTTTTTAATGAGTTTTGCACTTTGTCCGGCATGCACTTTACACAGTGTTTACAAGTGCTTTACACAAAGTTAATGCCTTGTTTACACATAGTTTATACATGGTTTGCAACTTCTTCTTTTTTTTTTGTAGAAGATTCTTATTTCACATGGGCATTAGAAATGTACATGGTCTTGACACATTCCAGAACTTTAGAATGTGTACCTGCTGCTCAGATATAGACTGAGAAAATCTCGTGGCTTGATTTGAAAACACCAGTTAACTAAAAGAATAATAACTTGAGGATAATAGCCAAGATATGTTGTTCTGGTACAAGGCATAATGATTGAAAATCATAATACACTTCCATCACTATGAGCAAATATTGGCTCGTGTGTGTATGTTTTAATTAGTACTGACATGTATTACATGTGGATTTTCATGTGACTTACACATGGTGTAGACATGGGTTGACACATGGTTGACACATATATTTAAGTAATTTTTGCACTTGGTATTCACATGCTTAGCACGTGAGACACATTTTTTTTGGAAGAGAGTAACTGTGATTGGCACGAAAGTGTACACAGAATTGTTCAAAAAGTTAAATGTCACACATAGTTAACACATGCTTTACTCATGGTTTAACACCTGCTTTACTCACTGATTTCTCATGCTTTACATTAATTGCTTGTGATGAACTTGCAAATTGAACATGACTTCCTCGCGACTATCACATTGTCTACTCATGCTTTGCACATGACTTACTAATGGCTTGCAAAAGGTTTATTCACTTATTTCTGGTGTGTGACTTATGCACAAACACATGCATGCACATTCATTGCTTGATTTCCAAGTGCGCAACATGTACTCACTCCAGGCAGGAAATATACACGTGACCTTAATCCGAACTGAGGTTTACTTCACACACATGGCTATATATACTTCTGCAGGTAAATTGCACACGGTTGACACAGACATCCTACAAAATGCAGTTCTGGAGACATTCCCCCCCATAAGGCTGAAGAAGATATGTGTGTGTAAAGCAGGATTGTAAACTCATGAAAACATTGTCAACTTTGCATGGACTTGTTAAGATGTCAGAAGCACAGTTCCTATCTCAGGGATACTAACAGCTTGGACCACCAGAGAGATCCTATTGGACCTGTTCTATCCATAACTGCAAAACAACAACAACACAACCCTATCTGACATTCTTTGGGGGTAGGGGGGATTTAATGTTATTACTCAAACATGAAACAGTACCATGTGTGAAGATGATATTGTTACGTTGACTAACAGCAGCAGAAGTTACCGCTAGAAGCAACTGGGACTTCATGCCAGTGGTAGTAGATACCGGTTTTGCAATGGTTCAAGTTTATTTCTTTATTTATTGCACTGATTTCACAAAAGCAAAAAAATAAAAAAAATAAAAAAAGACCAAAGAAAAGAAAAGAAGAGGGATGTGGGGAGACACCCTTTTCAAAATCTCCAAGCTTTCTCCTGAGAGTTTTGAGAGAAGCGACGGATTAAAAATGAATACAAAAACCATGTTTGTTTGTTTGTTTAAAAAAAAAATTAAACTCAGGTCCTATTAAACGGCTGCAAATATTGCATAGTGCCCAGTCTTCTGCTGTGGGAAACCACAGCTCACCTCTTCCCCTCCCCGTTGCGATTCAGTCTGCGTGGAAAAAAGCATCAGGCCGGGGACAAATAACTAAAACCGTGCTCACATCTCTAAACCCCACTCCCCGCTCCCCATTTATGCTCTCCCCTTCCCCTCCCCCCATTTGCTGCTCAACATGAGTGAGTTGTTACAATGCAAGGCATTTTGGAGTTATACGTAAAGGTTTGACCTCGGTCTTGGGTTCAGGATAGCACGCGTGCAGCAAGTCATCCTTGGATTCTGCCATCCTCAAAGGGTGAGCTGGCATGGGTGGAGGAAGCCAAATCTCCAGCAGAAGGAGATTCCGCACTCCTCAAATTTTATTTTATTTATTTAATTAATTAATTTATTGGAATTTGTCGAAAACAAAAACGAGAACAAGAATAAGAGAATAAAAATACAATGACAAGGGACGATAGGCATGTTAGTGCACTTATGCACGCCCCGCTCTACTGACCACTTAAGTATGAAGTAAGGTTCCACGGAAGTCAAATTGTTAGGATTTACTTTCTGTAAATGCAACTCTGATGACATTGCTCAGAAGATCATCATCATCATCATCATCATCATCATCACTTCAATAGAACTGTGGTCCATTTCAGTTGTTCTGAAATGACAGTCATGATTTTGTCGATTTCTTCCTTATGCACACGCTAGCTTTCCCCCCTAGTTCCAATTCTGCTAGATTACAGAGAGGACTGCAGAATAAATGTTTTAAAACCCATATTTAGAGAATAGGAATTAGAATTCAGCTGAGATTTACAGCATCTTCTGACTGGCCTGCCAACGCCAATCTTTACTGCCTCATCAAAGTTATACTGACTGGATCTCATTGGCATGATTTTATGTCCCAGGAAATTTGCAATTTTCCTCCTTCCCAACGCCATGGTGTAAAAGCTTTCAGAGTTCTTTCTTCAATGTTTTGGGGAACTCTGCTCATACCAAATAAGCCTTGATCGACACCGGTAAATCCGCATGTCTGCGAGCTGGAGATACAGGGGAGGGATCTGTATTTTTTACCCTCCTGTAGGAATCCCTGTGGAGTTTACTCCATTGGTTGCTGAGTACAGGGGGCAGTGCTCATCTCTGTTTCAAGGCCTTGAACCAGCACTGTCCAAAGATATTTCTGTGGTAATGTGACATCATGCTGTTACCTTCCCACCGAAGTGGTACCCATTTATCTACTCGCATTTGCATCAGAGGTGGTATTCAGCTGGTTCTGACTGGTTCACCCGAACCTTTAGTGGAGATTGCGGGTGGGCCCACCCACCCACCCACCCGCCCGCCACCCGCCCGCCACCCGCCACCTGCCCTGGTGCTATGCCGTCCTATTTAGCCATGTTTTCGAGGCCGGACACATGCGCAAAAGGCGCCTGCACACATGTGCAGAAGGTGGTAACAATATCTGAAACCCACCGCTGATTTGCATGCTTTCGAACTGCTAGGTAGGCAGGAGCTGGGGCGAGGATGGGAGCTTACCCCATCATGTGGAACTCGGGTCTCGAACTTTGGGCTGCCGACTTTCCAGCCGACAAGCCCAGAATCTTAACTGCACGCTGCCCACACTCCTGTAGGGAGAGTAAGAAATATGTCCCATTGGCTATTCCTCAGCTCATCAAAACCCAATCACCCATCCACCCAGGCGGATATTTGACAGGATATCAATAAAGACCCAGAAATGCTAACACTATGGCAAAAGATAAGTGAATTGCTATAGTTATGACAGGACTCCAGTAAGGATTACCAGTAAAAAAAAAAAAAGGCTCAATCCGTTTTACAAATTGTCCTATTAAAGAGAATAGGTCTCAGCAGGCCCCAAAGTCTAATGAGATAAAGTAGTAGCTGGAAGGCAAAATGAAAAGATGGGAAAAGGATACGTGAATTCAAAAGCAAGCAAGCAAGCAACTCAACTAAAGAGCGAAAGTTTGCTTCTAATTTGGCCCTCTCATTCTTCTCTCAGGAAACCAAGGTGGGATACTTAATCTGAGAATAAATATCAGCGTTGCTCAATCAGTTTTAGCATTGATACCTCCCAAATCCAAATCCAGCATGATAAATTAGACAGTACATCAGATTTGGACATTGGTCACAATGGACCCTTTGGCCATATAGCTGAGTGGATAGATCACTATTCGTGGTTTTGATTGCAGAGTAATCATGAAGCTATCCTTGATTTCTCCATTCATATCTTAAACTGGTTATGCTACCAACTATTGAAGGCACTGAGGCTAGAGGAGGTCATTATGTCACAAATTCCTAGAACAGAGGCAGGCTTTATGACCTGTGGGCTCCTTTATGGCCTGTGGGCTTCAACTCTGAGCACGGCTGGCTTGGGAATTCTGGGAGTTGAAGTCCACAGGTCGTAAAGGGGCCATATTTGCTCACCCCTCTCCTAGAAGCAGTAGTGGGTTCCAACCGGTGTTACCACCGGTTCTCTTCGTGCACGTTCTTTGTGTGCGATCGCCGCACGCATACTCGCTTCGCTCGCATGTGCGCCAAACTTACGCTCCACGCAAGCGCATTAGATTTCTGCCCAGCTGAGGCGCAGCAATCCACTCTGCCGCGCCTATCAGCTGGGCTAAAAAATGACAAATAAAGGTTGGTATAACGCAGGGGTGAGTGGGAGGGCCCAGCTCCCAGTCATAGAGAACCGGTTTGCTGATGTCAAATCATCACCACTACCGGCTCGCCCGAACCGGGCCGAACCGGGAGCAACCCACCACTGCCTAGAAGGAACAAGAGAATCCAGAATCCAACTGGCCAACGTGTGAAATAGAGGGAAACCTCAGTATCTGAATCCAAACTTAAGCATATTAAGCAACAGCCCTTGAAATGAAGCAAAGATAATATCAATGCCATGATTTTAATGAATTGTCCCAAATTTACTCCCAAAGAGACATGATATGCTACCCCATTCACCCCATTCAAATCTGGATCCCAATGTCACTTGTTTTCTATAATTCTCATGTTTACTCATGGCTTACTACCCAACCACCCCCTAAGTTCTTTTCTTTGGGTGAGCACTTTAAGGTAGATAACAAAGTTTTTAAAAGCATAACTTCTGAGCAGCCAAGACCCCCGTGCCCTCACTTTCCCCTATTGTTTCTCTGGCAGCCTGCAATTTAAGAGGATTTGTAAGAGATAAACATGATCTGGAGAGACACATACGAACTTTAGCTCTTCCAACAGTGTGAAAAGTTCTCAAGTGGCACGGTTCTTGAGCCGGGCAGCAAATTGCTCAACTTCTGTTTCTTAAGCCTACTGCTGACCCCTAAAAGTTCTCCATTTTAAAAAGTAGCAATGGACAGCAAAGCTCATCCAATTATTCACTAATAATTCCTAAATTCCTAAATAGTTCCTAAAGCAAGCACAATGTGAGGACTTCTGGACACAGCCAACTGCTTAGTCTGTGTCCTTCTACTGCCCAAAGCTCTCGTGCATTTTCATATAGCAAAAACATGATCCCCATGGGCCAGAGGCGGGAAAGCCACAAAACAAAGGGGGTATCCTAGAGGTCATTCATTAGGTCTTCGAAGTGTACCTGCAGCCACAATGCAATGCTGCAAAATTCTCTTAGAGTTATGGGATGAGTATTATCAATTGCATAGCTTATACTGGTCCATTTATTTCCTTCTAATCTAGCCGTGAGTACTGATTGTAATGTAACAAAAATAATGTGTGTTGGACTTCAGCTCCCAGAATGTTCATTCACTAGTCACACTGGCTATGGGATTCTGGGATTTGAAGTCCACCCACTTGGGAATGGCTAAGGTTGGGAAACACTGCATTAGTGGGGACCCTGAGATTTGCAAAACTGTTTTTTTTTAAAAAAATAAAAAAATAAAATAGACGAGCGAACCCTCAGAAATCATCCAAGGAAAACTCAACAGCTCTGCTTTGATCTCCTGAACCACCCGAAGGCAGGACAACGAACAATGGATGGAAACCGATCAAGGAGAGAACCAATCTAGAACTAAGGAGAAATTTCTGAACAATGAGAACAATTAACCAGTTCAAGGGTCTGCAACCTTCAACACTCAAAGAGCCATTTGGACCCATTTCCCACAGAAAAGAAAACACCGGGAGCCACAAAACCCTTCCCATGCCTGACTATTTCCTGAGCGGCCACAAAACTAGCCTATGTAGTTGAATTAAACATTCTCTTCTGAAACTTTTCTTTTCTTGGATTTATCCATGGTTGGCCTACGAGCGGTTGAAAAGCTCAATAAATTGCGTGCTGTCAGGTGTCGCACATTAGCGGTTGTGACGCATATTCTGAGTGACAGGGAGCCGCAGCAGAAGGGTGAAAGAGCCGCATGCGGCTCCAGAGCCGCAGGTTGCTGACCCCTGAACCGGTGGAATGTCTTGCCTTCAGAAGTTGTGAGTACTCCAACACTGGAGGCTTTTAAGAAGGGATGGCCACTTGTCTGGAATGGTAATAGGGTCTCCTGCAGTGGGTTGGACTAGAAGACCTCTAATAACTGTGTTATTCTGTTATTCTCCAGAAATCTCAGTGGCTGCTTCTGATAAAGGGGCTTTTAACTATTATCCTTTCTTGAGGATCTAGTTCTATGATAGGACTGTGAGGAAGTGACACTGGAACTCTTATTTCCTCCAGGGCTGGGTCCTTGGGCCCCACCACCACGACCGCTCATTCATATCCTCCCTTCTGTCTAATCCCCTTTGCCTTCATGGCAATTAAAATATCAATTTTAAACAACAAAATAACTCCAATTACACTTGAGCCCATTAAAACCTATCCTTCAGAAATCTCGTGCAGAGAATCTAGAGCCACATCTTAGCAGAAAGATCTGCTCTTCTTTAATTTTTTTTAAAAAAAAGAAATATACAGTACACCTGGGACTCTGGACAGCTAACAATACGTCATATCCATAACCATAAACCTCCACAGTTGAAAAAAAAAATGAACACGATGATAACCTTAATATAATGCAGTTATTGTCCTCAGGCTGACTTTCATCCAGGGGTGGGTTCTACTTACCTTTACTACCCGTTTGCATTGTGCCCGTGCGTGCACTACTCTGCATATGTGCAGATCACCTATGATGACATCCAGGTCAGTGGGTGGAGCCTCCCACCGGTTTTACTACCGGTTCTTGCGAACCGGTCTGAACTGGGGGCAACCCACCGCTGCATTCATCCAACAACACAACCAAACCATCAAGCTCAGTTAGCATCCTGACCCAATATCTGAGGGAACAACCAAGGTTTTAATGCCTTTTGGAAAGCCAACAGGGTTAGGCCATCTAAATCTCCAATGGTTCTTCATCGGAGAGGGATTACGGTAGAGTAGGCACATCTCCTGGGTCCCTTAGGTGACACTGCTTCAAGGAAGAGGCCCAGAGCAGGCCCACCTCGTCATGGCTGGTGGAATTGGAGACAGATTTCAAACCACAGAGACAGTAGAGCATTCCTTTGAGAGAGAGAGAAAGAGGGAGGGAGGAAAGAAGGAAGGAAGGAAGGAAGGAAGGAAGGAAGGAAGGAAGGAAGGAAGGAAGGAAGGAAGGAAGGGAGGGTCAATTTCCCTTCAAAGTCTTGCATGTCTCTGGAAATGTGGACACCCTCCCATCTGATCATAAAATATAACAATGCTTAGAAATGTCATCAAATTGACAATAGAATCCCACCACCACCTGAAGGAGATTGTCACACCTTGCTGTTCACTGTAAACATCCTAGTTATCATCCTTCAATCCTGAGTACTTTTCCAGTGGAGGAAATCTGAGCTTCCTTCTCCATTCCCATCAATCAATGGTGGAGAAAGTATAAGAACGTTGCATTTCATGGGGGAAGTAGGCGATTAAAAAAAAAAAATGGCCAAGACATCCCCATCAGCGTGAGCTAAGCCGGAATCTATTGATAAAAACGTTCACAGCACTGAGACTATTTCAGAAGAAAGTTATGGATTCTGCCATTGATCAAGGAGATGCTTGCCCTACTCATTGCTTTTTGCAAAACACCTTTCGCCTCTTCTGAGAGATGGAAGCAAAACTGCCAACAGTTACGAGCCATGGCAGTTCAATCACAGACCTGTGATTAAGGAACACTATTGACTTGGTAACATAAATCCAGGCAGTTGCCATGGGTGCCTGATGTCAGCTCTTCAACTTAGGGAAGGTCACGAAACCAAGGAGGGGAGGGAGGGCTTTGAGGAATACTCTTGCGGGGTGTAATGCAGAATCTTGAAGACTGCCAGAATTTTTCTCTACTCCATCTTACACCAAACAAAATCAAGGCAGGGCTAGTCTGAGCTTCTTGCTCATGTTTTCTTCTTTCCCAGGACCGAGTAATCTTTTCTGAACTCCTTTGCCCTTAACCGCTTGCTCCTCATTCCCAGACTCAAGTTTATATTCCATCACATCTGGTATAAAACACAAGCCATTGTCTATCAAGTTGTACTCCAACTTATTTTCCAAAACACTGAAAGGCAAGACAAGAAACGATAGATGGAAACTAACCTAGAACTAAGGAGAAACTTCCTAATAGTGAGAACAATTAACCAGTGGAATCAGAAGTTGTGGGTGCTTCATCCCTGGATGTTTTTAAGAAGAGATTGGACAGCCATTTGTCTGAAAGGGAATAGGGCAGTGATGGCTAACCTTTTTCCCATTGCGTGCCAAAAGCGGGGGGAGGGGGGGTCGCGTGCGTGTCTGCCCACATCCATAATTCTATGCACCCCGCCCGCTCCACGCATGTGTGCGTGACCCCTCCGCACTCCTCCTGCTTTTGGCATGAGATGGCCTGGTGGGCCCAGTAGGCCCGTTTTTTGCCCTCCCCAGGCTCCAGAGGCTTTCCTGGAGCCTGGGGAGGGCAAAAACAGCCTTCCCCACCAGTCGGAGGCCCTCCAGAGGCCGGAAATGGCCTGTTTGCCAACTTCCAGTGAGTCCAGAAGGCCGGAAAACCAGCTGGCTGGCGCGCACATGAGTGCCAGAGTTGAGCTCGCATGCCCACCGATATGGCTCTGTGTGCCACCTGTGGCACGCATGCCATAGGTTCGCCATCACGGGTATAGGGTCTCTTGCTTGAGCAGGGGGTTGGACTAGAATTGAGAAATACCAGTCTAGGGTGAGGATCCACATCAAAGGCAGATATTCCTGTCATGGCAGCTTTCCCCTTTTAACTTGGTTTCAAAAAACAACAGAAGGAAAGACTTAACCTCATGGAAAGCCAATGACAGACCAAAAGATGTAGAAAATCTGGGTGATGCTGTAATTGTCTCCTTTTCTCATAAGTAGAGACGTTTCATGGAGGAAGGAAGGGATGGGAGAAAACATGGCTATCTGAAGAGATGAACGGTTATTCACCTGGACTGTTCTCCTCCTCACTTACTGCATCTTCCCTTATAACATAAACTTACGTACATCCGTGCAGAAGTAACTCCCTAGTAGGCATGCTTAAGATTTCTGTTTTTTCTTTGAAGATTTTTCACTTCTCATCCAAGAAGCTCCTTCGTTCTTTGCCATTCAGTCAGCGCTAAAGAAGCTTCTTGGATGAGAAGCGAAACATCTTCAAAGAAGAACCAGAAAGTCCAGTTGCCTCTTGAAAAAAGCACCTTTGGGAAAGCCATGACCTGGATGACAGAGAATCTCCATAGACATGTTTAAGATTGTAGCTTTTCTTAATCCATGCCATTCCTCAAGCAAACAGCAGCACCAACTCTCTGTGAGTCGATGGTTTCCAAAGCTAAGCTGGGTTGTTCCTGAGTAGAACTTGAATGAAGGACCACCTGAGATTTCCAGGGCTATTCGTTAGAGAGAGAGAGAGAAAAAAAAAATAGGGGGATTTCTTTGGTCTGTCACCATAAACAAATACATTGAATTCTGGAAGAAGGCAATTATAAACCACTTCTGTGTTGTGGCCAAGATAAGCCCATGAATGCCTTTACCAGAAGCTGAGCTTAATTAGATGTCTTTATTCCCCCCCCCACAGTGTAAGCTAATAGCTGGTGAAACTGACTATATTGGGTATCAGTTGAGGAAGGTCTCCTACAGATTCAGTTCAGTTCTTTGTGATTTTAGGGACACAACTACAGAACACAGGAGAATTTCCTCTTGGAGAATTTGGTCACAAAGAGTCTGACTTATCCAGCGAGGATGTCTTTCACGGAATCATTTCTTAAACTGAATCCATTTTCTGTCGGGAAAAAACTCCGTAAATCCACCACATTCACTCAGATGGAAGTATCTTCATGTATTGGTGTCACTATTCTTCTCCTGTGTAATTACGGTAGTGAACAGTCAGGGAAGGTGTCTCAGTACACAATTCTGGTGCAATAATTGGAAATTATTTATTTTTGTTTTTCTTGGTTGCTACTGTTTATCCTATGGAATTTACTTCAGAAGATACTTTTCATGATCTCTGACACCTTGGGACATCCACTGGGACAGGGGTGAAATCCAGCAGGTTCTGACAGGTTCTGGAGAACCGGTAGTGGAAATTTTGAGTAGTTCAGAGAACCGGCAAATACCACCTCTGGCGCTCCCCAGAGTGGGGTGGGAATGAAGATTTTGCAATATCCTTCCCCCAGGAGTGGGGAGAGAATGGGGATTTTGCAGTATCCTTCCCATGCCACGCCCACCAAGCCACACCCACCAAGCCACACTCACCAAGCCACACCACGCCTACCAAGCCACGCCCACAGAACCGGTAGTTTAAAAATTAGGATTTCACCACTGCACTGGGATACTAAAACAGTCAAGAATCATGCAGTTGCAACCTTACCTTTTGACCTGTCCAAGGACTAAAAATAATACTGGCCAAAGTTTATGAGATCTGTGGTTTATAACCAGGGGCTTCTCCATCCTTTCTTTCTGGGTCACCAAAAATGAAATAACAATAAGATACGTTATCATAGCTTTACTAAATCACTTTGTGAAGTTCTAATCCAGGGGTGTCAAGGCACACGGGGTGCTTAGATCTGACTCACGGGAATGCCCTGGAAAGAGCGAAGGACTGGCCACGATGCCTTGGCCAGCGAAAATGGAGCTCGGAAGCCCGTTTTCGCTGACAGAGGACTCGGGCCACCACAGCCCTCCCCCCCGACATGTGTGATGTCAAGATGGCCACGCCCACCCTGGCCACACCCACCCCAGCTCCATGAGGTCAAACACAACGCTAATGCGGCCCTCAATGAAATCGGGTTTGACACCCCTGTTCTAATCTATACAGAGGTTGTATTCTGAACGACCGAGATGTCCAAAGGCCCAATCCACCTGTGCTAATATAAAAGCAATACTGAGCAGAATCATCACTGTCACAATTAATTCTCCTTTTCCACTTTCCTCTTCTGCAAGAAAATAGCTCAATAGCTCAAAAGAAATACAGGCAGCCCTCAATTTACGCCCACAACGAAATACCGAATTTCTACCGTTAAAGTCGTAACAGTTGTCAATCCAGACAGCCACCTGACCGACCTGATTTGACAACCTGTTTTGCAGCGGTTGTAAAACAAACGTGCTAGTCATAAAGCAAGCCCATTCATTCCTATAGACATTTTTCATCAGAACTCAGCCAACACCAGAACTGGCAACAACAACAAATATATCAGATCGTAAGTACCTTCTGTGTGGTGTGTCTGTTGTAACTTTGAACAGTTGTCCTCATTAAGTGAGGACACCTTATATGGTAGTAATCTAAACCTTGGGTGGGCGGATTTCAGATTTACAAGTCTTCTTTGTTCTAGTCCTCAAAACAACAAGATCCAGACGTCAGAGCAAAAGTCCTCTGTGTCTGCAAAAGACGCATTCTGAACCGAATAAAGCACCTACTACCATGATGGCGAATCTATGGTACACGTGCCAGAGGTGGCACGCAGTGCCCTCTCTGATGGCACACGAGCCGTCGCCCCAGTTCAGCTCCGCTGTGCATGTGCCCGAGCCTCCTGCTGGCCACTTGGTCTTCAGGTCTCTGCCATGCATGCGCGGGGTGTGTGGCGTGTGCAAGGGCCCGTGTGTGCATGCGTGGGGAGCGTGTGTGCAGGGGCTGCACACGCATTACATTTTGGGGGTTCAGGCACACATGTGTATTTGCATGCACACATGCGCGCGCGCTTTGGGCATTTGGTCCGGAAAAGCTTAGCCATCACTGACCTATTACATCCATACATCCAACATCCTCGTGGCTGTTTCAAACTTTCTTTATTGGATCAGTTTAACTTCAGGCCTGCCTTACTGTCACTTTTGTCTTTTTTTCCTTTAATGTTCTAGCATTAAAAATGCTGAAGTCAGAAATCCCTGTGACCTATTGCAAATCTCCTGGAGCTTTATCAGTAAATACAGACCTAATCCTTATGTATGCAAATGACCACGGTCTTGGAGAGCTGCCAGTTCAAACCAGATTTTTTTTTTTCCCTTAGAAAAAAACGCTTAGACTTAAGCAACGGAGCCACGAGCTATATATTTCCCTTTGTGGCTGAAAGCATACAGGTAGTCCTCAACTTATGACCACAATTGAGCCCAACATTTCCATCGCTAAGTGAAACAGTCGTTCAGTGAGTTTTGCCCCATTTTATGACCTTTTTTTTCTACAGCTGTTACGTGAATCTCTACAGTTGTTAAGTTAGTAACACAGTTGTTAAATATTGCTTCCCCGTTTACTTTATGTGTCAGAAGGTAGCAAAAAAGAATCACCTGGGACCATGGGACACTGCAGCCACCATAAGTATGAATCAGTTGCCAAGTGTCTGAATTTTGAACATGTGATCATAAGGATGCTGCAACGGTCATTAAGTGTGAAAAATGGTTATAAATCACTTTTTTCAATGACGCCGTTAACTTGGAACGGTCACTAAATAAACTGTTGTAAGTTGAGGATTACCTCTAGTTACAGCATCTCCAATTTTCACCCCGATTTCCTTTCTGGATTCTGTTCTCCTTTACGCCCTGCTCTTCAGTATATCTTGCAATCACAAGAATTTTCCCCAAATCTGAAACCTCCAGATGCGTTGCATTATAATGCTCATCTGGCTCAACCAACATGGTCAGGCTAAGGAAAGCTGAATAACAATAATTGCCTAATAAAGGTAATAATAAAGAGAGGAGGGAAAGCTGGACATGCACCTGCCAAACTCCTGGAAGAACCGGATTCTGTAGTACCATCAAACTGAATGGGCGGTTTTGCTCAACCATTGCAGAGAGTGGCTTTTCCTGGGAAAGTGCACATTCTTGATTATTTCTACAGTTCCTTCTACTATCCACTTCCCCAAATGCCTGAAATTTCGTAATAAGGTGAGAACCAGGAAAAAGCTGGGGTTTCACTACCTCCACAAACGCTGCAAAACTAACTAAAGTTTTGCATAACTTTACCCCATTTTAAAAGCCAAACTTTCTTTGTGTAAGTTTTGCTAGTTGAGGAGAGGGCCCAGGAGACAGGACTTGGGGCAGTGATGGAGAACCTACGACACGCGTGTCAAAGGTGACACGCAGTGGTGGGTTTCACTTATCTTGGTTACCGGTTCGCTCGCGCTCTGCACATGCGCAGAGTGTATTTGATGACATCAAATTGCTATTACTGGTTTGCCCGAACCGGGGAGAACCGGTAGCAATCCACCACTGGTGACACGCCATGTTTTTGGGTGACACACCAGCATTCACCAACCCACCAACAACAACCGTTCTTGAATCAAAGATGCTTTTCTCAAAAGGCAACTGAAGTGTTGTTTTTTTCCCCTTGGGAAAGAAGAAAAAGGCATTGTGCTTTTTATCCAAGAAAATTCATCAGTGAAGCCTTGATGAAACTTCTTGGATGAGACGGGAAACGTCTTGTTCGTCTTGTCAAGTTTCGAGGTCGTCTCAAATAAATTGCATTTCAAACAAAGTCTTTGAAAAAAAACTCCTATTTATTAAGCACGACATTCTAACCCGACTCCAATCGAAGCCAACACTGACTTCCAGCCCCCAAACCCTCCCTTTCCGTTCCCCACTTCCCTGCACACATTGGCCATCTTCCAAGTCATTCTACCCCTAATCTATTCCAGCTCAAAGGAATTTCCCCCCTCCCATCTCATTTCCTAGGGGATATTATCTCCAGGGAAAATAAGTAGGTGAAAAGTCAAACGTCCCTTTCCAGATGCATTCGCTTCTCCTTATGTCAGCACTAGAGTAAATGCAGGTTGAAATGTTGACACGTCTCTTTCCTCCTGTAGGAAGTTAGCACCCAGTCCTCCCCTCTCCTAGGAAAATGAGATATTTTAGGAAATATTAAAAGGGCAGAATATTTCCCCTAAAAGAGAGGCAGAAACTCAGCCCCCCCACCTTTGTCAACGGGCCATTAAGGCCTGGGCCAGTCTATTCTACATCACAAAGATCTACCTCCTTCAGGCAGAGCCATAATAGGAATTGCCCAAAGCACCTTCATTATATCATCACCCAGCAAGGCTCAACCAAGCTCGGGACTCAAAAACACAACCGTGCATGGCCCCATGGGAGTCTGACAACCAATCAGAATACAAGCTCAAATTCAAAAGCCCAGAGAAGGTTTTGCACAGAAGCTTCTGCATTTGCGCACAGCATATTTGATGACTTCCGGGCAGGTGGGCGGAGCCTCCCGCCGACGCTACTACCGGTTCTCCCAAACCAGTGTGAACCGGGAGCAACCCACCACTGGGGAACACGTGTCAAGTTAGGCATTTTCCAAATTTTTGGCATGCCAAGCCCCATCAAAAGTTCTCTATCAGCGCTTTTAGACATTCAGCAACATGAAAATCCTTAGTCTATTTTCATAGTTATCCTGGCTTTGTCAAAGGAAAAGCCCAGAGCTTTTCTTGACTTCTACTGACATGATCCCATCCAATGATATTTCTCTCACGGTGGTTTTTACAAAGCTGCATTTGAGCTGCACATAATCTGTGTTTAAATACGAACCGAACATCAGATACCTGCATAATGCTAATCAAATGTTAGGGTCGAGAAAAGCGGAGGTGTAACAACAACTTAAATAAATGGTGCAAATACTATACATTCCCATAATTTCTTTTTTTTTTTTTTTTTTTGCATATTTCGCACGCTTTATCTTAGAAACAGACACAAAGCTGTTAGGAAAACCGGAAGCTTTCGATCCTATGCTGTCGAAATAAAAATCTGTGAACACATCTTCACTTTTTGGTCAACGGTGGGTAAAGGATTGAGGATACTTTACAGAAAATGCACGGCTGCATTTCCCCGCAATTCCTTCTTCACCTCTTTTTCCATCAGCGATGTGTAGTACTACAAAAAAAAACCCATAATAGCATAATCGTCCCAAAGCAGGGGTGAAATCTACTTACCTTCCCTACCAGTTCGGAAGTGCATGCGCCATCGTCACTTCTGATTTTTGACCCTCTGCGCATGCACAAAGCCTTCTGCACATGCTCAGAGGGTCAAAAATGAGTAACTTCCTGGTTAAAACCAGGAAGTAACAATATCTGGGCGGGTGGGTGGAGACTCATACTGCCACCGCTACCAGTTCACCGAACCATGCACCACCACTACCGGTTCGCACGAGCCGGACAAAACCGGCAGGATTTCACCACTGTTCCAAAGGTACTTTTTTTCAAGAGGCAACTGGGTTTTTGGTTTGCTCTGTAAGGATTTTTAGAAGATTTTAAGCTGGGATTTTAACCAGAATTTTAAACATTTTAACCAATTTATTTACAATGACGCGGGAAAACATCCGAGATTATATATATAAACCGGAATATATATATATAAAAGATGCATTCCTGGTGCATTTTTATCCTCCTAGCATATTCAGAAATGGTGCTCTTGTACTACTTGTGCTATGTTAGGAGGACATATAATATTGTATTGAAAAAAAAAATAACCAATTTCTGATGACAGAACTGGAATAGGTTGGGGATTTAATTCGTTCGATTTACACGTAAAATTTATCTGGGATACAGAGCTGCCCTGTGAAGCAGTTAATTCTCAACCTTGGCCCCTTTCAGATGGTGGATTTCAACTCCCAGACTTCCCCAGCTAGCAAGTTGAAATCCACGTGTTTGAAAGTGGCCCAGGGTGAGAAATATCCACTCATCCAGCCCAGAAGGACCTCAAGAGAAAGTTTTCTACTTCTTCCCAAACTTCCCTGCCTCTAAAACAGAACCTCTCTAAGAGCTTCATACTTGCGGTAGGAATTTTTCTACCTCGTCTTCTTTCCGCCTGGAGATAAGCAATTCCTTTCTACACACAGAGAGAAATTTAGCACAAGAGTTTGATGCCTGGCTCCACCCAACACTCAAAACTAGTTCAGTTTACACTTCTAGTGGACAGTATTCATACAACATGCCAACTTTGGTAACTTTTGATCTTGGTTTAATGGTTTGTTGGTTTTGTGTTTTTTTGAATAAATGATCTGGCCCATTGTGTGAACCCAGTCCACTGAGTTCACTTGCATTATAGACCCAGAACATGGATAAATGCTGTAACTAGGCTACCTATGTTGTGTGAACGGAGCCAGAGGAAAGCAATACTAAGAAGATTTATGGAAGAAATTCCATCTTTGCTTGACAGACCTTGTCTCATGCATCTTACTCCGGTTTTTAGCAGCAGCCATTTGTCTTCTGTTACCTGGAATTTCAATCTCTTAAAGGCAGAAACCTGTCAAACTATATCCAGATGCAAAAGTAGGATAAGCACATTTGCCACACATAGATATCTTCCACTTCCAACCATCTTCTCTTGGGGAAGGCAACATGTTGACTGCATTCACACGACATATTTAACCAAGTTTGATAAGGACCTATTGCCTACATTCACGCAGAATGCTACGCTAGGTGAGTTTCAGCCCTGGCTATATCTTTTAGATCTTGCATGAAACCAGGCCCTTAGGATATGTTTAGGGTTTGATAGATTGCGCAACATGAGAAAATGCATAAATTTAATAACGTTGGTTAAAGAGATGGTGTGAATACGGCCATTATCAACCTTAAAGGTGTTACTTTACAAACCTACCATGATAAGTATAAGTAACCTACCATAATAAGAAAGGAGTTTGGGCTTGTTATGTTAGCAGAAGATCGGTTGACACCCTCTTAAGTTTATCTTTGCAACTTGAAGGATGACGAGCAGAGGTGGGTTTCAGCAGGTTCTGACCAGTTCTGGAGAACCGGTAGCGGAAATTTTGAGTAGTTCGGAGAACCGGTAGTAAAAATTCTGACTGGCTCCGCCCCCATCTATTCTCTGCCTCCCGAGTCCCAACTGATCGGAAAGAAATGGAGATTTTGCAGTATCCTTCCCCTGGACTGGGGAAGGAATGGGGATTTTGCAGTATCCTTCCCCTGGAGCGGGGAGGGAATGGAGATTTTACAGTATCCTTTCCCTGCCACACCCACAGAACCGGTAGTAAAAAAATTTGAAACTCACTGTCAGGTTTCAATGACGAGCATTTAAATTTTTGCATGCTATCTCTAGATACCGATTTCTAAGCTCTACCGCGCACACCCAGTTGTTTGAAAATGTGTGAGTAAGCACACCTGTGATCCCGTATTCCAAAGTGCAATCGACAAAAAAAGAACCTGAAGAGTGTTTCTCACAAGGACATGAAAATAAAATTTTAAAAAAAATCAGAACAGAGACAGAAATATGGAAAACCTTTCAGGGCACGGTTGTTTTGTTACGAAATTGACCACCGAGTGAGAAACCGTTAAGTCAGCTGGTTGTGTGACAGAGTGACATGACTTGCCGGGAGTAGGGAAAAGGTTTTGTGAAAAGTGCAAAAGAAAAGAAAGAAAGGAAAACGGAAGCGAATTAAACAGCTGGCAGATGTCCCAAGCCACGGTTTTCCAGCAAATAATATACCCCCCCCACCCCAAAGGTAAAAAGCAAGAAAATTTCCAGGATGGTCAAAGAGCTAGACCATTTGTTCCTATTTTTTTTTAGTCTTTGTCTCTAGACAACAGAAAGTTACCTCTAGCAATCATTGGCAGGAGTCATTCTTACCCCGATAGCTTAAATGCCATGCCTGAAAAATGCAGATTTCTTTCATCTGTCTTCCAAAGATGCTGAGATGGCAGCAAAGAGGATCTTGCAGGTCACCGAGATGCAGCCCAAGTGCAGAACGTTGGACCACTTTCATGCGTTGAGTTGAACTTGAAGTTGCCAATGTTTCTCGTGAGGACACCGACAAGGACAAAGCCCAGGCTGCGAGACCTAACCAAAATTATTGAGTCTCTGCCTGGTCCTTGGCTGCTAAACTGGCCCACACCACCTGAAATAACCTGGTTAAATGAATGTCAAGATTCTCAACCTAGTAAATAACCAAAAAAAGAAAAAAGAAAAGGAACCTCCTGGTGAGAAATGTCCACCAGAAAAAAAAAAAAAGAGCAAAAAAAAAAAAAAATCCCCCAAACCAACAACAACCCCAAAGAAAATTAATAATCATAATAAAAGCGATAACAATCAAACAACCCTTTTGTGGAATCAACATTCCAGGTTCCGTGCATTCAGAAGGCCAACTGGCCCAAGGAAGAGGAGGAGATCTCTCTATTAAAATCGCAGAGCTGGAGGAGAAGGGGGATTGTTGCGTTGCCATCCACTGTTAGAGCCCTGTGTCTTTGTAGTTGTGTTAAACCACAAGTAGTTCAACCGAAAGTGTCTGAGATGAAGGGTGAAGAGAAATGGCGGTAGAAACAAATGCATATTTTTTGTTGTCGTTTTTGTTTGTTTGTTTTCTTCTATCCCTCACAGTGATGGGTTCTTGATAAATTTCATTTCTCTCTCTCTCTCTCTCCCTCTTTCTTTCTTCATTTTTTTTTCCTCTCCAGAAAGTAGAGATATCTTCCTCTCTCTTTCTCCCCCTCTCTTGGATTCTTTCCCTTTCACCTGTTTCCGTTTCCTTGTTCTGCATCGTTTCCCAGGCGCCCTAAATCTTAAACAACAGAGTCACAAAAACAGATGACAGCAAACCCAAAAGGACAGGAGGTTCTGTGCTGGCCACCGCTACATTGTCCAGAGAACCCGGTCCTGGGAGAAAAAAAGAAAAATAAGAGGTTGCCATTGTTGATGTTCTGAACCGGTAGCGGCAACTGCGGGAAGTTCCTCCCACCCACCTGGACATAATACAGGACTACTGCATACGTGCTCACATTTGCGAACCGGTAGGGAAGGGAAGGGAATCCCACCTCTGATTTAGACATATATACCACTCCGCAATCCTAGTGGTTTGCAATATCAGGATATTGGCCCCAAGAATCTGGGTCCTCATTTTACCAACCTCGGAATGGATGGAAGGCTGAGTCAACCTTGAGCCAGTCAAAATCGAACTCCTGGCTGTGGGCAGAGTTAGACTTCCATGTAGGTCGTCCTCGACATTAAAACAGTTCATTGGGTAACCTTTCAAAGTTGGAACTTTGGAATTGGGTCATAAGTAACATTTCTGAGTCCGCTGTAACTTCAAACAGTCACTAAGCATAACTGGTTATATGTCAAGGACTACCTGTAGTCTGAAAAAAGAGGTAAGACTCCGTGGACAATTACGTTCTATAAAGAAAGACTAGACGTAAAGCCTTCTGAGACGACTAATTCTTCCCAAAAGTTTGAAAATATCATTCAGCTTTGGGATGATGAACCGCAGGATGTTAAGAAAATATAAACTGATTCAACAGAAGGGAATATTTGTAGCTCAGTGTTGAATTATGGGGTCCTTGGTGCTTTCTGAGCCTGGTTGTTTTCTTGCAGACATTTCATTACCAAACTAGGTAACATTATCAGGGCACGGATGATGTTACTAGTTAAGTCATGAAATGTCTGCAAGAAAGCAAACAAACTCAGAAAGCACCAAGGACCACACAAACTGATTCAACTCAGAATCAATACAAATCCTTAGAACATCCTTAAAGGTAAAGGTAAAGGTTCCCCTCGCACATCTCTAGGGGGCGGTGCTCATCTCCGTTTCAAAGCCGAAGAGCCAGCGCTGTCCAAAGATGTCTCCGTGGCTGCCATGACCAAATGCTAAAGGCGCACGGAATGCTGTTCCCTTCCCACCAAAGGTGGTCCCTATTTTTCTACTTGCATTTTTTACGTGCTTTCGAACTGCTAGGCTGGCAGAAGCTGGGACAAGGAACAGGAGCTCACCCCGTTACGCGGCACTAGGGATTTGAACCGCTGAACTGCCAACCTTTCGATCAACAAGCTCAGCGTCTTAGCCCCTGAGCCTCTGCGTCCCTTTCAGAACGGTCTTAAAATTAAGAGCTTCATATACCTTGCCCTGTTACTGTCTATTTTTTCAATAATTTTTTACTCTTAGGTCTTAGATTACTTGCATACACTGTTTTTTTTTTCCTGTGTGAAAACATGCCAAACTTCCCCCACCTTCTTGCTGTTCTCCCATACCCTCTGCTTGAAAGGACAACAATCTATCCAGAGTCGTAAAGCTGACCGGACTTGGTTTTTACATGAAAACATTTCACTTCTTACCCAAGAAGCTTCTTCAGAGTTCTTCTTCAGAACTGAAGAAACCTCTTGGATGAGAAGTGAAACCTCTTCAAGGGAAAAAAAAATCCAGTTGCTTTTTTTGGGGAAAAAAAGAAGCACCTTTGGGACAATCATGACCTGGATGACTGAGAATCTCCATAGACAAAACTATCCAGAGGACCTCCAGGTGAGGTTGTCTCCAGGTACCACAAGGAGCTCTGGCTTCTAAAATCTCCTGCAGGTAGCACAAAATTTAGGGTAAGCCCCAGAAGTTTGCAAAGCATGAAAAGAGAGGGAGAAGGAAAGACTCACTGATAAGCCGTAAGCTGACATTGTAGGAGCCCAAGCTGTTAGAAGCCAGGCAGGTGTAATTTCCGTAATGTCGAACGGTAACATTTGTGAAGAGCAATATGGAGCGTGTGCGTTCGTTCTGGATCTGAAGTCCATCCGAGCCACTAATTAATCTGCTAGGAAGAGGGAGACAATGAGAAAGTAAATAGTTAAAGTATTGTGTGCAGAGGGAGAAAAAGGACTATTGTGTTGGGAGAGTGGAGGGGGAGAAGAGAGGTTTGTACATGTAGACCCAGTGATGGGATTCAGCTGGTTCAGGCCAATTTGTGTGAACCGGTAGTTTATTTATTTATTTTATTATTCAAATTTCTATACCGCCCTTCTCCTTTCGGACTCAGGGCGGCGAACAGCCAAAATAAAACATTTATAAATAAAGTACAATTAAAAATAGATTTAAAATAATTAAATTTGGCCCATAGTTTAAAATTTATCAATTTAAAATCCATATCAAAATTTAAAATCAACCATAAAATCATAAAATCGAGAGAGACCAGCTAACTGAAAGAGATGAGTTTTTAGGGCCTGACGAAAAGTTAAATTGCTGGCTGGCCCCGTCCCTTCCAGGAGTCCCCATGCACCTCACTTTGGCTCCCAGGTAAGTGCAGGGAGGCCTTCTATGCCCAAAATGGGGCACAGGTGGTGGTGGTGGTGGTGCCCACTCTGGGGCCATTTTCACAAATCACATGACAGCCACCCCCCCAAAGACGCTGCCATAATGGTTAAATACATGCCGGTTGCCAAGTGCCCAAATGTTTATCACATGACCTTGGGGATGATGCAATGGTTGTAAGAGTGACAATCAGTCATAAGTCAGCCTGAAAATAGCAAAGGACTGGTCTGCAGTGCCTCTGGAAGCCAAAACAGGGCATGGGGGGGGCGTGCCTTATTTTTGGCCTGGACGGCCTCCTGCAGCACTTCTGCTGGCCAAAATGGGCCACGGGGCCATGTGAGCCCCCCACATACACCTTGTTTTGGCCAGCAGGGTGCTGCAGGAGGCCATCCAGGCCAAAAACGGGGCATGCGTGAGCCACACGAGGTTCCCCCTGTGCCCCGTTTTGGCTGGTAGGGTGCTGCAGGAGGTGTCCGTCCTGTCTCTCCCCAACCACCCCGGCCCACGGAGGAGAACTACAATGCTGATCTGGCCGTCGAAGAAATCCAGTTTGACACCCCTGAGATATTCACCCCCCCACACACAAAAACCTCAGTCTCTTCATCACTAAATAATATCAGATACTCCACTCCCCAAACAGGTCTGTGGAAATGCTCTTCTCCTTCAAAGCAATTTCTAGAGTCATTTCTCTTTCCTCCAATTGCATATGAATTAGAAAGACAGGGAGATGCAGAGATTTTCTGTCCAGTAATATAAAATTCAATATCTCACAGTCGTTCATTTTCCTTTTACTGGATCATTTTCAAGCAGTGGGGAAAACCTATAAAGTGGTGATTAATGTTTCTTGGAAGATTTGCTAAACCTCAAAAGATTTTCATCCATATCCCAGATAGGCAAAGGGTTCTTTGACAGCGAGAGACGCTCTGTACATGTTCAAACGCTCATTCGCTTTGGGTTATTATCATTTCAGATTTTGGAAAATAAGTTCAGAAGCAGTTTCAGGTCCGTGGTTAATTTCAGGTCACACAAGGAAACACCAGATTAGAGTAAAATCAAGGCTACTGTGAAGAGAGGAGTCTTGATAGAAATGGGCTTCCAAAACCTTGTTCCACCTCACAAGAAATATGAGGAAATAAAAGTAGCGGGATTCACCATTAAACACTTTTCTGTGTAACTCTGCTACAGGTTCCATGATTTAAACCAGTGGTGGTTTTTTTTCCCCCCAACCTTGGCTTCTTTAAGAAGTATGGACTTCAACTCCCAGAATTCTGTGCTGGCTAAGGAATTCTGGGAGTTGAAGTTCACACCTCTTAAAGTGACCAAGGTTGAAAAAAACAACAACACTGGTTTCAACCGTCTTGCCGGTTGGGAAGTTTATTTAGATTTGGGCAAATACACAGAAAAGGCGCAATCTCTCTTTTCCTCAACATTACAACTCTGATTCCAATCCAACCTCCCCTTTCCCCCAGATGGTTTTTAGATCCATTATGAATCTCCTACCCTGTTTCCCTAAAAATAAGACATCCCCTGATAATAAGCCCAATCGGGCTTTTGAGCGCATGTGTTTAAAATAAGCCCCCCCCTGAAAATAAGCCCTCCCCGGAAATATTTAAATACATGTGCAGCCGGTCCCCACCATTTCCTCTGGTTTCTTCCACGCGCCCCGAAATAACAAGACGTCCCTGAAAATAAGGCCAAACGCTTATTTCAGGGTTCAAAAAAATATATGACAGGGTCTTATTTTCGGGGAAACACGGTACACAATAGAAAGTTTGACTCCATGACCCGCCAAATTGAGAGCCCTATGCTTGTGCACTAAATGCAACTTTCAGGATTTTATGGCCATTGGGATGATATATAACACCTTCTACAGCCTGACAACCATCAGAATTTTGAGTTTTTCATCTAGTATTACTGAATTCTTCCCTCCCACCTCCCACCGTGCGATGGTTATAGTTTTCCCCTTTATTTTGGTATTTGACTTCCCGCACACCCACGGACACTGTCACTGTTTCCTAATAAAAGAAGATAAAGAGTGGCAGTTTCCTTTCTCTAAGTGCTTCTAACTACAAACAGCACCCCCCAAAGACTCAGGAGAATGGGACCATGAACTTTTATCACCAGCCTAACACAGGAAGAGAAATGGAAGAGAGGCTAATGTGCAAGCCATAGAAAAATCACATTGTCAGGTGTCAGTCTTGGCAAAATTGGAAAATTGGTTCTGAGGAACAGGTGAGCTCCATTCTTTCACGAGTCCAGAAAGACAGAACAATAACAACTTGTTCCCTGCACAATTATACCTCTCTTCGCCCAGGAATAGCTGTCTTCCTTTCAGATATAATCTCTGCTATGGTACTGTAAACGAATTTAGATTTCCCAAGTGTGGAGACATTATACAACCGTGCACTCACTGAAGATGGGTATTGCTAGCCAGGGGTGGAATTCACTTACCTTCACTACCAGTTCACAAATGTGAGTGCTTGCTATGCTCACGCGTGCCAGCTCCATGCATGCGCAGAGTGTCAAAAACGTAGATAAATGGCACGTGATTACGTCCGGACAGGTGGGTGGAGCCACCCGCAGCCGCCACTACCGGTTTGCTCGAACCGAATAAAACCGGCTGAATACCACCACTGTTGCTAGCCCATAACTGTGAGATGACATCTGTATTTGCCCACTTTTTCCTTCCCACCTAACCCCTGTTTAGCAAAAGATCTTCCAGAGGGCCTTCAGAATTTGAGGAGATGGGCTGTTGAAAATACAGTATGGTTAAAGAGACGGGAAAACTGAGCTTCACTCTAGGTGGACTTTAAAGAAGCAGCAAATTAAGAGCCCTTGAAAGCTTGGGAACTAAATGCAACAAGAATCAGTTTGGTCTGGTGGTTAAGGTACCGGGCTAGAAAGCTGGAGACTGTGAGTTCTAGTCCCACCTTATCAGTGAAAGCCAGCTGGGTGACTTTGGGCCAATCACCAGGAGATGGTAAATTCTAGCCTTGCCTTAGACATGAAAGCTGGTTGGGTGAGCTTGGGCCAGTAACTCTCTCTTAGTCCAATTTACCCTCAAAGTAGAAGGATGAAGGTGTGTTGGATATGTTTGCCACCCTAAGTTACTTACAAAAATAATAAAGGCAGGTTATAAATAAATAAATAAACTTCAAGATTTTATGGTGTTCACAGCTGCCCTTCCGATTTATTGCCCTAGGATGTCCTCATCTCCAGAGGCTTGCTAATCTGCGTAAGGATGATGGAAGCTTTGGTGCAACATACTTTGAGGGGTATGTCGCGGCTGTCAGGATTACAGAAATAATGTCCAGGCACAATCAAGAGTCTTTAGCAAAATGCGCAACCGAAAAAGCCATCGATCTACCCCACTTGTGGCAGCCGCTTGCCCACCCCCTCCAAGCTGAGCTTAGTCACTGTTTGGAGATTGCCAGGTCCTCACAAGCTCTTTACATTGCAATCCCAGGCAGGCAGCCAAAACGGGCGATTTATCGCCTCCCCCATGCAGGCACCCCCCGCCTTGCCCGAGGGATAGGGTACCACACACAACGTTCTGCTTGGTGGATCACAAATTAATCTGCATTAAACAATCGCGACTACGTGCCACAAGATTGTTTAATATGACTGCAATTCAGAAGGGGAGAAGCAAGGAATGTTGTTGAACGAATGAGACACGCAGCCTGGCTGCACAGACAGATCCTTCAGCCTGTGCTATTTGTCTGTCTGCTGCGCCAGACTATTTCCCCATCTATTATACGAGATGATCCGATCATTTCTTAAGCCAGTGTTTCACTAACTGCATGGATTTCCAGCTGGTTTCTGAGCCCAATTCAGAACACGCAGATTAAGTTTTAAAACCCTGGAGGGCTTGAGTCAGGAGTGAAATTCTCCTGGTTCGGACCGGTTTGGGCAATCCGGTAGCAATTCTGGCAGGTGGTTCAGAAAACTGGTAGCGATGGTGGCGCGAAGCTCCGCCCATCTGCCCAGGTGTTGTTACTTCCTGCTTTTAAAAGGTAAAAAAAAAGACTCTGACAATCACGTGCCACAGCTGTGATTATCAGAGCCTCTTTTTACCTTTTAAAAGCATTTTTTTACAACCTATTCACCCGAATAGGTTGTAAAAAATGCTTTAAAAAAGTAAAAAAAAAAAGGTTGGCCATGCCCACCCAGTCACATTACCCACACCACCATCATCAGGAACCGGTAGTAACAAATTTTACATTTCACCACTGGCTTGAGGCCAGACGACCTGAAGGATCCTTTCTCTCATAAACCAAATTAAAGCATCTTCAACAGATAGCTAGAGATCAGGAATGTCCAAAATTGGCAACTTTTAAGACTTACGGACCACAACTCCCAGAATTCCCCAGCCAGCCATGTTGAAGTTCACAAGTCTTAAAGTTGTCAGGACACCCCTGATCTATAGATCCTTTGCTTGGATTAGTGCAAAAATATAAAATTATCTTCCAATTTTAAAGAGTTCTCCTTCAATCTGAGGAAAGAGTGATCATATACTGTATGGATGTATTCACTAGATTTATATGACCATCCAACTCCCAAATGCAACTCCAGGCAGCGTACAAATATAAAATGAAATGCAACAAAACTCCACGGAGGACAACAAGCAAGAACAGTTGAGACGCACTAAGATATATTCCGTTTAATGGAATGAGCCCGAAAGAACAGCCAAGTGGTCAAGGCCTTCCGAAAAGGACTGAGGCAGGAATGAGATTTGAAAATTGTTGAAAAGGAGAGGAGAAGGTTGGCAAATATCTCTTTGATGGAAGTTTTATTTTTAAGATGGCCAAGTTGTTTGGGTGAACGTTCTCCCTTTCATTGTTCATCTCCTCTCTGAAAGTTGGTACCTTCCTGGATTACCTTCTCATACTTCCATTAAATCTCACAGGAAGTCATCAGGAGACAATTCAATCTGTGGATATTTTTCCTCAGGAACAATGTTTTTGTCACCACTCAGAGGACTCCTGCCCTTTGAGAAGTAGAGAAGTTCTCCTAGTGGAGAATTTCCAAATTCCTCTGTGCTCCGTTGTAATGTGAATTTGTTTAGAAAGCGTGAAGTCCATCTCTCCCCAGGGGTGCTATTCAGCAGGTTCTGACAGGTTCTGGAAAACCGGTAGCGGAAATTTTGAGTAGTTCGGAGAACTGGCAAATACCACCTCTGGCTGGCCCCAGAGTGGAGTGGGAATGGAGCAGTGGTGGGTTGCCCCCAGTTCGGACCGGTTCGCAAGAACTGGTAGTAAAACGGTGGGAGGCTCCGTCCATTGACCCCGGCATCATCAGGAATTTCTGTGCATGCGGCCCCATTGCAACCTGATAGTAAAAGTAAGTAGAACCCACCCCTGGAATGGGGATTTTGCAGTATCCTTCCCCTGGAGTGGGATGGGAATGGGGATTTTGCAGTATCCTTCCCCTGCCACACCCACCAAGCCATGCCCACCAAACCATGCCCACAGAACCGGCAGTAAAAAAATTTGAATTCCACCACTGATCTCTCCCTATTTCATGGATCCAAAATGCCACTGTCCTCTTTGCCTAAAACAAGAGTTCTCCAAGCATCCTTCAAGATAGTTGGGCACTTCCATTCCACAACTCCTACCCAATCCATCCCAAGGCATTCTGGGAATTGAAGACCTTTGGAAAAGTCTGCGCTAAAAAGCTGGCAGAGTGCCATTGTCTCTGCTCACAAGTGACGCTGAAGGAGATGGGGAAAAACAGACTTACTGCTTGTCATCTTTGAACCACTGAAATTCCGCAGCGGGCACAGCCATGGCTTCACAGCGCAAGAGGGCTGTCTTTCCTATCAAGGGGCGGGAATCTTTGACATCCGTGATGATTGGAGGATCTGGGAAAAGACAGCAATGGATAGAGAAACGGATTGGAGGTCAACTGTGAAAGCCGCTCTCTCTGCAGGCATCTCCTGCAGCCCTTCAACTATGGGCAGAAAAGACCTTCGAGGCAAAATCTTAAAAAGCTCGGAAAAAGCCAGAGAAGAATCCCCAACTCCTCCCATTTGGATTCAATGATCTTTCTAACTCAAAAAAATAACTTCTCCCATCATTCCCTTTAGCTCAGTTCATTCCAAGGAGGGAAGAAGGAAACTAAATCCATCCACCCTTCTCACATTGCCAGTCATAAAAAAAAAAAAATGGATGGAATGGCATAATAGTTTAAGATGCTGGGGCAGGAGATTAGGAATTCCACTTCCACCTTAGGCATGAAAGAAGGCTGGGTGAATTTGGGCCAATCACTGGGAGATGGGGAGTCCTAATCTCGCTTTAGGCATGAAAGCCAGCTAGGTGACATTATGGCAATTACCAGCAGACTGTGAGTTCTAGTCCTGCCTTAGGCATGAAACCCAGCTGGATGACTTTGGCCCAATCACTCTCTCTCAGCCCAACCCACCTCACAAGGTTTTTTTTTTTTTTAATTTGATTTATATGCCGCCCTTCTCCGGAGACTCAGGGCGGCTTACAATGCATTAAGCAATAGCCTTCATCCTTTTGTATATTTATACAAAGTCAGCTTATTGCCCCCACAAACTGGGTCCTCAATTTACCTACCTTAGAAAGGATGGAAGGCTGAGTCAACCTTGAGCCTGGTAAGATTCGAACCTGCAGTAATTGCAGGCAGCTGTGTTAATAACAGGGTGCTTTAAACCACTGTACTACCAAGGCTCACAACAAGGTTGTTGTTGTGAAAAAAAATAAGATGAGGGAGTATTAGTTATGTTCATTGCCTTACTTACAAAGGTCGAATGAAGAGAAGAGAAGAGAAGAAGAAGAGAAGAGAAGAGAAGAGAAGAGAAGAGAAGAGAAGAGGAGAGAAGAGGAGAGGAGGAGAGGAGAGGAGAGGAGAGGAGAGGAGAGGAGAGGAGAAGAGAGAAGGGGATAGGATGGGATGGGATGGGATGGGATGGGATGGGATGGGATGGGATGGGATGGGATGGGATGGGATAGGATAGAATAGAATAGAATAGAATAGAATAGAATAGAATAGAATAGAATAGAATAGAATAGAATAGGCCCTAACTATCAACATATACAGATGGTGAAAAGGTAGCTGTCAGATTTGTAAATGAACTGCTGAGACCATGAGGTGTGAACGCAACACAAGCCTAAGGCTGATCTTTAAGCCTAGATTCCAAACCAATCATTGATTTTTATTTTTATTTTATTTTTGTTGAAACCATCCCACTCAGACCCAAGAATTGCAGATGCAAATGAAAATAAAAACAGGTGAGCATGCAGGGCAGGAAGGAAATGAAAAGTTGCCTCACAATTGACTGTGATAAGGACGTGTTTGATGTCTGGTGTTGAGACCCCGTTTGCTGTGATGCATGCATATTCCCCAGCTTGTTCTCGGTTGATCTCTGAGATTTCCAGATACTCTCCTTCACTGGTGAATCCATCTGTGGGGAGGGAGGCAGGAGGGAGGCAGGAACGGGGTCAGGGCCAGTGGCAGGGAGACAGACACAAACAGACTTACACACAAGAAAACACACATGACACAACACGGTTATCCAGGCCTCCTCCATGCAGGGGCTGCCCCACACAGGGCAGACATAAGGGGCAGACAGAGGAGGGAGGGATGCCCCAAATGGGCATTCTCACAACCAACCCTTAAGTGATTTTTAGCTCAAAGAATACACTGATTTTCAAAGAACATCTTGTACTACTGCAAAAATGAAAGAGAAGAAAGTTAGATCCCAGGCCGAGATAATCAGAGTGCAGAAAGCAAATTCAGAGCTAGTGGCGGTTACCATAACTGTCATGAAACTGCCATATTCTGCAGAGGTGGAGATGGGGACGGTAATGCTACTGCCTGACTAGTTTTAAGATCACGGTAAAGATTTCCCTGTCAATCATGTCCGACTCTAGGGCACGGTGCTCATCTTCGTTTCTTGGCCGAGGAAGCCAGCACTGTCCGAAGACCATTTCCATGATTATGTGGACAGCATGGCTACATTGTTCTATTGGTCCTATTTATCTACTCGCATTTGCATGCTTTCGAACTGTTAGGTGAGCAGGAGCTGGGAGAAGAACAGGAGCTCACCCTGCTGCGCGGAACTCGGGTCTCGAACCCGGATTGTCAGCTCTCCAAGCGCAGTGTCTTTAACCGCTGAGCCATCGCGCGCGGCACCCCCCCTCCAGTTTTAAGATTACCTATAGATTAAATTGTTGGTGTACGCAATAAACCAAATAGTCAGCTGCCTCTAACACAATGCACAGTTAGGAAGGGAAGCTCTCCAATAAGGCTCCATCTCCCGGTGAGTCAGAAATGCAGTGTTCCTATTAGGATGTCATCACTCGCTACCTCGCCTTGTTCCCTTCCATTCACAACATTTCATGCAAAATGTCAAAACTCCAATTCAAATCTTCGGCAGCGTCGCTTTGCTGCAGCTGTGCTCCTTTTATGAATGAAGCAAAATTCTGCATGAAGGGAAGTCGGCTTTTTTTGCGGCAGGAACAAACCGAGCCAACAGATAAATAAAATAGTATTCTATCCTGCTCATTATGGGGTCCAGGAGGAATGTTGATTTATGTTGACATGTAAAATCTCAATCCCCGTCAATATTGTCTGTTCAGTCCAGCTCGCTACTTTTTCCTTCCTCCACCCCAAGTATCTGGGATTTCATACATATTGCCCACAGCTTTTCAATGGATTTTTTTGTTTGTTTGCAGCCTTAAGAAAAGGCTGATTTGATTTATTTAAATGGGGGAATAAGGGATGAGATCGGGGGGGGGGGGGAGATAATTTTTTTTTAAAAAAAGGCAGATTTCTGCATTTAGGATTAAATTCCATCTGCTTAAATGATGCCTTGGGACCTGGCAGACACCACCTCTGTGGAGGCACCCAAGCTGTGTCTAGACATGCTCAATCTGGAGAGTTTAAAACGAGCAGTTGATGTCATACAAATGCTAAACTTGGTCTATTTTAATCTTGATTCGATACTAGGGGTTAGTGGTTATATGAACCCCAGGCCATTTGATCAGTGCATGACTCAAGATATCCTGCAAACTCTGAAAACAGGGATTCGTTTATATTTAATCATGTTTAGCATGTGGTGTGAACACAGCTCCCTGACCCACCCATTCTCACTTATGCTGGCAATTAGTAGCTTGCAATGGGGGGTGAGGGGGTGGGCAGCACCTCCTCCAGCTTTCCTCACCTTTCAGCTGTCGCCAAATTACCGTCGGTTCCGGTTTTCCCACTGCCAGGCACAGCAAATTCACATTGCTTCCTTCATTCACCGTCACAGCTGCGGAAATGTTCACGATCCGAGCTGGAACTGTGGAGTTTAAAAGAGAGAGGCGGCATAAAGGCATGGGAGAATGACCTTGGGAGACAGAAGGCAGAGCTGAGATGGGACAAAGGAAAAAAGAGGCCTCAGCCCACAAGAAGAGGGAGAGATAAAGGTTCAAAAGAAGACAACAAGTAAAGCGCTCCTGAAGATCCCTTGATATTTAGAGACCCAATTGGAATAATGGACACTGGATGAGAAGTGAGGAGATGGGGAGGTCTAGTCCTGCTTTAGGCACAAATCCAATGAGTGACTTTGGACCAGTGCTTCTCTCTCGCTCTCTCAGCCCTGGAAGAAGAAGGCAACTGTCAGGGTTCCTAGTAATCACTTCTGAAAATGCTATCAAGTAGTGGCGGGATTCAAATAATTTAACAACCAGTTCTCTGCCTTAATGACCGGCTGGGTGGGCGTGGCTATGGTGGGCGTGGCCAGGGGTGTGACAGGCAGCACTCAGCCTCCTGCACCCCCCTAGGAGCAAAAACGGGCCATGGGGGGATGTGCCGCATCCCTCCGTGCCCCATTTTTGGCCTAGGAGGCCTCCCTGAAGCCTCCTAGGAGTGAAAATGGGCTGTGGGATGGGGAGAGGACCCACCCCATTTTGGGCCTAGGAGGCCTCCCTGCACTTACCTGGGAGCCAAAATGGGGCACGGGGGACTCCCGGAAGGGACGGGGCAGGAAGGGGTGGGGCCAGTCATCAATTTAACTACCGGTTTGCCCAAACAGACCCAAACCAGCTAAATCCCACCACTGCTACCAAGACAACTGCAGGAACTTGTAAACCTTAATTACAATTAGATATTTTTTTTGTGGGGGGAGCAGTCTGTTCAATACAGCTGCCCCAACACAAACTCATACATACATATTTAACAGTATAAAGTGCACCCAAAAGAGCTTAGAGAGGGGGGGAAGAAGGTTGGGTTTTAAATTCAACTGGAGGTTGAATTCAACTGGAGTTGTACGCATTTTCTCTAGACTTCCGCTTTTGTTTGTCCCGTAATTAGACACGATCGCCACTTGCTCCAGAAATGGGGAGCCACCAGTTGACTGAAAGGAGATGTTACTGTTGGAAATGTAAAGATTTGCACTTGGTGGATGAAGGGAATTCCGAAATCTTCCTCGGCCAACTCTTCTGCCATCTAGTGACCAGCCTTCACCACTGCTGATAGAAACCCCCCCAAGAGAAAATACAGAAGCCCTGGAGATGTGGAGCCAACATCAGGTGCACTGTACTCCCCACATTTCGCAAATCACTGTCCCACCTGCCTTATCTTTGGACTACCGCCTCCACAAATCTCAGCACGGGATGCTTCGGGCTTCCTTCCCTGTTGCAGCGGAAGAAGCCCCCCCTCCTTCAATGAAAAAAAATACAACAACACCCCCCCCCCCCAGTTTGGGCCTAACGATCCACATTGTTTTTAGGATAAACTGGGGTTGTGTCTGCAGTGACAGAGCTATGGGAAAAGGAGAACAGCTGTTTCCTTAATCTGCAGGTTGCTCATCCCAGACTGAGTCCAATCAGTTTGTATTGTAGCAGCTTCCCGGCTCCAGCAACTACGAGAAAGGGGGATTTGTGGGGCTATAATTACGGGGTGCACAGCGTTGCAGTTGTGGCTTTTGCTAATACAGCAGAAAGGCTGGAGGTGCCTGGGAATTGGGAAAGAAAGTGAAAAGGAAGAAAGAGAGAGAGAAGAAAAAATTTTTTTAGCTGGTTTTGACAGCTGGGAAGAGACTTGGGTTCTCAGAGGCCAACATATACACCCCCTTCTTTGGGAATGTATAGATGGAGAAGAGTTATTTCTCTACAGATCCTTTGGCTGGGTTCACACAACTCTTTTTACTAGACTACTTTGGAACTGGCTAATTTGGATTGGCCAATCAGATGAGCCTATGCCACAAAGTTAAGCCATCCTATAGTTTATGGGAAGAGTCCAAAACAATATAGGCATCGGTTTTGCGGATCTGGTATGAGAGTTTAGCCTGGAATGTGAATCACACCTTAGGACAGGCGTCTCCAAACTTGGCAACTTTTAAGACTTGTGGACTTCCAACTCCCAGAATTCTATGTTAGATATGAGAGACAATGTAATTTGGAATCTTCTCTCTGCCGTCGATAGTAAAATTCCATGAAATAATAATAATAATAATAATAATAAAAAAACCAGGACAATTGCACCATAAAAGTCTTATCTGGGCACAACATTTGCAGGTTTTTGGAATCAGGGCACTTCCACATTACACTGTTTCCCTTCCCCAATCTCTCAGAAGCAGCTTGAAGCAAATCCCTCATCCTCTTTGCCTTCTCCAGCTTTGAAATCTTGAGAACTTATCTGAGTTAGTCAGTGTTCCTCTGCCTGATGCATAAGAGCTTGCCAAAAATGTTCTATCTCAAGCTCCTGCTCCTCTCAAAATAACAAAAATGGCCTCACCACTAGTCTAGCAAAAAGAGAGAGAACATATCACATCCTTCCCATATCTATCGATCTGGTCGTACAGGAAATACCTAACGGATGGCGATGAGAACGATTGGCCAAGCATGCCAAGCCACCTTTGTTGCCTGGAGAAGACCTTATGGAAATATTGCTAGGAAACATCTAAAAAAACAAGACTTTCCACCCATTGCAATTTCATGAACAGGATCGCTGGACAGAAACAAGCTAGGTCAGTTTCTCAACACGGTGACATCAGAGAGGTCTTATTTGTGCGAAGCGTCACCTGGAGGTGCTCCAGACCCTCCCTTCCTTTTCTTGCACCCATACCATATACGATGAGGTACACCTGCGAGGTGTGAGGCTTGTCCTGGGTCTGGAACGAACATGTGTAGAGCCCTTCATCGTACACATCGACGTGGCTGATCATGATGCTGAACTCAGAGGGGCTGTACTGTAGTAGCTGCACTCGCAGGTCAATGGACCATTTGTCGTTGCCAGCATACAAGATGTTGGAACGGTTCAGCCAAGCCACACGCGTCACCTGTTGGTCTATGTAGCAGCTGTAGAGAAGGGGAGGCAGAAGGAATAAGAGTGAGCGTCTATGGAGAGTCATGGTTGTCCCAAAGGTGTTTTTTTTTCCCCCTAAAAATAACTGGGCTTTCTTCTTTTTTTGTCTTTGAAAACATTTTGCTTCTCATCCAAGAAACTTCTTCTGAGTTAGAACTAAAGAAGCTTCTTGGATGAGATGAGTGGTGGGATTCAACTGACGTAACAACCGGTTTGCTGAGTGTGTACTTCACTTGCACATTTGCCAAACACGTGTGCCGTGCGCGCACAGTACATTTGAAAACAGCTCTAAAACTTACCTTCTACTGCAGCTCCGGTGAGTAAAACAGCTGAGGTATGGCAATCCGCTCTACCGCGCCTATCAGCTGGGCTTCAAACAAAGGAAATATAGGTTGGTATAGCACAGGGGTGGGCAGAAGGGCCCAGCTGATCGTCAGAGCGAACCGGTTCGCTCTCAGCTGATCATCGGAACTAATGTTCTCCCAAACCGGCTGAATCCCACCCCAGATGAGATGTGAAATGTTTTCAGAGGAAAAAGACTTACAATCAGTTGTAAAAAAATCAGCCCATTTTTTTTATCTCTGAGAGACGGATGTATCTCTCTTCCCTTTAGGAAAGACAGGAAGAAAGAGGAAAGAAGAGCATCATAACTCCAGGTTCTTCTCAGGGCACGGAAAAGCCTTTGGGTGCCTCCACTGAACTCTTTGAAGTCCCCAAACCCATGTTATTATAGCATCTGTTCTCTAATTTTATTAATGATTTTTTTTTTAAAAAAAAATGAGATAAAAACAAATGCTAACTAATATAAAATGAAAAAAAGAAAAGAAGAACTAAGTCAGTAAAGGAAAAGCTCAAAGTGCAAGAGAAGAAAAAGAAAAGAAGACCCCCTCCCTCTTCTTTGTGGCAGCCGCTGAGATGTTGGAACACTGCTATCATGTCACCCCAGTCCTTCTTTTCATTAAACTAGACCAGGTGTCTACAACCTGCCACTCCGGAGCCACATGCGGCTCTCTGGGCTCTCTGTTGTGGTTCCCTGTTGGATGATCCCACCACTGGCTGGCCCCACCCCTCGCCCTCCCTTCCCAGTCACTCCTCACCTGGCCTGAGAACGTAAGGGTGATGGCGGGGGATGGAGAAGCAGCTGGGGCAGAGACAGAGAGATACAGAGAGAGAGGGGGGAGAGAGAGGGAGGGGGGAGAGAGAGATGTCAAAAGGATTTTGTGATTCCCGTTGTTTTTTAACAACCGGTTCTCTGCCCTAATGACTGGCTGGGTAGGCGTGGCTAGGGGGTCATGTGACTGGTGAAAGTGAGTGACATTGAGTTGGCCAGGTCCATCAAGATTTTGTGGCTCCCGGTGTTTTCTTTTCTGTGGGAAATGGGTTTAAGGTTGCAGACCCCTGAACTAGACATACCCAGTTCCCTCAACCGTTCTTCATATGTTTTAGCCTCCAGTCTCCTAATCATCTTTGTTGCTCTTCTCTGTGCTCTTTCTAGAGTCTTAACACCTTTTTTATATCATAGTGACAACAATAAAAAAAGGTAACGATAAAAAAAGTAGGTGACAATATCTTAACAATATAATAGTAGTAGAATAGTAGACTTCTTTATTGGCCAAGTGTGATTGGACACAGAAGGAATTTGTCTTTGGTGCATAGGCTCTCAGTGTACATAAAAGACAAGATACGTTCGTCAAGAATCATAAGGTACAACACTTAATGATAGTCATAGGGTACAAATAAGCAATCGAATCATACTAGGAAACAATCAATATAAATCGTAAGAATACAAGCAACAAGGTTACAGTTATACAGTCATAAGTGGGGGGGAGATGGGTGATAGGAACGATGAGAAGACTAATAGTAATAGTAATGCAGACTTAGTGAATAGTTTGACAGTGTTGAGGGAATTATTTGTTTAGCAGGGTGAAGGCGTTCAGGGAAAAAACTGTTCTTGTGTCTAGTTGTTCTGGGTTTATATAACAATATAAAAAGGAGATAACAACGTCCTCGGATTTGTGAACCTGCTGTGCCTACAAGGACTCTTTCAAATGCAACCTCTTTCAACCAGGCTTTGGGTGCTTCCTCCCGCCGCCTCCACCTGACCCCCCCAACCACCTTGTGGCCTGGCTTCTCACCAGCCAGATGGACCCCCTAATTTCTACAGACACGCTGTCACTGCCCTGCTGCTCCGAGATGGAAGATTTAATTATTTAAATGTTTTTTCTCTGGCTTGAAGGCAAAGGGCACTAAGTCATCTGATTTCTTGGTTCCTGACAGCTGTCAGACATAGATTGGACAAACACCCGTAAAGATAATGGGAAAAGAGCTTCAAGGAGAAAAGACTTCGAATTCACCCTTTCCAATCAGGGCTGGCCCCAAATATGACCGGAGTGCTATTGCTGCTGATCTCTCGTGACATAATGCAGCTCTAAAGCCAAACACCCAGCCAGAAGTGTGCCTTGAAGAAAAAGAGGTTAGAGTCCTAGACCTTAGAGGTTCAAACTTATCCATTTAGTGAAATCATGTAGTTCTTTCTTCTTCCTTTTCTTTAAAGAAAAGTTTTATCTCAAGGCTTTGTTCTCTGCCTTGATTCTTTGGTCACTGTCAAGCCCCCGGGAAATCAGAAGATCCAGGTAGATCAGACGAATACGTAAGTTTATCAGTTGCTAAAGCTCTCTACAAGAATCTGAACTACTAATGGTCAAAGGAAGTTGGCGGCAAATAAGAGTCAATGGAATTCAAGGTGGGATGGACTTAGATTTCTTGTGGGTACGAAGGGACTCAAGGCTGATAATGCATTTGACCCCTCCCTCGGCCTCAGCCTGGTCATCTCCTATAGTCATCCTTAAACATTGAGGGGATGTGGTGGCTCAGTGACTAAGATGCCAAGCTTGTCGATCAAAAGTTCGGCAGTTCAGCAGTTCGAATCCCTAGTGCCGCGTAATGGGGAGAGCTCCTGTTACTTGTCCCAGCTTCTGCCAACCTAGCAGTTCGAAAGCACGTAAAAAATGCAAGTAGAAAAATAGAGACCACCTTTGGTGGGAAGGTAACAGCGTTCCATGTGCCTTTGGCGTTTAGTCATGCCGGCCATATGACCATGGAGACGTCTTCGGACAGCATTGGCTCTTCGGCTTTGAAACGGAGAGTAATTGTAAAGAACAGGCCTTTTCAGCAGTGGATCCTTATTGGTGGAATGTCCACCCCAAGAATGGGGTGAACATTCCACCAATATTTTTGGTTCAAAGCCAAGATATTCCTCTCCTTCCAGGTATTTGTGCAGCTTTCTGCTCATTTTGAATCTGAATGTCTACTGAATCCCAGAATAGTGGGTTTTGTGTGTCCACAATATCTTCCTTGTTCCAAGAAATTTGAAAAGCATTCTATTCACCTCCTTTATCCAAGTCATGAATGAAAATGTTGAAGATGACTGGTCCTAGAAATGAACCTCATGCCACTCCTTTGATATCTCCAATTGATTCCTCCCACACGTGGTGAGTAACCACGGATGAGCACGTATGAGTTTTAGCAAGTTATAGCTCTACATAATTGCCATGCCACTCAAACCCCACTTAATTATCTTGCTAAGAATGTCATGGGGTACTTTGTCAAATGCTTTACTGAAGTCATGATATATTACGTTCCCAACAACCCCACTATCTACTCAGGAAGATACTCAATCAAAAATAAATAAATAAATGAAAAACAGTTAATCTGTCAAGACTTGCTCTTGACAAATCCATGCTGACTTCTGAAAATCACCACATGGTTTTCACAGCGTTGATAGATACATTGCGCTATGATCAGCTCTAGAACTCTCTCAGGTATTAATGTCAGGCTAGATGACAAGTAGGTCCACAGGTATTTCCCTCCTCTAAGGATCTGATCTTACCCTTTCTCAAAGATTTCTCTAACCTAGTGGATACAGCAGCGTTTTTCAACCTCAGCAACTTTAAGATGTGTGAACTTCAACTCCCGGAATTCCTCATGCTGGTTGGGGAATTCTAGGAATTGAAGCCTACACAGCTTAAAGTTGCTGAGGTTGAAAAACAATCGGACAGAGCAGGGATGTCAAACTGGATTTCTTTGAGGGCCGGATTAGCATTGTAGTTCTATGTGGGCCGGCGGGGGGACAGCGGGAGGGGGAGACAGGAAGGATGCCTCCTGTAGCGCTCTGCTGGCCCCTTCTGCTCTGTTTTGGGCCTGAATGGCCTTCTGCAGCACTTTATCAGCCAAAATGGGGAACCTTGTTTTTGCCCTCCATGGCTTCCTGCAGCACTCTGCCTGCCGAAAACAGATCGCGAGGAGGCCTCTGTGCAGCCCATTTTCTGCCAGCAGATTGCTGCTGGAGGCTGTGGAGGCTGAAAACGGGCCACGGGGAGGCCACATGCAGCCCATTTTGGCTGGCAGAGGCACTGCAGGCGGGTCCTTTGATGTCTCCAGGCCGGCCCTTAAGGCTGGATTTAAATACCCCGCAGGCCGCATCTGGCTCACGGGCCTTGAGTTTGACACCCCTGGGATAGAGGGTTGACCAGACCCATAGTCAATTCATTTACATGTCTTCTAAAGTACCAAGAAAGGGGGCTGTGAGATTTCTCCTAACCCAACTCCTCTGCCCAACCAATCCTGGCACGCCATTTATCTTCTAGCTCCTGACAGAGAGCAAAGAGTGCAAGCTTAGTTGCCATAGAAGGCCCCATAGGAGAGCAGATGGGTTGAAGGGGAGAAACTGAGTCAGAGGCTCTGACTGCCTCCTCGTTCATTTTATTCCAGCGCCTTTAAAGAAATACACATTAATCTAGGGCAGTGCTTCCCAACCTCAGTCATTTTAAGATGTGTAGACTTCAATTGTGCTGGCTGAGGTATTATGGGAGTTGAAGTCCACCCACCTTATAATGAATGGCTAAGGTTGTGAAACTCAGAGTCAGGCAGGCAAAGAGGCAACACGCTATCATAGAAATTAGGGATATCCAGTTTCCTTAATTGGCAGCTACTTTGGCACTAACAAAAGGCAGCTTAGCTTCTTCTCCTAGTACACAACTATGGAACCTGTGAGGATATTGCTAAATATCGACACCAGTTGGGGAAAGAGTGTGGCTGGAATAGCCATTTTCACGACACCGTCATAGTGAGCTTCTCTATGGCTGTGGGTCTCCAAACTTAAACTTGGCAACTTTAAGACTTGTGGACTTCAACTCCCAGAATTTCTTCAGCCAGCCATTCTGGCTGATGGATTCTGGAAGTTGAAGTCCACAAGTCTTAAAAGTTGCCGAGTGATCCATGCCAGTGATCCATGCAGTACTCAGTACACTGTGTTGACACACAGAATGATGGATTAAACCAGGGTGGGCAACATATAACCGCCTCCTCCCCACCAGCCCCCTTTTTTATAGTCCTCAGCACTTCTGAAATCTATTGGCATCTACAGTCCCCATCCCTTTTCAACAGCAGGATGATCTGAGATCCAACTGAGCCAGGCAAGTCTTCCCTGGGAAATGGGATTAAGGGCTCCTGCCTTTCTTCCTGGGGGTTAATAGAATATTGAAAGCCCCCCCCCCTCCCGACACAGTATTTTTCCCTTTTTCCATTCCTACAACTCAAGACTTCATTTCCTCCTCCTCCTTTTATTCTGCAAAAAAAAACAAGGTAGGGCAGAGAAGTCTTGGGAAGTAGGTCAGAGTCTCCACGGATTCAGGCTGGGGAATCCAGTACAGTGCAGGTTGCTCAAGGGGACAGCCGGGGGGTGGGGGGGGAGGAGAGGGAAGGGAGGAGGAAGGAGAAGAGGAGGAAAAAAAAACCTGAGCAATGAAAAAATGGCAAGAGGCAGGATGTTGGCATGCTGACTCACAGCTTCTAATGTGAGCGGAGATGGGATAACTGCCTTGTGGAAGAGACATCTGGAGGCACTACGTAAAGTACCATACAGTACGCAGTGTAAAAAAATACAGGAGAGGAATCTTGCCCCCTTAAAAAAAAATTGGTGGTGTTGGAAGACCCTCTGCACCTGAGCTATCAAGCTATTAAGGTGACATTCTCCTCTGATAGCTTAAAAGAAGGCGGAGTGTGGGTAGAACATGTTTCTCAAACTTGGTGACTTTAGGGTGGGTGGATTTCCAATTCCAGCATAGCTGACTGGTGGGTTTCTGGAAGTTGACATCCACCCATCTTAAAGCTGTTGAGTTTCAGAAACATTGGGACCATTCTGAGGAATATCAAGAGAGGAGGGGGAGGGGGAGGAGAAGGAGGAGGGGGGAGGAGACTGGTCCGGCTATTTGCATCTCCATGCCTTTGATGCAAATCCAGGAACAAAGACCTTTGATATGGCCTCAGAAGGAAGGAAGGAAAGAAGGAAAGGAAAGGAAAGGAAAGGAAAGGAAAGAAAAGAAAAGGAAAGAAAGGAAAGGAAAGGAAGGAAAAAAGGAAAGGAAGAAAGGAAAGGAAAGGAAAGGAAAGGAAAGGAAAGGAAAGGAAAGGAGAAAAAGGAAAAAGGAAGGAAGGGAAGGAAGGGAAGGGAAGGGAAGGGAAAGGGAGGAAGGGAGGAAGGAAGGAAAGGAAGGGAAGAAAGGAAAGGAAGGAAAGGAAGGGAAGGGAGGGAAGGGAAGGGAAGGGAGGGAGGAAGGAAGGAAGGAAGGAAGGAAGGAAGGAAGGAAGGAAGGAAGGAAGGAAGGAAGGAAGGAAGGAAGGAAGGAAGGACCCAGGGGGGAAACAATCAAGATTCAAATGCATTCATTGTATAGGGCTGAAAAGAATGGGGAATCAGGTTGTGTGTTTTTTTTTTTTTTTAATTTGATTTATTGCCGTCCGAAGACTCAGGGCGGCTTACAATGTGCTCAGCAATAGCCTTCATCTTTTGTATATTTATACAAAGTCAGCTTATTGCCCCCACAAACTGGGTCATTTCACCTACCTTAGAAAGGTGGAAGGCTGAGTCAACCTTGAGCCTTGGCGAGATTCGACCTGCAGTAATTGCAGGCAGCTTAAAAGCTTATAACAGGGTGCCTTAAGCCCCTGTACTACCAAGCTCTGGTTTTAACTAATGAAGTGTCTGGTCCACTAGAAAGATGGATGGGCGGGAAGGACACACACACCATGGAGATATTAATTGGTGAAATTAACAGATTTTGCTGAGATGAATAAACTAATTTCTTTGATTAGAGAAAAGACAATGTATCTACATTTATTTGTGCCTGGAAACCCTTTATGTGAACTTTTTGCATATTTTTTTTTTTTAAAAATGAAGTTGGGATTTATGTAACGGATGACAGACAGGATAGATTACCCCCAAAAGAGAATTCACCCTAGAGGTTCTCCTATTCTAGGTGAGGAATGGATCCTTTTTGTGGATCCTTCTCTGATCATGCCAAGCTATTAAGACAACATGTTTCCCAACCTTGGGAACTTTAAGATGTGCGGACGTCAACTCCCAGAATTCCACTGGCAGGCTGAGGAATTCTGGGAGTTGAAGTCCACACATCTTAAAAGTTCCCAAGGCTGGGAAAGATTGCTCTAAGCGGACGTTTCTCACACCATATTAAACTATAAACCAACCACATCACGGCTTGGCAGCATGTGCAAACCAACCCTATGCGGTTTGGGGGGGGGGAAACAAAGAAGAACAGAAAACAGTTACAGAAAGGGGGTTGCAGACTCAATGGATAAACTAAAAGCTCCGCTAAGCACCATATAATAGTGACGTTCATGTGGGCTGAGGGAATTGTATTCCCCCAGACACGGGAAATGGTCTCATTCTGAAAGAATGCAAGAGTATTAAAATCAAGGCCAGGTAAATTTATGTTGCTCTTGACAGAGTTATTAGCCATTTTGTAAGTCATTGCTGGCTGCTATTAATGCGTTATAGGCAGGTAACCGTGCATTTGGCCACAGAGCTATCTTTTATTTAAACCGAGGCAAGACGCTGTGCTGAAACACAGGTGGTGGGGGGTGGGGGGAGGGCTAAATCAGAAAACAGAAAACAGAGGCATGAAAATATGCTGGGTTCCGACCCACCCACCCAGAGAAAAGAACAACATAACGGGGTTAAGGGGACGACCCATACACAGCGGTGGGCTGCTGGGGGTTCGTAGGGGTTCGGGAGAACCTCTACCTAAGATTCTGTGCAGTTCAGAGAACCTCCAAATCCTCTCCTGGCTGGCCCTGCCCCGCTCACCCCGCCCCTCCCGGGAGTCCCCACGCGGCCCATTTTGGATACAGGTAAGTGCAGAGCGCATGCAGAGGTTCGGGGAGGGCGAAAAACGGGCCTACCAGAAGTTCGGGAAGGCTGGAAACGGGCTCCAGAGGGCATCTGGAGCCTGGGGAGGCCATTTTTGCCCTCCCGGAGGCTTGAAGAAAGCCTCCGGAGCCCTGGGAGGGCAAAAATGCCCCCCCACCGCCATGGTGCAGGAGGCCGAATAGGCCACGCCCACCCAGCAACCGGGCAGAGAACCCCTTGCTAAAATTTTTGAAGCCCACCCCTGCTCATACAGGTAGTTCTCAATTAACAACAGTTCATTTAGGGACCGTTCAGAGTTACAATGGCAGTGAAAAAAATGACCTATGGTCTGGTTTTTCCACACTTACAACCCCTGCAGGATCCCCAAGGGCACGTGATCAAAATTCGGATGCTTGGCAATGGACTCCTACTCACGACAGGGTCATTCGTGTGAGCTTCTGACGAGCAAACTCCACGGGGAAGTCAGATTCACTTAACAGCTGTGCTACTTGCCTAAGTGCGGCGATTCACTTAACAACCATGGCAAGAAAGGTAGCAAAATTCACTTAACAACTGCCTCGCTTAGCAACAGGGCTCAGTTGCAGTCATAAGCCAAGGACTACCTATGTGTATCATGTCACAGAAGACGCATGATACTCCTAGGTCTTTAATTTGTTCATCCCGGATTAAAAATAACTTCTTCCATTGCTCAGTGGTTTGCAAATATTAGCTCCTTTAATTGGGATTTTCAGAGTCATCCCACTGGTTTGGGATGATATTGACAAACACTGATAGAGTTAAGGTTCTAGAAAAAGTGCAGAGAAGAGCAACCCAGATGATTAGGGGACTGGAGGCTAAAACATACGATGAAAGTTTGCAGGAACTGGGCATGGCTAGTCTAGTGAAGAGAAGGACCAGGGGAGACATGATAGCAGTCTTCCAATATTTGAGGGGCTGCCACAGAGAGGAGGGGGATCAAGCTATTTTCCAAAACACCTGAAGGCCAGACAAGGAATAATGGATGGAAACTGAACAAGGAGAGATTCAACCTAGAAATAAGGAGAAACTTTCTGATAGTGAAAACAATCAACCAATGGAACAGAAGTTGCCTTCGGAAGTTGTGGGAGCTTCATCACTGGAGGCTTTCAAGAAGAGATTGGACTGCCATTTGTCAAAAATGGTGAAGGGTCTCCTGCTTGGACAGGGAGATTCGACTAGATGACCTACAAAGTCTCTTCCAACTCTGTTAATCTAATTTCAGACTGAGATGTAGTTTTCCAATGGTGCAGGGAATCAGGGCTGGGGACTTGACAAAGTCAAGTAAGTTTCGAATACGAGGTGCAGTTCATACATGCAAAAGCATACAGAGCTCTGAAGGCTCAAACTAATTAACCCACATGAAAACCTCACTGCAAAACTCCAGCAGGGAAAATCACGCCTACCCCATGCAATTGTGGTGTCGCAGGAAGAAGCTCACCTTAGCGTTGCGTTGTCCCCTTGGCAAACTGTGTAATTGTCAGCTGGCTGACTGAAATCTGCACCTCGAACCAGCAGCCCTGGGCAGCCAAAGACACAACATGAGAAGAAAACATGAACGTTGAGCTGTGAAGAACTGCCCCCCCTCCCCAAGAGATGGCAAAAGGAGAACCCATCGGTTTCACAAAGAGAATTTTCACAGGACGTGAAAGTATGCAAGCTTGGGTAGTTACACAGAAATGGGTAAGGTTGCAACAGTCTATCCGGGAGGTGACCAAGCCATGAAGGACCACAAGCAGAGCCTCCTGGTGCAAGAATGGGTACAATTGGCACATAACACAAAGCTTTGCAAAAGCCCTCCTAGCCACAGGTCTACGACAATGTGCCACAGGGAATTCACCATGGCCAACTCACCATGGCCAACTCACCGTAGGGCAACTTGCTGTGGGACAAGAGTTACACTAATATCAAAGAAATAGTGGAATATAATCAGAGCCGCGGTGGTGCAGTGGTTAGAGTGCAGTACTGCAGGCTACTTCTGCTGACTGCCGTCTATCTGCAATTGGCAGTTCGAATCTCACCAGGCTCAAGGTTGACTCAAGCCTTCCATCCTTCCAAGGTCATTAAAAGGAGGACCCAGATTGTTGGAGGCAATAGGTTGGCTCTGTAAACTGCTTACAGAGGGCTATGAAGCACTGTGAAGTGGTATATAAGTCTAAGTGCTAGTGCTATTGCTATTAAAAGATACCAAAGGAGGGACAAAATAAAATGTGCATGACAAAAAAATTAAAAGTATTTTTAAAATTATTTTAAACAATTAAATTGAATTGTTGACTTGTCCTGCAGCGAGTTGCCCCACGGTAAGTTGGCCATGCTGTTGGCTGCAGAGAATTGGCCATGCTGAGTTGACTGTGGCGAATTGTCCGTGGCAGGTTGGCTGCGATGAGTTGTCCCATGCCGCTTAGCCACAACCGTCATCTGCTCTTTGAGCAGGAATCACAAGTCAAGAAGGAACACCCCCCCCCCCCGCCACAGGCCATGTAATGCAGGGGTGTCAAACTCAATTTCATTGAGGGCTGCATCAGGATTCTGTTTGACCTCGCGGGGCCAGGGTGGGTGTGGCCAGCTCAATGTCACTCATGTCAGCGGGCGCCTGTGGTGGTCTGAGGGCTTTGCCAGTGAAAACGGGCTCCTGAGCTCCGTTTTCGGCTGCGACGGTCTCCTGCGACCCTCTGCCAGCGAAAACAGAGCTCGGGAGGGCTTTGGGTGGCTCTCCCGAGCTCCGTTTTTGCTGGCAGAGGCACCACGGGCCGGTCCTTCACTGTTTCCACTGTTTCCGCAGCCAGATCTAAGCACCCCACGGGTCAGATCTACCCCGGGGCCTTAAATTTGACATCCCTAGTGTAATGGGTCTGTTTGTCATGGTCCTGAACTGGAAGACCCCAAAAATGAAAGCCACTCAGCCTTGCCAGCAATCAGTAGAAGCCTGTTTCCCTGCACCTCTACCCCCACCACCACCCAGGCCTCCACAACCTCCAGGCGCTGGGATAAGACGTTCACAGCATTGCTTAATTTGCCGGGGGCAGAAAGATATAATTGGGCACCATCGATGTACTGATGATATTGCAGCCTATGGCGATGGAGGATCTCACCCCGCGGCTTCGTGTCGACGTTAAAATCTGATGCCTGAACATTTTTAGTTTCTTCTCCTTTTTTTTTTCTTTGCAATTTTCATACATCTTTATCTGAAACACTTAACCTTGTAGGAATTTTACCTGAAAGCTGCCGACGTTTGCATATATTCTTCCTTAAAATATGCATTTAGAGTGGCACACTAGTCCAAAATATACGTATCTCAGATAGGAGTGTAACAAATACACCGGGACATACACACACAAACCTGATCCTAAAAATAAACATTTTTTACCTCAGAATATATTGCCAAAATTAAATGTAAGCCAGGCTCTCATTTTCATGTAACTCCTGGAAGTGCAAATCAGGTTAATTTATAAAGGAATATGATCAAAATAATGCTACCCAGCATATCTCTCTCTCTCTCTCTCTCTCTCTCTCTCTCTCTCTCTCTCTCTCTCTCTCTCTACAGTGACTAATTAGATACCTCTTGAAAAGTGCAGGTCAAGCTTGGCTAATGTTTAAATGAGAGAGTTCTAGATAATCTCAGGGCTGTGGGCTAAACTGGGAAGCAAAAGAGAAGAAAAAGAAAAATAAACTCTGCGGGAAAGCTGTGCAAAAACATTTGCATACGGCTGCTGATTTTTTTTTTTTTAAATGGTAGGGATATGTCTATGAAGACATCTATCTCAGGTCCTGCCCCAAAGAAGAGGGAGTCAAGCTATTCTCCAAAGCACCTGAGGGCAGGACAAGAAGCAATGGGTGGAAACTAATCAAGGAGAGAAGCAATTTAGAACTAAGGAGAAATTTCCTGACAGTGAGAACAATTCATCAGTGGAACAACTTGCCTCCAGAGGTTGTGAATGCTCCAACACTGGAAGCTTTTAAGAAGATGTTGGATAATCATTTGTCTGAAGTGGTGTAGGGTTTCCTGCCTAAGCAGGGGGTTGGACTAGAAGACCTCCAAGGTCCCTTCCAACTCTGTTATTCTAAGTCAACCACAAATGAAGCTTGGCTTCAAATTGGATTGTTGGAAAGAATAAGAGGTACAGGTATCTTCTATATCAGGAGTGGGGAACTATGAGTCTTTTACGGACTTCAACTCCCAGAATTCCTGAAGTCCACAAGTCCTAAATGGGCCATAGTTCCCCACCCTTGTTGTATATGATTGCATGGATCAAGCCAAACCAAGATTCTAATTCAATGTTTCTCAACCTTAAAGTACAGATGCTCCTCGACTTATGCCCAAAATTGAGACCCGAATTTCTATTGTTCAGGAAGGTGGTTTTTAAATGAGTCACGATTTTGTAAGTTTTTTTTTTTTTTTGCCAGAGTTGATAAATGGATCCTACATTGATTTACTTGTTGGAAACCAGCTGGGAAGGATACAAATGGGGATCGTATGAACCTAAATCCTTGCAATCATTGTAAGAACAGGCCGAGTGGTCAAGTAGCTGAATGTTGATCATGTGACCTAGGGGATGCCATGATGGTTGTTAAGTATGAGGACAGGATGTAAGTCCATTTTTCTCAGTGCCATGGTAACTTTGAACAGTCTCCAAACAAGTCATTGTAAGGCAAGGCCTGTCTGTATGTGGATTTAGGATATATGGACTTCAACATCCAGAAGATATTTGGACTTTAACTCCCATAATTCTTCAGCCAGCAGGCTGGGGAATTCTGGAAGTTGAACTTCACATATCACTGAGGTTGAGAAGCACTGCTGTGGTACCTCAGTAAAGTAAAGGTAAAGGTTCCCCTCGCACATATGTGCCAGTCGTTTCCGACTTTAGGGGGCGGTGCTCATCTCGTTTCAAAGCCGAAGAGCCAGCACTGACCAAAGACATCTCCGTGGTCATGTGGCCAATATGACTCAACACCACTGGTGCACGGAGCATTGTTACCTTCCCACCAAAGGGGTCCCTATTTTTCTACATTTGCATTTTTTATGTGCTTTCGAACTGCTAAGTTGGCAGAAACTGGGACAAGTAACGGGAGCTAACCCCGTTATGGAGCACTAGGGATTTGAACCGCTGAACTGCCAACCTTTCGATCGACAAGCTCAGCATCTTAGCCACTGAGCCATTGCGTCCCTTGGTACTCGGTACTCAATGTTAATTGGTTCCAGGAGGTACGCTGAGTACCAAAAACGATGAGCACCAAACAAATTTTTCCCATAAGATTATAATTTAGTGAATCACAAGGCAGCTGACATTGACAAGTTCTAGCTTGAGTACCAAACAAATGATGAGTGCCAGGACAACATTTTCAGGTAAAAATGCGTTGAGTATCAAATTAGATGAGTTTCAAAGAAGTTGAGTACCTAGGTACCCCTGTATTTTGTTCTGCTTTTCTTGAACAAAGCTCCTGCTTCTCTCTTGCAGCCTGAATGTGAGAAGGCTTCAAAGGAGGAGTAAGGACAGCTAGAAGAAGTGAGCAGGTCAGGTTTGAAGAACTAAATGAAGACCAGAAGCCAAATCTGGCTGTAGGGATGATACAATAGGATGCTCTAGAATTAAGATCTGGTTTTGCTTATGGAGATGCCAACTTACCTGCTTTGCTGAAGGCTCTCACTGAAAGAAGGAGGAAAGGAAAGAAGGAAAGGAAGGAAAGGAAAGAATATACCAGCCACCCCCACCCACCCCCAAACTTGGCTGTCTAGGCAATCAAGTCAAAATTCTGTTCTGAAGGCAATCTCAAAAGTTCAGACACAGAAGGCTTTTGTGGCAGAAGAGATAAGCCGTACTATTTGTACTTTACAAGGTCTGGCTTGACCAGGCATGTCTGTCACTTGATGTGATGACTGTTGTGGCAGAAGATGATTAGATGGTTTGGATGTGCCCAATCAAGTGCTGAGGGGGGGGGAGAGGAAGAGAGAGAAAAGGAGGAGGAGGAGGAGGAGGAGGGAGGAGGAGGAGAAGGAGGAGGGGGAGGGGGGGAGGAGGGAAGAAGAAGAAGAAGAAGAAGAAGAAGAAGAAGAAAAGAAGAAGAAGAAGAAGAAGAAGAAGAAGAAGAAAGAAGAAGAAGAAGAAGAAGAAAAGAAGAGGAGGAGGAGGAGGAGGAGGAGGAGGAGGAGGAGGAGGAGGAGGAGGAGAGAGGAGGAGGAGGAGGAAGGAAGAGAGGAGGAGGAGGAAAAAAGAAGAAGAAGAAGAAGAAGAAGAAGAAGAAGAAGAAGAAGAAGAAGAAGAAGAAGAAGAGGAGGAGGAGGAGGAGAAGAAGAAGAAGAAGAAGAGGAGGAGGAGGAGGAGGAGGGGGGGGGGGAGGAGGAGAAGGAGAAGGAGGAGGGGAGGGGGGAGGAGGGAAGAAGAAGAAGAAGAAGAAGAAGAAGAAGGAAGGAGGAGGAGGAGGAGGGAGGAGGAGGAGGAGGAGGAGGAGGAGGGGGAGGAGGAGGAGGAGAGGAGGGGAGGAGGAGGGAGGAAGGGGGAAGGAAGGAAGGAAGGAAGGAAGG